TAGTGTCCGAGAAATTTAATTCTAATAAATTTTTGAAATTTTAATCTAACCGAAAAATATTTCCATCAATCGAGCTATAACCGAATCGATGACAGGCTCCGAATGAAATGAAGAATCCTATTTCATATAAATTTACCTTCTTTATCAATTCACATATTTATCAATTCGCATATATATATATATATATTTATATTTATTTATTTATTTCATATATATTATCGCCGATCGGAGGGCAACTTAAAGACATCATAATTATCAAAACCCGATTGAAACATGTGGCTGAATATTTTGTTCATTGCTGCTTGGACTCATATGATTGGAAATTACCTATATATCGTTGAAAAAAAGTCGTACCAGCAGGCACGGCAATATTGATTTTGAGATCGTATCTCCCGGTACATGCGCACTCGACTGGGCAAAAAAAAAAATGCCCAAGCAATATCGGTGTGGCCACTTTGGACCGAGCTGCCGCTGGCGCTGAAACAAGGGAGTACATTTCAGGGAAAGCTAGCTACTGGATTATGTCCAAAAAAATAACAGCCATATAGGCCTCAGGCAGGGCGATCCTGAGAGTGCGGCATACGAGACTCCAGCACATGAAAGCAGCAGCTACGCATCTCAAAGATGGCCTGAGATGGAGTATATTCTGGCCAGCATTCGGGGGTCCTCCACATCTTCGCTATACATCATGTGAGGCTACTTGTATGACCCTGCGGACGAAATATCTTGTGCTGCGCACGCCCCTGTCTGTCCCCGTCCGTGTCCTGATTGCCGAGCCTGTGCTGGCTGTCGTTGTCGAGGGTGTCCAGGAGTGTTCCTCTCATCAGTGTGTCTGCTTTGGGGCGGCAAGAGCGGTAAGCTGGCCACTAAAAGAAGGTGCATAAACAGACCAGTGCCACATCGCAGTACGAGTAGGTGAATTTCCATGTGCGCGCTTCATTGAAAGCAGAAGCGAACTGCATCGTGGCTATGATCTTGCCTCAGTTGGCATCAGCTGGCAATGCTTGGCACAGGTTGATGTTCTCTGAAGATTCCGCAAAACCAAAGCCGCGAGAAGCAGAGACTAAGCCGCAAGCAAATGCCACCAGCTGTCTTCACCCTCTGGCGTAGCTTCGAGCAGCTTTCGTAACGCTTTGACAGCTTTAGCTCATGGACCCACAGGGCCGCATCGGAACGTCCCTTCGCCAGATGTGCTTGGATGTCGGCGATGAGACTGTCCCATTCCTTGTTGACGTCCTGCTGCGCGCTTTGGGCCACGGCCGATGAGGGCGATGGGGCCGATGCCGAGAGCACTCGCTTGGTGGGAGGGTTCCTGTAGTACTCCAGACCCGAAGAGACAAGGAAACCGGGCAGATGCGGCACCGTCACGGTCATCCCTTGCGACATGTGAAACGTTCTCACGAAAGGTCAACAACATCTAGGACCCTCTGAGCCTCTGAGCAAAGTAATTGCGGCACGCCCAGCTGTGTTTTTCAGGCAGCTTCAAGATGTGAGATGCATCCTCTGTTGTTCAAGGTTGCCGCATGGTACGTTGGCAGCTGAGGCGCATGGGTGCATTTTGCAAGCTGCGGCGAACAATGGCGCACCCATGAGCTACATTGAGAGAGTCGTCACTGCCGCTCTTGAATTAACGTGCTTGAACCTCAGCCGACGCGTTTCTGCACAATGACTCCAAGGAACCGGTATCCCAACTTTCATGGTGGCGAACATACATCTGTTCAGGGATGCACACGGGCTCGCACCTTACAAAAAAACAGCCAGAAACTCACTCCTCCTTTTTGTCAAGTGTTGGAGCTTGGAGCTTGGTGAAGCTCTGAACCCAAGCAGATCCAAAAGCAGGCTCGGATATGCACATCCGAGGCTTTTGGGCTCCCCACGTCCTGGAGGTGTGCGTTTGCCTCACTTTCTGCGTGGCCTCGCCGTGAAAAGTCGAAGTGTACATATAGAGGGCAATGAGGCCGTGAAATGAATGGTGAGCTCTAAATTATGGATCTCTTGGGGTCCCGTCATACTCAGGAGTATACTAAGTAACTATAGTGGCCCAAAGGGGGCCAGAATATCGCTGCAATCCTTGGAGAGCTGCTCACACAAGAGTTTGCAGCTAAAGCTGGAAAGGTCCTGTGCAGGCCGTGCGCGGTCTCTTCCCACTCTGGGCACGCCACCATCTTGGTGTCTAGCGCAACTTTGATGAATGCATATCAACTCAGATTATTCAGATAGTTCAGTCTCCTGCCCTCCCCTAATCCGTGTACCGCACTCCGTAAACACATGCGTGACTTCAAGGACCTCAGGCTGTGCATTGACACTGAGACTGTCTACGAAAATGTGTGCACTTCTTGACTCTACCTTGCACATCCCTGAGCAGAGGCAGTCGTCATGGCCTTCCAAGGTGGCCTCAAAGCTGAAGCCGAGCTCCTGGTCCGAGTGCAGAGTGCACACTGGTGTTCAACAGTTCATGAGAACAAACACCAAGGTGCAACAGTGCAACACCAGCTTGACTAGCTCTGCGTTTGCGACCCAGCCTAGCGATGCCCTGCCGATGCCCTGGCCCTAGATTCGGCGGAGTGATGCCTCTAGTGAACTCTAGTGACTCTAAGGTGTGATGCTTCTCGTGATGACTCTCAGCCGTCTTTCACAAAAGAAGTTGATCACGTGTTGAGCTCCAACTTCAAGGGTGCGGCCGCGGCCGGTGAGCGTCTCCATGCGTCTGCCACACTTTGGCGGCGCTGTCCGCGCCTCAGAAAATAAAGATGAAGAGCACGAAGAGCCTGAAAAGAAAAACAGCAAACAAGAACGAGCCTGAGAGTCCGGCTGCATGCGGCGCAGGCCTGAGAGTCCGGCTGCATGTGGCCAGGAGATGGCATCCTGGTGGCCCCTTAGCGGAAGAGGAACACTGGACGCATTTCGAAGAGGAAAAGAGGGAGGAGAAGCTCCCTCTTAAGCTCCCTGTTAGGACTCTCTTGGTGAGAAAAAAATCTCCTTCGAAACTCGTTCTTTTCTCTCCGGCCTCAGGGGTTCCGCACGCTTGCTGCTCAGGGCATCCCAGAAGAAGACATTGAATTCAGAGAGCTGGAGAAGACAATAGGACATACTGAAGGACATTGTTGAGGGCCAATTGAGAAGACAATTTGCATCCATTGGTTAAAAGCAAACAATTCGAGCAAAGCAAAGCAAACGCAAGAGGCAGCCAAGAAGGGACGGCGAACAAGCAAAGAAACCCGGGAGCAGAGAGAGAGCAGAGAGAGCGAGCAGAGAGGCAGAGAAAGATAAACTGTTTGTCCTTTGGCTTGGATCGCGGTGTGGTTTGCATTGCTGTCATGGGCCGTGCTGTAACGACTCGAAGGCGGAGTTCGACCTCGAGGCCCCTGAGAAGGCTTCGTTAACGGGGCTTCCCCTGAATTGAATTTAACTTGGATTCAAAACGGGGAATCGTGAGAGTCCCATCGTCGAAGCGGATTTGTTTGTTGGCTGTGACGTGGTGCCCGGCCTTAAAGGCCCGGCTTTGCAACCCTCCTCTCCGTAAGACGATGCGTCACAATTGGGTTCAACAAGTCTCTGTCCTCCTCTCTCCTCTCTCTTGAAGCGAGGGCATGCGGTGGAAATGATGGGCCTGATGCCGTCTTCAGTCAAGCTTGCTGGAAGGACAAAGGAGGACTGATAATCTGATTACTGCATTAATAATGCAGTAGCCACACTTAAGATGACGAAGCTGACTGAGCGTTGAGAGCAAGTCACAAGCCAGCTGCTGAGCGCGGCACGTCAGATTCTGGTCATCTTGGCACTGCACTTGGGGCAGGCAAGTTGATAGACACTTCTGATAATGAACCCAGCTCGAGGTAACTGTGGATCGCAAGTTTGGGGGGGAGGTGGTTCGCAAAAGTACTTGCTCACCAACTCGGGCTTCGGCGCATGGTAGGTGCCTGTCTTTGGGTGGTCCTTAGGATCGGTCCCTTGGCACGGGCCCATGACCTTGTGATCTGGGTACCAAGAGCCGATGAACATGCCCCCGTCATTATCCCCTCCAGAGCCGTCGTCCACATTCGATCGCCCGTGCTCAAAGGGATGGTGTACTCCTCCTTGATGCACCTGAAGCCATGCCGGTAGCGATCAATCTCTTCTGTGGTGAGGTCGGCGAGCTTGCTGTCCGCGAAAATCAGTTCTCCAACAGATCCCAAAGCAACATAGCCAGCTGGGCATTCAGGAAAGAAGCAGCCACCATGATCATGGCCGCTGTGAGTGCCTCGGTCGTTCCACTGGAACTACATGCCAGTTGGCTTTGCAAGCGCCTTGCTGCCGCCGACAGGCCTAATGAGCTGAAGAATTCTTCTGGCGGGGGCCCATCATTGCAGTACTGGTTGGAGCACTGGTCGCCAAGGTATAATCCTCACCGCCATCAACGAATCCCAAGACAGGCCTCCAATGGCCTCCATAGGCTAAGGTCCCGGTGCGAGTCTGTTCCCTTGTCATAGTTTGTTCGAACATGCTCAGTCTTGCGATAAAAAGGGTTCGCCTGATCTGCACTCTTGTAGGAGCGGGCCTGCACGTGGCACGTGGTGTCGCTGTCGGCTTGCACGTTACCGACCAGACCCGCAAGTACAGCCAGGAAGAATCTTCGACACATCGCTCTGCCCTCAGCTGCCTACAGAAACCGCTCCTGGCCGCTTCGCTCCCAAACTGCTGCATGGCATCCAACTGTTCCGCGATTCCGTGGATTAACGACATCTAGCTGAAGGTATAGGCTCTGAAGGCTTGCACGAGGTTCTCCATCTCCACCTTGAGTTCACCTCCAAGCTTCCCAATTCGTCGTGCACGGGACACGTTGGAGGCGCACGAAAAGTGAGGGCCTGGTCGAGATGGACCTCGGCACAGATTCTTCTGGACGCCCTAACAGGGTGAGGGCTGTGAGAGCATGTGAGAGCGTGTGGACGTGTGGGCTTGACTGGCAGCTCTAGGATCAAAGTCGCACAAGTAATCACAAGATTGTGACTCGTGCACACCTCTGTTTTACCCTCTTCCACACAATCCAGCAAGTGGCTGGCACATTGACTCATGGGCGCTGGGCGACTCCACGACATCAGCTTCAAGCGATGTCACACGCTCTGGCCAGGGGCCAAGCTTCAAGACGCTCTCTTCCAGCAGGAGGCTGGCACGAGGTCTCAGAACACTCACGGGGCCTTTGGGACAAGCAGGCCTGCTTTCGCTTCACGCACTTACAGACTTACACACCTACTTAAAGAGCAGGATGGTATCGAGTGGCAGGTTCCAAGGGCCTGTGGAGTTGGAATCTTAAAGATGTTCAGGAAGGTCAAGCTGCACTCCAGCAAGTGGCTGGCTCACAACAGCTCAGACCTTTTCATCTTGCATGCATCTAAAAACTGAAAGGGAGGCAGTCCTGACCGCTTGCGATGGATTCCACCCAGGGCGCTGGCGAACCTTCCCTCACACCCTCCTCCCTCCCGTCCTGCCCTTGGCGCAAAAACTCTACTTTTCCTGGATTCAATTTTGGGGGGCGTGCCTGGAGTGCGCCGGACCCTACCTCCTTGCCCAGCTCGCTACTACTACTACTACTACTACTGCTACTACTACTACTACTACTGCTGCTGCTACTACTGCTACTACTACTACTACTAAGGGTGTCGGCTGGAGCTGACCAGAGTGCAAGTGTAGTCTCGTGCGGTGCGTGTACATGGCTTTGCTCTCTTCTGCTTGACATCGGTGCTTCAGCTGTCTGGGTCCCAAGTCCCAGAGATCTCACGATATCAGCTTGATATGGAGAACGCAACAGTGAGATCAGACCCGAGGGTTGGGCCATTCGCCACAAGTGGTCCAGGAGCTTCGGCTTCGGTCGGGGCGAAATTTTCTGGTGGGGTGGGCGAAGACCGACCAAAAGCATCATAATTACAGCAAGTCCAGGAAACCTGCCTACCGACGGGCGCGTAGAAGGGCAGAGACGAACGGCGCCACGATGTACATGGGGCGTATGAGGACAGCGGCAGAGCTGGGTGTTCCTTCGACTGGGGCCATGGGACACGCTGGGACAGAGCGGGCTGCACCGCATCGACTACATGTCAAGCCAGCTGGCTGGACAGCTTCACCTCGGCTCGAGTGCGTACGTTTAACGCGGGCGGCTTCACGATGAGGTCTACGATGTATTCTGTCACTGGCTGCAGACATCTTGCAGACAAGATGTGGTGATGTTGCAAGAGCTGCATTGGGGATGTGGACGGGAAGACAACAGCTGGCGCATTCCGGGGTGGACTTTCTTTATTAGTGCTGATCCGCAACGGCGCTTCACCGGCGTGGGCACTGTTATCTCAGCGCGAGTTTTGGCTCAGGCCACCACCAGTCACTGGACGTGGATCCCTGGACGTCTGTTACAGGTCAAGTGCTGCACCCCAAGGGTGAATGTGGACTTCATATGTGGCTATCAAGCGGTCTGGCAAGAAGGCAAGGCTGCTCAATCGGCCAGCATGCGTGATGAGTTCTGGGTGAAGCTGGGCGGGCTGCTGGCGAGTATCCCGCAACGCAATGTTGTGTTGTGATTCTTGGGGCAGACCTCAATACACACTGCCATCCGATTCGCGGCTTGGTGGGCAGGGGGGTCCTGAAAACTCAACATAACCAAGATCAGGACCTTAATAATCTCTTGCAACAACATGATCTTGTTTTGTTAAACACGTGGGGTAGGGCTGCTTCAGGAGCGTGTCATACATTCAGGAGTCATAATGCACGAAGTCAAATCGACTTTTTGGCCACGCGTCGGTGCATGGCAGATGCAACGGCCAGACAAGCGGCCCCAGTTGGCTTCGATCTTGCTCCATGGAGGCAGGGTCCCAAGCAGCCCAAGCATCGGGCTGTGCACGCGTCAGTGCCTTGGCGTGCAGGCTGGACCTTCGGCAAACGTAGAGTGAGCCAGCAGCGATATGATTTGCGTGCACTGCGAGAGGCTGTCGGGCACGACCTTCCCATTGCCCACGAACTGCAGACAAGAGTTGAGCAAGTCTTGAATGGTAATGAGGCCCTAACCATTGCCCAAGCTAACTCTGCCATTATTAAGATCTGTGCCATGCTCTTCCCTCCCCGTACTAGCACTCCACGTAGGCCGGGTAGTCAACCTCAAGTTACGCGGCATATCGAGGCAATGTGGCAGGCACGTGGTCAGCTAGCTTCAATGCTTCAGTTTCGCGTAGCAATGTTCTGTCGGCAGGTCGCACGGCAGCGACGTTTCTTAGGCAGAGTAAGGCGCTCAAGGCCGCCAGTCGGAGAGCGCGCCAGCAGTGGTATGAGGACCAGATTACCCAAGCTGAACGGGCGGCAAGTCGTCATGACCCAGGCGAGGTTTACCGAATAGTTAGGGTTCTTGCTCCTAGGAGAAAGAGGGACAGCGTGTGCATACGGGGGGTCCTCTTAGATGCTGAGGCTGAATTCGGTGGGATTTATGCGCACTACAGCACTGCTGTTGGTAGCGAGAGCCCGTTTCAAGTTTCAGGTGCCCCCTCCCACTGCTCCTATTCTGTTCGAGCCTGAGGATGTCACTCACACCATCCTTAAGCTTAAGAATAAGATAGCAGTGCCGCAGAACAGTGTGCCCACAGAAGTGTGGAAGCTCTGTGCACCGAGCTTTGCCAAATTGCTTACAGCACGGCTGAATGAATGCAACACGGCTAAAGCCTGGCCAGCCGAAGTGAGTGACTGCTCCTTAGCACTCCTACCAAAACCTAACCGTTCTTCACGCCGCCCCGGGGACCTTAGGCTTCTTGGACTCCAGGATCCTAGTCCTAGGGTTTTAGCTATGCAGCTTCGGGATAGGCTAGAGGCCATTACTGCACAATATGTTGCGAGCCGACCCCAGTATGCATATACCAGGGGGAAGGCCATTGATGAAGCAATCGGTCGTGTTGCCAGTCATTGCTCGGCCGTGCGCGAATGGCTGCAGGTCTCCAACAATACGGTTCATGCAAAGCAGTCGGCTCAGTGCAATCGTAGGACTTGTGAAGGAGGGATAATGCTTAGCCTTGACTTAAGCCGCGCTTTTGATGAGGTTCCTCGCCTCGCACTTCCTTACAGGAGGCGTTAGCTCGAGCCGAAGTGCCGCCAGACCTGCAGCATGCAATACTCCAGCTGCACGAGAACTGCCGATATACTGTCAGCCACAAGGGTAAACAGGCTAGCTTTCGCATGTCCAGAGGAGTGCGTCAAGGCTGTGCATTGAGTCCGCTACTGTACACACTGTTTACATGTCTGCTTTACGATGAGGTGGCCTCCCTCACCAGCCCGGAATGGGCCAAGAAGTCCATGTCACTTTTTGCGGACGATAGCCATCTGTCGTGGACGGTGCGCACGATCGATGATTTGAAATTCGTCCTGCGGTGCGTGCAAGCTACATTCAGTGTGTTCAAGCACGGAATGCGTGTGAACGCGGACTAGTCCCAGATCATCATTCGACTGCTTGGAAGTGCTGCGGCCAGATGGCAGCGGCAGCACCGTCGCTTACGCAAAGAAATTCGCGTCGCTTGCGCAAAGATTTGCCCAGTCGCTTGCGCAAAGACGGGTGTCGAATCCATTGTAAAAACCATAGGAACGTGCACTTCGGTCTTTTTCGGAAATGGCTTCAACAAGCTTGGAAAAGTGTCGAATCCATTGTAAAAACCATAGGAAAGTCCACTTCGCAAGTTAGCCGAAATTGACGACATTTGCGCGCGAAAGTGCCGAATCCATTGTAAAAACCATAGGAAAGTGCACTTGCCCAGTTGGCAAGTGCTGGCCGAAAAGTGCGTTTTGAGCTGTATTAGGAAACATCTGACAGACCATCGAAAATGCACTTTTGGAGTCTCGAAAAGAATGTTTTCGTTGGTTTCCGGAGAAGCGTTTTCAGAGCATGCTTCGGGGGCCGATAACGTCCGTGTTTGACGCGTGCAACAAGAGCACTCTCAGTGGAACCGTTGAAAACGCACTTTTGGAGGCTCGAAAAGCACGTTTTGGTCGGTCCTGCGGGGGTGGGTGGGTTGGGGTGGGGGGGTGGGGTCGGGGCGAATAACGTCCGTGTTGGACGCGTGCAGGCAGGGCACACTCAGTGGAACCATTGAAAACGCACTTTTGGAGGCTGGAAAAGCACGTTTTGGTCGGTCCTGGAAGGGGTGGGTGGGGTGGGGTGGGGGGGTGGGGTCGGGGCTAATAACGTCCGTGTTTGACACGTGCAGCTCGTTGGAACCCTGGAAAACGCAATCTTGGAGGCTCGAAACGCACGTTCTGGTTGGTCCTGGGGGGGCGGGTGGGGGGGTGGGGTGGGGTGGGGGCTAATAACGTCTGTGTTTGAAGCGTGCAGCAAGAGCGCTCTCAGTGGCTCGAAAAGCACGTTTTGGTTGGTCCTGGGTGGGGTGGGGCTGGGGGGGTGGGGTGGGGGGGTGGGGTTGGGGCTGGCTTCCTGGCTGGGGTGGGGTGGGGGGGTCGGGGCCAAGAACGTCAGAAACGCACGTTCCGGTTGGTTCTCGGGAGGGGGTGGGGGGTGGGGTTGGGCGCTAAGAACGTCCGTGTTTGGTGCGTGGAGTAAGAGAAGTCGCGTTGGCAGCAGTGCGTTCTGGTTGGTCCCATGGGCGGGCGGGTGGGTGGGGGGTGCGGTGGGGGGCTAAGAACGTTGGTAATTGGCGCATGCAGCAAGAGAAGTTGCGTTGGCACCAGCACGTTCTTGTTGGTCCCAGGGGGGAGGGTGGGTGTGGGGTGGGGGGCTAATACCGTTCGTGTTGGACGCGTGCAGCAAGAGCAGTGTCGCTGGCAGCAGCACGTTCTTGTCGGTTCCAGGGGGGGCTAATAAAGTCCGTGTTCGACGTGTTTGACGTGGGGGACTTAGAACCATTTTTTTTCATGTTAGTTCCAGGGGGGGCGGGTGGGGTGGGGGGCTGATAACGTCCGTGTTTTTGTCGCGTGCAGCAAAAGAATTCTCGTTGGCCCCAGCATGCTGAGAACGTACGCTCCCACGGAAAACGCACTCTTGGAGGCTCGAAATTCACGTTCCGGTTGGTTCTTGGGGGGGGGGGTGGGGGGGTGGGGTGGGGGGCTAAGAGCGTCCGTGTTTGGCGCGTGGAGCAAGAGAAGTCGCGTTGGCAGCAGTACGTTCTGGTCGGTCCCAGAAAGGGGTTCAAATGCTTGAAAACAGGGGCTAAAGACCGACGCGGGGAAGCCGAATCCTGTGGCCCTGCCAGCACTTTAACAACTTCGGAACCAAAAAGCGCGATTTCCAGCATGCACGCCCAGAGCCGGAAACCATGGCCCTGCCGACGTTTCGTGCACTTTCAGACCTCCCCAACATCGCGAAGTTACAAGTAACGAAGTCCGAATTCATTGGCCTTGCCAACACAAAACGCACCTCCGCGCGTACAAGCGAACGGGCACGCCTTTGCACAAGCGAACGGGCAAATCTTTGCACAAGTGACCGCTCAGCCCTCCGTAAACGGCAGGAGCGCCGGCCGACCGGTACCCTAGTCAACATGGGCACCCCACACCTGCCCCTTTGGATCCCACGGGTCTATAAGATGGTGTACCTCGGGATAGTGGTTTCGTACAGTAACTACGAACAGCTCACGCTAAATCATCGGTTGAAGGCGGCAACTCGGCTAATCGGCAGCGCCTGGCACGCGTCTTGCATCACCGGAGATTGTCCCTGAGACAGCGTACGCGCCTGTATGGCGCATGCATCCGTAGCTGCCTGCTCTATGGACTCCATGCAGTGGGCCTCACAAGCTCCACAGCACGACGGCTCGATCAAGCCGATGCTAGAGCATTGCGAGCAGTTGCACGATCACCGGCCTTTAGAACCAAGGAGCCCACTGTTGCCCTTCGCAAACGACTGCAGGTTGTTTCTCCGATAGCCGCCGTTACTGCTACTCTTCAAAAGCGCATTGCACGCACAGCGCAGCCGGAATGCCAAGCGTGGTTTCGTGACAAACTTCAGCAGCTTGAACACCTGCAGAGCACCCCCGGGGACAGTTCTCTTACGCCGGTGGATGGCCCCATTGTAGGTAAGCCCTGTCCTGAGTGTGGTCAATACTTTACCAACACCCGCCTGATGAGATCACATAGGACTAGGCAACACTTTAAGCAAGCTGAGCCAAGTAGGGAACACGAGGGGGTCCGAGCTGCTGCGGACTACGTTTCACACACCGTTGGTGGCCTGCCGCAATGCCTTAAAAATCTTTACCAGGGTCGAGGGCCTCAAAAAGCATCTGAATCGCGGTTGTGAGGCAATGCCAACGGATGTAGGGCCGAGCCAAGGGGTGGCGACTGAGGGGTCGGAACAGGTCCTCGCCTCTCAGGTGGAGTCGCTTAAGGGGCACACGTGCCGGGCTCCGCGTGCCACCCCGACAGAGCGTGCACCAGCACCCATCGCCCTTTTGCGGCAACAGCGCTTTCAGCAGGGTCTTCGCCAGGGCTGGAAAACTCTGCTGCTGGATACGCAAGTGGTGAGCCAGCTAAGCCAATACTGCTTATAATATGCGGGCAGTGGTGCGCAACCACTGGATTCAAGCAGCATATCAGGCTAATGCATCCTGAGGCATGGCATTGCATGGTCGAAGCGGACTCTTTACAACGAAGCGGTCTTGCGGCTCAAAATCCGTGTGCCTTTTGCGGTGTGAAGGCCTGCCAGCCTCGCCGACACCTTAACCACTGTCAAGTTGTGTTTCAAGCTGCGCTGGGCCACTGCCTTCACACTCTTGCTGCTCAGGCCAACGCTCCAGACGGAAGACCTCTCCAGAGCAGCTCAGGCTCGCGAAGAGCTGGAGCATGTGTTGGGGCAAACCCGCACCAGCGACCGCCCAGTGAAGTGGCAGCGGGAGAACACGAAGGGCAAAGGTGGCTGGGGATGGGGCTCAGGAGGAGGGGGCGGAGGAGGCTCGGGAATCTGGGGCAGTGGCAAGAGGCAGTGGGTTCCAGCCAATCGGGCGAGCCCGAGACGGCCACACCGTCCACACCGGCCCCGGATGTGGCGACTCAGAACCTCCTCCTGAAGAGCCTGGTCCGCCACGAGGAGGAACTCACACGAGTCCGACCGGACGCTGGATTCGTGGCCTTTATCGACACCACCGAGCTGGGCTGCCTGGGGATGCTGAAGCAAGTCGCGGGCAATTGGCACGAGCTCTCGCAGGGAAAAGTCAAGAAATCGTTGCGAGTGATGTTAGCCATGGCCTTGTTCCGCGACCTGAAAGAACGAGCGGAGCAGACGCTGGCAGACCCGGAGCGGCTGGAGAAGTGCCACACGGTGGGATGGCTCCAACGCACGGAGACGGCGCTGGATCCGGCCTGGGCATTCCATGTCTGGGACCCCAGTTTCAAGAAGCAAGTGGCCACCGACCGGGTCATGAAGCACTCGGAGGCCATGAAGCTCTTGGACCTGCTGATCCTGAACCTCCCGAAGGAACAGGTCCTCACACGATTCAAATCGGTGAGGCCTCTGGCGGACTCCCACGACACCGAGGTGGTCCCCTTCCTGATATCGGTGGGACTTTGCGGGGAGTCGTGCCAGAAATGTTTCGACGCTTTGCTGGCGCTGTCAGGGTGTGCGATCACCAAGCTGCAGGGCCTGCGCAGTCGGCAGGAGCGAATCCAGAAGACGCCACTCTCGAAGACAGTCGAGGAAGCGTACCAGGCCACGAGCTACTCTGCGACTGGACCCGCCGAGGAGCGCCTTGCGCAGCCAGACGAGCCAGGTCGCTTGTCTGGTCAAGCTGCGTCCAGGGAAACGCGGCTTGTGCCCCGCCAGGGCCTTGGCTTGCCGCGTGCCAGGCTGCGCAACGGCAGCAATGTTTGCTACATCAATGCTGTGGCCCGTTTGGCTTGGCGAGCTCTCTGCGGCATCGGAGGCATGCCTTGGCCAACTCAAGGTGGGCCTGACTCTTCTCTCTCGCGAGTGCCACCTCTCCCTTCATGAGTGTATGCAGTTTAGGCCATTGTTCATAGGATGGCGTGATATTCACAGGCAACATGATGCGGCTGAGTTTCTTGTGCATCTGCTGGAATACGCCAAACCTTCTGCCCTTATAGGGGAAGCTGGCAAGCCCGCCTGACTAACCCCTGCAGCATCAGTGACACAGGCCCGTTGAGCCACCTGATGAGACTGCATCCGGCGGGCGAGGCCAGTGCCTCGCTACAATCCCTGATAGATGCATGCGGTTATCAGCATGCACCACAGGCATTACATGCACACTCGGTGGTTGTATTCCTCATGCTGTGTCGCTATGACGAAAGCGGTGCCAAGTGCACGCGACAGGTCAGAGTGCGACCGGGAGACACCTTGGCCCTGCCTATCTTTTCTGAGCCCACGGGCTTGGACGTCCGGCATGAGTCCTTCACTGTGGTAGTGGTTGTTTTCCACTTAGGCCAGAGAGTTACGGAGGGACACTACCTCACATTGATCGGGATCCCGCATCAGGAGGGTTGGGCATATAGGGTGTGCGATGATGATAGGCTGCCACGGGTTGCTAGATCTGTGGACCTCAACGGGGTCGACCACAATGCCTACATAATTGGACTGCTGCGCAGCTCCGAATAGCCGGAGCCGGCCTGGCAATGCGCCACTGGGGCTCATTGTCAGGCTCATGCGGGCCTCTCGACTGCCGAAGCGTACTGCGAGGGGCTTTGGGCTTCGTTTTGCTGAGGGTGTAGTGTAGTTGCGCTGCACCCCACTCTCCCGATCGTTTGCTATGTTGTCTCATGTTGCCAAACGTGTCAGCTCATTACCATGGCGATGCAGTCCGAACGACAGGTGTCGCCTGACAGCCTGGCTCGAGCTGAAGGGTGGGCCTAGGTCGGCTCAGTCTCCCTGTGTCAGGGTAGCCACAGGGACTGCTCAGGGCGTGCTGTCGGGCGCTCAGGTCTTCATTGCAGTCCCAACCAGCGGTGCATGTGCTCCTTACCAGCTGTTGCGTGCTATACTTTGCCGCTCATACCAGCAGGATCAGTGTAGGAGAAACCTCTCCCCATACCCTAATGGTGGTTTTAGTCCTTGCCACACGGCATGCTGCCGACGGTGCGTCATGTTCCGCTCCCGCTCTCCTTGTATGTTTCGGCGGTGGAGGAACAGCTCCTGGCCAGGCATCTGCGTAGGCTCTGCGAGCCAGCTGAAGCACCGCCGCATGTCACGATGTGCACCAGGAATGAGATTCTGGCGATAGCCAGGCGAATCCTGCCTGCGCATAGGGTGCAGCTGATGCTGGAATACGCTGATCTCCTGGAGGTTAGTCTCGACGCACAAGAGCTGGTCAAGTTTCCGGCCCCGTGTGATCACCAGAGTGACCAGCACAGTGCTGCGGAGTTGCAGGCTGAGAGGCTCCTCGAAGAGGGGGGTGGCCTTCTCTTAAGATGGTGGCTAGAGAGCTTGAGTTTGAGGTGGATCCGTGTGGTGTGGCCAAGGGTCGCACCTTTCGCCTTGGCCTATACTCAAAAGGTGGTCTTGTGGGTATCTCAAGGACTACCCACAGCCACGTTGCAGTATGTAGGTTACTGAACACGGCTGTTATGGAGCTTATGGGACCGGACTTCACCTGCACCAGCTTCTCGATCAATCTTGATGACGAGGTCGAGCCGCACCGTGATATGTGCAATGCCCCGGCACCAAGTGTTCTCCTTGGTCTGACGTGCCATGCGGGGGGTGGATTCTGGTACGAGTCGGAACACGGGCACCACTTCCTGGAGACCCCCGCGGGCTTCCTGTCAGGACTGGAGGTGGGCACTGCTTGCAGGGCGTGGACCTTTTCTAGCCGATTGATGACGCATGCAGCCCTCCCTGCAAGCTTTGGCCGCCGGATGGTTCTCCTTGCGTACACCACGGCCAATCATCATCGTGCCACTCCGGAACATCGCGAGCTTTTGCAGCGAGCTGGGTTCGTGATGCCGAGTCCTGACAACCTGGATCTCTGAGTGCGGAGTCGGTGCTGATGATACTGCCATTTTGGGTTTAGATAGGTAGGGTGTTTTTTCACACTGGGATGCTCTGCCAGAGGGATGCGACCTTGCTCCTTGGAGCGCGTATATGGTGCGCATGGCAGGACTCTCCTCTAGAGAGTGGCGGAATAGGGCTGCATGCTCTTTTGGGGTTAGCATGCAGGCTGGCTCAATACCAACGGCTGAAACAGGTGCGCGTCGCTATACAAGTGTGCGTGCCTGCTTGCACTGTAGAGAGCCTGTCAGCCTGACCCATGTGGCATGTCTCATCCGTTACTGCGTGAGCTCTCTACGATGCCTGGGCACCTCTATCTGCCCTTGCTCAGGTCTCTACCTCATGCCTGCAGTTCTGCGTGGCCGATCTGGGCGGCGACAGTGCTGCACTCCAGGTTGCACCAGGTGTGGTTTCGACATAGGAAACATCGCCATTGCTGCAGCCTCTGCTCTATGGGTTCGCACACAGGGCGTTGTGAGGCCAATGAAGGCAGGGAAAGCCGACGGCAGTAGTGCGATGCTCGGCGGACCACGCTTTCTACCTGCAGCACGACCAACTGTGTGAGGGTGGCAGGTTGGTCCCACCTGCATTGCTGCCAAGCCTGCACCATCTTTGCTGGTGCAGCCCACACGGAGCAGTGCGATGAGAGACAAAATATTTTCTTTCTTCGGTCGGCAAGCACCTCGAGTGGATCTGCATGCCTCGTTGCTGGAGCTGGAGCCGGAGCTGCAGCTGGCGCTGATGCATATGGATCGTCCGGTGCACAGCAGGCTAGCATGAATACTGCTACCACGGCCACGACCAGTCTTCACGCCTGGACCACAGTAGCTCCTTGGGCTGCGGACGAATCAGTGCTTGTGCATGCGAGCGATTCGGAAGAAGAAACGGCTGCAAACGAAGGAGCTATGACAATGGCTCAAGCACAGTCCTCCATCGGGACCTCTGCAAGCCTGCCTTCTTCTCGTGGACTTTATGTGGGAAAAGATGATGCAGCTGTTATGGCTCCTGCTGGATCCGATATGAGCGCGACCAGTGGGCAAGGGCGCATTACTACTACTACTACTACTACTACTACTACTACTACTACTACTACTACTACTACTGCTACTGCTACTGCTACTGCTACTGCTACTGCTACTGCTACTGCTACTGCTACTGCTACAACTATTAAATGTCAGGCCTCCCACTTCGGAGGCAGTAGGACAAGCCATTCCCCGACACACGGGAAAAGCGGAATATGATCAGCGCAAATTTGCTGCGATCCTCAAAGCACACAGCCTTATGACAGTCAACACTTGGACTAGCCCCGAGCCCCACACTCATCAGCATGCACAGGCACGCACCCTCATTGACTATATCATGGTCCGTAAAGACATGGCAGACCAGGTTGCAAAGCAAAGCCATCCGCTGCACCACGCCCCGCTGGCCTCGTGGAGGGAAAGCAAACACAAACCAGTGGTTGCTTCCATCAGACTCCGACAGGCGTGGATGCACGGCCCAGCTAAGACCCCTCCACCATACGATTGCCATGCCTTGCAATACGCAGTGAGGCATTGCACGCAAGCATCGGTTGCTTTTGAACAGCAAGTAGCCACTGAGCTGGCCAAGATGCCGCAAGCGAGGACGGCTCAAGAACTGCACGACTGCATCAACAGCTGCCTCATTTCGGCCTGCACCCGGCTCTTCCCTAGTTCCCCTAAGACTAGAGCCCGTCTAGGACCACACCTCGCCAATGTAGAGGCTGACATCGACACCAACCTGGCCCAACTATGGACGGCTCGTGCGGAGCTGGACCGGATCGCTCAGCGGACTCGCCTCCAAGGCACTGCACACACTCCCGCCTCGGTATTCCAGCTCTGGCGTGCTACTACGCGTTGTCAGCAACTGACGCGTGCATTGCATCGTACTAGTCGGCAACGCAAACATGCCAGATGGAAGGACATAGCGGAGCAGGTCGCAGAGGCCGAGGCCCAACACGACACTCACGCTCTTTACTCAGCTATGAAACGCCTCCAGCCGTGGAAACCCCACACCAAACTGCAGTTCCGAGATAAGCAGGGTGCCCTTCAATCTCCCTGGCAAGAGCTCAAACTTCTCACTGAGCACTGCGTCAAGGTTTTCGCTATTCACGCTGAAACACCGCCAGCTTCTAAACTCCGTGTCCGTCTATCCCCAGATGCTGACACTCTTCAGACCGCGCTTCAGGCAACAGGTATCAGCAAAGCGGTACCTCGGGGCTGTGCACCCTCTGCAGCTTGGAGGGGCGCAGCGGCTTCAGTGGCGGCTGCCATGTCTAATTTCCTAAGCGGCCAATGGAACCCGGTCAGCTGCATTGACCTCGCCGGCAGTTGGAAGGATGCAGATGTGGCCTTCGCTCCTAAACCCAGCAAACCGCCAACTTGTCCGGCTAATCTGCGTCCGCTGGGACTGCTGACCCCACCGGGGAAGGCGATCGCTGCCTGGCTTCGTAGCAGGTTGGACTCTTACCTTGCCCCGCATCTTTCAACCCTCCCGCAGTTCGCTTACACGGAAGGAAGGTCTACCATTGACTGTTTGCTGCGAGTCCACTCGCACTTCCACCGCGTACAGCAGCTGATCTCAGACAACAAGTGCTCGATCTACCAGCGCAAAGAGGGTGCCAAGCTGGGTCCTTGCTTTGGCGGCATGACATTGTCAGTTGATCTCAAGGGAGCTTTCAACGAAGTTCCGCGAGACACCCTGTACAATTGCCTCGCCCTGCTTGGGGTCGATAGCGACACTGTCAACCTCATTCACCACCTCCATTGGCAGTCCTGCTACACCATGCGCAATGCGGCAGGGCACTCCGATGTCACCACATCAAACGGGATCAAGCAAGGTTGCCGATTGGCGCCTTCCCTTTGGGTTGCCTATACGGTGGTTCTGCTGTATCAGATGAGAGACAAACTAGGTGAGCAATTTGCGCGTGACTGCTTAAGTTTGTTTGCAGACGACCTCATCTGCACACAACTCTTTGAAGACTGGTCTGCGGCCATGAATTGTCTCAGTTCCATTGAGAGTGTCTTAACCACCCTAGAGTCTCTTGGCATGATCATCAACTTTGAGAAAACGGCCATTCTCATCGCGGCAGGCGGCACCAGATCGAGGCAGCTGCGCCGTCGACTTACGGCTAAGGTGAAAGGACGTGTGTGTGCCATCCTCACTGTCAGCGGTAGGCAGGTACACATTCCGGTCGTTGCTGCACACACGTATCTAGGCACAAAGATCTCATATAGGAACGGTGCAGAGCTGACAGTCCGACATCGTCTGCAAGCCGCGCACGGCAAGTGGCAGCTTTTGAAACGGTCACTGCGAAACAGACAAATGCTGACCAGACGCAAAAGAGTGCAACTCTGGGCCGCTGGTGTCCGCTCCAGCCTCCTGTACGGCCTCCAGTGCGTTTTCGTAGGAGCCACGAGCCGACAAGAGATTCGAGCGAAAACGGCCAGACAGTTGCGGAGCCTGGCACACCTACCCGCGCACCTCACGGGCATTAACAACAGCAGACTGCTTGAAATGCTCGGCACGGAGGACCCCATGGCTTGCATCAACCGAGCCTTGCAGAAGCGTCTTAAGCAGCTTATTGATCTGAGCCGAGCTGAGCCGAACAACATAGCTTGCCACCCAGCCACTCTGCAGTATGCCGAGCTTCTAGTACAGCATCACACGAACAACCAAGAGCTGGAGCACAAAACGAGAAGAATTGCTCTGGCGGATCCAACCACGGGCTTTGAGCATGCCTGCCCCACTTGTGGTCTGTACTTCGCGGATGCCGGCGGAGTCAAAACTCACCGAGCCCGAGCTCACGGCTACAAAATCCCAGACAGACCCCTGACCCAAACCGAAATCGCAGCCCAAAGCATTGGAGGGCTGCCGCAGTGCAAGCACTGCCTACACAAATTCCGCAGTTGGCACTACCTAGGCAAGCATCTTCGACGTGGTGTCTGCCAACAGTACCATCCTGACAGTCCCAGCCCCAACGCTCAGCAACAGCCTACCGAGGCGACCACAGTGGCCGATGCCGACCAAGATCAGGCTCAGGTCACAACTGCTGTAGCTGCACGCCGTGACACGCTTGACTTGCTCAAACTGCCTAACGGGTGGATTCGGTTGGCCAGCAAGCCGACGGTACGACAGGACCCGGCTCAAGCTTGCTGCCTGTGTGGACAGTGGTGCACTAATGCTGGTGGTGTAAAGAGACACATTGCAAGCAAGCATGCTGACATATACAACCTTCACCATCAGGAAGCTATTCGTTTTTGCACCCTCAAAAGTCCTGCTGCCTGCAAGCACTTCGCGTGCTCCTACTGCGGCCTAAAAGTCGTGCAGCCAGCTCGCCACAAGGCCACTTGCTCTGTGCTCTACCAGTGCGCGTTGTTGCGCTTGCATCTGCTTGGAAGGCCGGAACAGCATGAGCATGATGGACCAGCTATCAGCGCAGCAGAAGGAGATCTTCGGGTCTGCTTTGCCCACGCTGCTGAGCGCGCAGGGCCAGAGCGCAGCGCCGAGTCAGCTGGCCAGTTGGACTCAGAACGGGAAGAAGCGCCGCCAAGCAGAGGACGGAGGTGGACTGATGACGGGGAAGGGCCAAAGGAAGGGTTCTGCCTCACTGGAGGCGAAAATCAACACATTGGCCCGAGTGGTCATGCAGCACGAAGATGCGATCAACACAGCGAAGCTGGACCGCGGACTGGTCTTCTACATGAACAATGGAGAGGACAGTGTTCTACAGACTCTCTTCAGGGTGTCACAGAAAGCCAAGGAAGTGCAGTCGCCAGACACGCAGCAGCCCCCCTTGAGGATCCTTCTCCTCCAGGCCCTCTTCATGGAAATCGAGGGACGCGTCAAACTCATGGACACGGACCCGGTGATCCTGGAAAAGACGCAGAGCGCATTGCTAGTGAACGAGCACGGCTGGACCTTCAAGAAGTGGTGCCCGCAGCTACGCAAGCTGGTGGTGGACACGAAGAAAAAGGAGATCCCCGTGCAGCTGATGCGCCAGCACCTCTCGGAGATGTTCAATTTGACGAACGAGGACACAGTCCTCAAGTTCGCAGCTCACAGACAAATGACGACGACATTGCTGGAGAACCAGGACAAGTCCACGGTCTTTCTCCTAGAAGTGTCGCTGAGGGGCAGCAACGCCTCCAGACTCTTCGAGCTCTTCAAAGCCCTGGACGGCAGCTCAATCTGGCAAGTGGTAGGTGCGCAGATGAAGAGAGCCACATTGCGGAGATCGGGCTTGGCCCAGAAGCTAGGGCGAGAAGTCCTGGGATGGGACTGAAACCTCCTCTGCTGGACAGTCGAGGTGAGGCAGAGCACTGTGTAAAGCCTCCTGCTGCCGGCGGTGAAGGTGTCAGTGACTTGCCACCAAGGCGCGGTTTTAACCGGGGCTTGCGCAGCGTCATCTTTGAGAACCCTCATAACCTTTGCTATATGAACGCTTCCATCAGTGCCATTCTTGCGATGCTTGATGCTGCCCGTATGACACCCCCCCGAGTTTTGCACGACATTCCTACCCGCACGAGAGTAAACCTCATGAAGGCGCTAGGGTTGCATCTCACGGGATGGCGAAGGCCGAGACAGCAGCATGATGCGGCAGAGTTCTGCGTTTTCGTGCTGAATAGCATGAGCATAGGCAGACGCCTTGCTGCGTGGCAGGGGACGATCCGAGAAGGGGAGCGCATCCATGCACACGACTCAGGCACCGGATGTCCCATCCCACTAAACTACCCGCCCAATGTCCATGTCACCCCTCGTCTGCAACACTTTGTCTATGCATGGCACCACCAGGAAGCCATGTACAGAGTGTGCGCCGCGCGCCCAACTTACCTCCAGCTGCCTCGGTTCCGTGTAAACTCTGAAGGAGTGATCACAAAGCATTCTTTCCAGGTCAGTCTGAGGGGGAACGCAGACCGACGTCTCCTGCTGCCGTGCAGTGATGCTCAAAACGTCACTGTTTGGACTCCGTACTGCCTGGTTGCGGTTGTGTTCCATTTAGGCCGATCAGTTGACACAGGACACTACGCCACAGCTCTCTTTGAAGATGAGGCCATCAGTATCAGAGATGACGGGGTCATGGCCAGGGCTGCTAACCAGAGTGATCTCGACACAGCAGAGCACAACGCCTACTTGGCCTTTGTCGTCCCTGCACGCTGTGCAGGCTGAGACGGCAGCAATGAGTGCTATGTGCGGAGTCGCACACCTACGGTGTTGCACATTCTGTTCTCTAACCTCTCACAGTGCACACGAACTCTGCTCGCTGTTCAGGTGTCCCCGCAGTCCACGCTCTCAGACTCCCGTCTGAGCATACTCACCCGAGGGCCTGAGGTCTATCCTCGCCCGCACAGCAAGTGAGTAGCAATTGTTTTCCTCACACTTGTACAAAAAGTGACCTTCAAAGCTCATTGTTTCACATGAACATAAGGCTCTTTTTCATGATAAGGCTTTGGCCTAAAGAGCCTTGGCTGCAAGCCGCATATGGCTTTGGCCACCTGGGCCCCCTGCCCTGAGCAGGCATATGCTTTGCTTATGATTCGGGCCTCGCAGAACTCAGGCACATTGAGTCCGCGTGGGAATGAATACTGCTACAACTACTACTACCACCACTACTACCACCACTACTACCACCACTACCACTACCACTACCACTACCACTACCACTACCACTACCACTACCACTACCACTACCACTACCACTACCACTACCACTACCACTACCACTACCACTACCACTACCACCACCACGACCACTACTAGCCATATACTACTACTACTACTACTACTACTACTACTACTACTACTACTACTACTACTACTACTACTAGGCCATCCCCCCCTGGTACGACGCCGGTCGCTGAGTTCGTGGATGTACAACATGGAAGACAACCCGAACACAGGCTCAAAGAAATCCGGCCTAACATAAAGATGAAGATGATCATGATGATGATGATGTTCATGATGATGCTATTCGAGATGGTGCTGATGTGCGGCTCTTGCGCCTCTGCTCGCTATTGAACTAGTGAACCACAGAGTAAGCTGAGAGCAGTGGAAAGTACCATCCCCGCTCTGTGCGATGCAAAGAAGCAACATTTCGAAAGGTTTTGGACATGGATGCTCTCCAAATCAAAATGCGCTAGACCATGGACGTCATTAGGTTTTGGACATGGATGCTCTCCAAACCAAAACGCGCTAGACCATGGACGTCACTAGGTTTTGGACATGGATGCTCTCCAAACCAAAATGCGCTAGACCATGGACGTCATTAGGTTTTGGACATGGATCCTCTCCAAACCAAAACGCGCTAGACCATGGACGTCATTAGGTTTTGGACATGGATGCTCTCCAAACCAAAATGCGCTAGACCATGGACGTCATTAGGTTTTGGACAGGGATGCTCTCCAAACCAAAATGCGCTAGACCATGGACGTCATTAGGTTTTGGACATGGATGCTCTCCAAACCAAAATGCGCTAGACCATGGACGTCATTAGGTTTTGGACATGGATGCTCTCCAAACCGAAATGCGCTAGACCAGGGACGTCATTAGGTTTTGGACATGGATGCTCTCCAAACCAACGATTTGAATGAAAATCATGATCAAAATGAGGCCCAGAAAACCTTGATTCTGATCGCTAGGGTTTGGGCACGAAAATCGAGACACCCAAAAACAGTAAAAAATCATGAAATTCGCAAAGACAAGTGCTGTAAATACCAGCATTTTCGGGTGCGAGATTGGTGAACAATGTTAGAAAATATGATAAAAATACACACGAAACCAGGAACAGTTGCCACTTTCGATAACTGCGGAAAAAAGTGCTGTAAAACACAGCATTTCCGACCACAGCAAGTCCCAAAAATAAGAGGTTTGGGCGTCGCACCGGGGGGGGATGCCTTACTACTACTACTACTACTACTACTACTACTACTACTACTACTACTACTACTACTACTACTACTACTACTACTACTACTACTACTACTACTAGGCCATCCCCCCCTGGTGCGACGCCGGTCGCTGAGTTCGTGGATGTACAACATGGAAGACAACCCGAACACAGGCTCAAAGAAATCCGGCCTAACATAAAGATGAAGATGATCATGATGATCATGATGATGATGATGATGTTCATGATGATGCTATTCGAGATGGTGCTGACGAAAGTGATGATGAACATGATAATGCTGGATGCTGCTGATGTGCGGTTCTTGTGCCTCTACTCGCTATTGAACTAGTGAACCACAGAGTAAGCTGTTAGAGAGCAGTGGAAAGTACCATCCCCGCTCTGTGCGATGCAAAGAAGCAACATTTCGAAAGGTTTTGGACATGGATGCTCTCCAAACCAAAATGCGCTAGACCATGGACGTCATTAGGTTTTGGACATGGATGCTCTCCAAACCAAAACGCGCTAGACCATGGACGTCACTAGGTTTTGGACATGGATGCTCTCCAAACCAAAATGCGCTAGACCATGGACGCCATTAGGTTTTGGACATGGATCCTCTCCAAACCAAAACGCGCTAGACCATGGACGTCATTAGGTTTTGGACATGGATGCTCTCCAAACCAAAATGCGCTAGACCATGGACGTCATTAGGTTTTGGACATGGATGCTCTCCAAACCAAAATGCGCTAGACCATGGACGTCATTAGGTTTTGGACAGGGATGCTCTCCAAACCAAAATGCGCTAGACCATGGACGTCATTAGGTTTTGGACATGGATGCTCTCCAAACCAACGATTTGAATGAAAATCATGATCAAAATGAGGCCCAAACAACCTTGATTCTGATCGCTAGGTTTTGGGCACGAAAATCGAGACACCCAAAAACAGTAAAAAATCATGAAATTCGCAAAGACAAGTGCTGTAAATACCAGCATTTTCGGGTGCGAGATTGATGAACAATGTTAGAAAATATGATAAAAATACACACGAAACCAGGAACAGTTGCCACTTTCGATAACTGCGGAAAAAAGTGCTGTAAAACACAGCATTTCCGACCACAGCAAGTCCCAAAAATAAGAGGTTTGGGCGTCGCACCGGGGGGGGATGCCTTACTACTACTACTACTACTACTACTACTACTACTACTACTACTACTACTACTACTACTACTACTAGTACTACTACTACTACTACTACTACTGCTACTACTACTACTACTACTACTACTACTGCTACTGGCGCTGTTATTGTAGACTGCTAACACCCTGAATCGCAAGAGTCAGGAGAGTTCGACGAGATTCGATTGCACCATTTCACATACTTCTCCTTGAGCTGGTAGACTGTCATCGTGGACACGTGCCCTGATGCAGTATGACAGGGACCATACACGAGGACGCCGGTTGCCGAGTTGTAGAATGGCCCGACGAAGACCGTGCCATCATAATGCCCTCCGGTCCCATGGTCGTTCCACATGAAGTAGCTCTTGTCCAGCTGCACTTGCTCCGTGTACTCCTCTTTGACGCACATCAAATTAGGCCAATTGTCCACACTCGGGTTGAGGTCATCATCGTCAAGAAACTGCTCACCTACGCTCCCAACGGGCACGTAGCCGTCCTGGCAGATTGGTGTGAAGAAGCCGCCATCCGTGTCACCGCCAGTGCCACGATCGTTCCAGTCGAACTGCATTCCGGTGGGCCTTGTGAGGGCATCCTCATAACCTGGCCGTGTGTTCAACATGATGGCATTCATGAAGCTCACAGTGCTGGGCTCTTTGTGATTTGTGCAGGTGTCACCCAGGTAATACAGATCCGATGAAGACACTGGCTTCCACATGCTTACTTGGACATAGGCCCCCTCCCCAATGTCAGCAAATGATCTGTCAAAGGCGTAGGAAGTCTGGATGTCGAATGGGCAGTCCTCGAACATGAACACTTCGGCACCGGAACCAATCGTGCCAGCTTGTGAGGTGGCCAGGTTAGCCATGGGCAAACTCATGTCATCACAGTCCCAGCTTTCACTGTCCCACAAAAGGCTAGAATCATTTTCCGAGCCTTCAGCAATCTCAAGCCAAGTCGGTAGAGGCGCCAGCCAACTCTCCAATGTATCAAGCTGGGTCTTCCGAACCATTGCTTGGTGAAGGAACCAATGTGAAGCAGTGGAATCCCAGGGAGTGCAACCTCCTTGTCCCAGCATTGCACAAACAGAGATCTCGGCGAAGTAGCACGGCGAATATGGCGGATACCCCGGCCAGCAGATGTTCAGCACATGGTTGTGCTGGAAATCAGGGGGCTCGTCGTAGCATAGTGCATCGTACTGTCCGGGGTAGTAATACCAGCATTTAACACCGGCCCACTCTTCATGCGTGGTCCACTTGTGGCGATTGACCTGGGTGGCCTTCAACTCATTCATGCGGCTCTGCATCAAGTACGTGGCCCGCTTCAAGACCATCTTTGCATAGCAAACGGAGTTGGCTGCAAATTCGGCCTTTTTCATCTTCGACTCGGTGGAGTCGGTATAGAGCCCGGAGGCCAATGCCAGGCTTTGGCTCGAGAGATCTATGCTCAGGAAATGGGGAAGGAGCATGCTGTCCTGCAACCACAAACGTTGGTTCTGCATGTAAGTCACCAAGTCTCTAACACTTGGATGGATGGCCTTCAAAGAACTATTGTAAAGTTTGGCCTGCGAGAGCTGCCATTTGATATTGCCGATATCGCTTTGGATCTGATGCATCTTCATCTGCACGATCTCTGCGGTGTAATTGGCCAATGCATGCTTCACATACTTGCTCACGAAGCGCTCCACATAAGGAAGGATCTGACCATAGACGCACTTGCCCCAGTCACCCTGCTCCACACCGGTGCAAGGGTTTGAAGGGGGTCCACTTGAGGCTAAGAGCACATTGCCCAAAACGGACTCCACGATGTCGTAGACAGGGGCTATTGGTGTGTAGCTGCTGACCACCCAGTTGACCAACTTCTCGCCAACATCTATCCCAGTCTTCGCAGCTGACGAAATGGAATCCTGGCCCTCCTTCGAGGTCTCAATGGCCTCCGCTTTCTTCGGGCAGGATGGGGTCCACTCTTGACCGTTGGAACCTGCGGAGGTATAAGTGCTGTAATTGCCCACCAAGGTGCTCTCTGCGTTCAGGTCTTCAAGTTGGTAGCACTTGCTCAGGAGCTTCTGAAGGACTTTCCACACGGTCTGACTATAGCCCCCGAAGGTCTGGCGCATGATGACGGTGCTTGGGTAGGTACCTGCATCAATCCACAAAGCTGGCTGCGCCAGGTAGTTGTTGTTGTCTGCCAGGAAGCTTGCCATCTCACAGGCCGCCTTCCGTGCTTGGCACTTTGGGCCATAATCCGTGCATGCCGGAGCCGGTTTTAGGGAACAAGAATCCATGCAGCAAATCGCATATGCTGGGTCTGTGCACTGTTGCTGATCCTGGCAGTGGACGTCACCAGATTCGTAATTGATCAACTTGCAGAGGTTTGCTCCACCAAATTTCTCGGAGATCTTCTTTGTGTCGAATTGTGGAACTCCTTCGGCACCACCTTTACCACCTTTACCAGCCCCATCAGCTTTATCCAGGGTCCCGGTCGATGCACTCTTGGAACTCTTGGGCAGCTGCACAAGGGATTCATCCGCACACTCAGACGCCGCGCTCTGGCAGCCCTGATGCGCTTGGGCGAAGAGCAGCGACACGGGGATCCAAAGGCAGCATAAGGCGAGCTTCATGGCCGTTATGGCCAAAATGCAGAGACCCTGGACTCACAGCTTGTGCAGAAATCCGCTCTGAAAAAAACAAGTCGTGGGCAAGTCATAAGCCATAAGGCACAAGACCATGGCTTTTGACTTGCTATTGGCACTCTACTGCTAAAGCAAGAGAAACTCAAGCCTGGCCTAGCTGTTGCTAGCTTTGGTGACTTTCCCGTCCGAGGAGCCCCTGGCCTGCGTGCACCCCTTGGAAGGAGAGAGCTCTGACCTGCAACGGTGACTCACGAAAGAATCTTCAAAGGGCGAGTTCGCGTCAACTCCCTACCCTACCGGTGAAGGGCTAAGCCACGAACTCAACATCTCGATGACATGCTTCGGGTAGCTGCTGGACTTTAGCGCAGACGCAATCTCCTGAAAAGCAAATGGCGAGTGTGGCAAACCCACTTCCTTTCTGGGGACTTGCTGTCACGCGCTAGCCCAGCACATGCGACTCGAAACGGAGTGCTTGAACGCTAGACAGCGGGACTTGTTTCTCCCTTTGAAGCACAGCTGCGCCTCCAAACAAGCTTCCCTCTGCGTTTGGTTCGATAGCTGTTTTGTTGGCATGTTGAGAAAGGCTACAGTAACAGTACTATGTTTCTTGCTGGAGAAATGGATATGAACTAACACTCGGCAGTGCAAGTCAGTCTTGGGACTGATATCAACCTTTCTGATGCAGCAGAGTCCCCCCCGAAAAAGGGCGACACACTCCAATTACTGCACAGCTCATGACAAAGCTGTAGGACAAGGGCAGTCTCCATGCAGCCTGCCGAGAATGATCGGTTGCAACAATGATCGACCACCGAATCCCTGGACAAACTTGTCACCAAGAAAACAAGGTAAGGTCAACCCAGGAACCCAAAAAACATCCACAAAGCAACTGTTCCAATTGTAGTATACAAGCGTACTTCAGCGGCTGTAACCCCTGCGCGTGGCAGGCCCCGTATGTAGATCCCCGTAGCATGACCCCCACAGGTGCAACGGTGGAACCCCCCGCATAGAAGCTGCGCCCCTATCGTAACACCCACCCCTGGAACCTCCCACGCCGCATCCCTTATCGCGACCACATCGGTGCAACCTCCGGCGCCGCACTAGCTCGTCGTGGCCCCCACCGATAGAAACTCCCGCGCCGCACCACGTACCGCGAGCCCTCAGCGGTGGAACCCACGCCACACCACCCAGTGGAACCTCTCGCCGCACCCCGTCTCGCGAGAACTCCCGCGTGCACTTTGTATCGCGGCCCGCACCCGCCCCTACCGATTTAACCTCTCGCGTCGCATCCTGGAGGACCCGCTGGACGCCGAAGACTCTAGATGCTTTCGCTGCCGCGCCACACCCCGTATCAGGGACCACGCAGTTGGGAAACGTTCTTTTCGAGCGGCGGACAAGAAGAGCATGAGATGCACAGCACACATTGACAGTACACGCGCCTTGCACATTTTGCCGATGGCCGGCCCCTGCCGAAGGATTGCAAGCAATCCAGGTACGTAGCGGCATAACAAAGCGCTTACGTTGTTATGTTCGTCTGCTTCCTGAAGTCTGCCGATCAACAACGACCCTCCCTCCTGGTGGCTGTCGGTCGGGCCTTGGCCTTGTTCGCTGCCGCACGGGCAGTAGACGCAGCTGGGCGCTTGACAGGGGCCTCCAAGATCTTGTGGCTACTTCGGAAACCCTCGCGACGCTCAATCTGCTCCTCAAGCCAATACAAAGTGCAAGCTGACATGCATGCTCATGATTGAGCACCGCACCATGGGTCCAAACCTTCAGCTCGCCAATCGAATCACATGCACATGCTCGCACTTCTTGACATGCCTTGCAATCATATGCAACGGAACATCAGAAGCAAACAGCTCTGCAGCCTGTGAGTCCCAGGCAAAGGGATGTGAAAAAGCGAAAAGAGGGGCGCGACGCGTGCTTTTTTGGACCAGAACGTCATGCGACACGAGCATGGTCAACCTGCCTAGCCACTGGCTGGTGTTGCTGCAACATTGGGGAGCATAAGGCCTTTAATTGGCATCGCGCTCTGGAACCTCGAACTCGAATCAAAACCCGAAAACCCCAAGCTTCAAGCCCTTCTCTTGACCCTGGTTTTACTCTCGCAGGTTCTTCCTCTCCGAGCTTCGCGCTTCGCGTGCTCCCAAGCTGCCGGATTCCCAAACTCCAGACACCAAGGGCATCAACCCCAGGGCATCTCTGGAAACTCCACCGTTAGACGGATTCTTGCTGAGCCTAGTTACATCTTCTTGCTAGGGCGGTCTCCCAGTCCCAACATGTCCTGACCCATCACGACACGCGGCTTGCCAGGAATCTGCCCATCAGTTACGGTCCGTAACTGTCTGCAAGGTCACCGGCTGGTGCAAAGCTGCCAAGCGCCACGGTCACTTCCTCGTGGTTCTTCAGCGGCGTGACAAAGTCGGGTCCCATGGCCACTTCCTTCTTGCTGGCCGCAGCAGCATCCTTGAGTCCACAGACACGCTCAGGTCCAGGATTGCTTTGCTGAACACACCATCTGCGAAGGCCGGGAGAGGCGCAAGGACGGCTGCAGAGGCCGTTAAGGGAACGGCCTGGCGCCGCAGCGGGCCAGGCACAAAGGTCCACGAGGCGTGCAGCACCGCGGCAACCGCCGCCACGAGGCCTTTGCAAGCGCCGACAAGCCTAAAGAGCTGAAGAATTCTTCTGGCGGGGGCCCATCATTGTAGTAATGGTTGGAGCACTGGTCGCCAAGGTATAATTCCTCACCGCCATCAACGAATCCCAAGACAGGCCTCCATAGGCTAAGGTCCCGGTGCGAGTCTGTTCCCTTGTCATAATTAGTTTGTTCGAACATGCTCATTCTTGCGATAAATCAAAAAGGGTTCGCCTGATCTGCACTGTTGTAGGAGCGGGCCTGCACGTGGCACGTGGTGTCGACCGACCAGACCCGCAAGTACAGCCAGGAAGAATGTTCGACCCATCGCTCTGCCCTCAGCTGCCTACAGAAACCGCTACTGGCCGCTTCGCTCGCATCCAATTGTTCCGCGATTCCATGGATTAACGACATCTAGCTGAAGGAATAGGCTCTGAAGGCTCGCACGAGGTTCTCCATCTCCACCTTGAGTTCACCTCCAAGCTTCCCAATTCGTCGTGCACGGGACACGTTTGAGGCGCAGGGTGAGAGATGTGACAGCGTGTGAGAGGGTGTGGACGTGTGGGCTTGACTGGCAGCTCTAGGATCAAAGTCGCACAAGTAATCACAGGATTGTGACTCACACCTCCGCGCTTTTACCCTCTTCCACACAATCCAGCAAGTGGCTGGCACATTGACTCATGGGCGCTGGGCGACTCCACGACATCAGCTTCAAGCGATGTCACACGCTCTGGCCAGGGGCCAAGCTTCAAGACGCTCTCTTCCAGCAGGAGGCTGGCACGAGGTCTCAGAACACTCACGGGGCCTTTGGGACAAGCAGGCCTGCTTTCGCTTCACGCACTTTCACACCTACTTAATGAGCAGGATGGTATCGAGTGGCAGGTTCCAAGGGCCTGTGGAGTTGGAATCTTAAAGATGTTCAGGAAGGTCAAGCCGCACTCCAGCAAGTGGCTGGCTCACAACAGCTCAGACCTTTTCATCTTGCATGCATCTACAGACTGAAAGGGAGGCAGTCCCGAGCGTTTCCGATGGATTCCACCCAGGGCGCTGGCGAATTGCAATGTGATCTCGAGAGACTGTCATTCAAAAGGATCCGCCGACCCCACTATGGGGGCGAGCGCCCAGTGAAGCCCTCCTCGCCCCCCCTCCACAACAGTTGCTCCCAGCGCTGCCCCTCCGCCCTCCGACCTTACCCCCCTGCCCAGCTCCCCCCCCTTCTCCTTCCCTCACACGCCTTGCCCTTGGCCCAAGTCCGTACTTTTGCCAGGTGGGCCCCCGACTTTCTGTGCGCATACCCTTCTGCTAGCGCCCATTTCTCCTTCCTCCACACCTTGGCCAAAGTCCGCAAAGACTGTACTTTTCCTGGGTTTCAATGAGGTGGGCCCTCGAGTTTCTGCATGAATACGGTGTTCAGACTCGTGGTGCCGACCCATTTGCGGGGTCGGCGGCAGCGGCGTCAGCCCTTAAATCGGGCAGCGCCCGGTTCCCGAGTGCTTGCGTCCTGTGAGTTCTGACCTCGCGTCAGTCGAGCCGCTCAAGCTATGCGAAGCAAAAAGCCACAACCGCCAGTGCCGCCGACCCATGCCGACCCTGCTTCATCAAAACCCCCCAGGAGGCCAGCCGGCGAGCATCATCAGCACACGGGCGCCTGCAACCGGCCAGGTGGCGCGAGGCGATGTTTTGCATTTTTTTTGAATGGGTTGCGGAAGCCCCCAAAAGCGCGCATCATCATCATCATCATCATCATCATCATCAGCCGGGTCCGGAGGAGGGCGAGTGCGGGCTACAGCGAGGGCCGACGAGGACGGAGAGGGCAAGCGGCTTCTACCTGCGCTGCCCGTACGTGGGCGCAGCCCCTAGAATCTAGAATAAGGTGGATCGCGCATGAAAAATATGAAGGAGCTACGGGCCAGCTCCGCATCCTGGATACAAGCCTATGGAACAGGACTACTTCCTCGGGTCTCAGACCTGTGCGAGGCTCACATTAGCATGGCTTATCCTTCACAGGAGTGCTGGCACTTCACATACAAGTTTCGGTCACCGGGCGGGTGGGCAAACTTGAAGCTGGGAAGGTTGGCCGGCTCAAAAGTCTGCGACAAGCCCGGGAAAAAGTCGACGGGCTCACCACACGCCTTCCGGGTGATGCCGCAGACCTGGCTTGGAACCAGCTTCTCTTGGATTGCTTCCAGCAGACCTCGGTAGCATTGTTGATAGGTCTGGCAAGTACAAGACAGCCACGCCCCATCTGTCGTCTCGTTCGTGCAGCTCATGCTCGAACCTAGCAAAGCTCCCTGCAAGAGCTCCACTTGCGTCTGGCACGTCGCATCATGAAACTTGTTGCCTTGATGGAGCGAGATGTAAGGGTAGTCGTAGACCAACACCCTGAAGCAATTCACCAGTCTCCGACACTCCGCGTGAACGATGAAAAACTTCTGCGACCCTGTGTCCATCTGGACGGACACCGTCTGGGGTGGGGTGCCCACTGCCACCTCTGCAGTGATGGTGCCATCTGTTCCGAGGACCTGCCCTGGGGCACCGTGCAGTGGAATGGCATTCCCAGGGATTTGGCCATAGTCCTTGGTACAGCCGTCAGCAGGGCCCAAGTCGACGAGCGTGGGAGATGCAAGGTCCGTGGTGTTGAAAAGCAGGTTCTTACCCCAGAAGTAGGCAGTTCCCAACAAGACATGGTCACCGCCACTCTTCGTCCAGGAGATATGATACACGCCGGAACATGGCTGCTTCTCGTAAAAGAAGCTTGATTTCGAGATGACCAGGTCATTTTCGGGACCCACGTTGATCACCAAATCATGCATGTGCTTCAAGGCACAGTCCTTCATGGCTTCACTGGCGTCTATGTAAGACGTGACCACATACTTCGCGTTCAGGTTCTCCAAGTTTGTCTTGCCCCAAACATGTTTGCATTCGTCGTCATGGTGCTTGATGCGGTCATGAACATGCCCAATTACTTCTTCCAGGACACTCATCGGAATCTCCAGGCCATGAGTGCCCGAGTCCAAAAAGTTCTGGCTGTTGCTAAGCGAATTGGTGTTCCATGTCTCGCTGGCCACGGTGTGCAGCACCTTGCCATCGAAGGAGAAGGTGACGTTGTCTGTCTGCCCCGTAAAGCTGGACAGCACCGAGTAGTACGGATTCGATGAGCCGCTGGCCGGGACCATCGGAAAGACCGTGGCTTGACTTGGAATCGCATCAGCTGGCATGCCCAGGTACATGCGCCCACCGCCGGAGGATGTGTCGTTGAAGCACATGGTGAAGGCCCGCTGCATTGGCCCATCCCGGGAGAGTGCCGTGAGCAAGTCATTGAACTGAGACGAGTCCTCGCAATTACCGGTCATGCATCCTGGATGTAGGCCGACGATGCCGGCAGCGGCCGCGACCGTCTCAAAGAGGTCTCCCTCAGGCTGGTTGCTCGTCAAGGCGAGACCCACCTTGGCAAAACCTTTGAAGCCTCCCCAATGGACCGTGTCGTTACCGACCAGCCCCAGCGCCCACATCCAATAGTCTGCACCATAAGCTTGCCAGTAGAGCTCTGCAGAGTCAGAGGGCTGCAACATCTGGTGCTTCGAAAGTTGCACATGGGACATCTCCTCTGGACACATCTCTTCCGACATGACCGCTCCCACAACACTCAGAAGCCACAGTGCGGACACCATGGCACGTAGCCTTGGAGGGAAGGAGGGCAGGAGCTTGGACACTGCGGGGCGCTTCAGCCAAAATCTGGATGTCTCCCAAACGCAAAGATGAGAAGCGCTTACGGAAGAAAACGAAGATTAGCAACGAGCGAATCTAAGCGATTCCCAGCTTCAACGGGCGCACCCTGCACTTCTTGGAATCGCAACAAAACTTCAAGATGGAACTGTCTCGTCTGCAAAGATGGCGTCAAAAGAAGAGCCTAAGACTAAGACTTTATTCGGGATGACATGTATACAGATGTTCTGCACATGGCAAAAAATGCAAAAAACATCAAAAGACTGCAAGTAGAGTAGGTGAGCCCTTGCCCTTGGAGCCAGGGTTTGGGGGGGTGCAAGTGGCTGGTGCCGTTGTACGCCACCTCGCGCTTTGGATGGTCCGCATTTGACCATTGCAGGGGTCAGGTCCCATTCACAGCGGCGTTCTAGGTTCTAGCTCCCCTAGAGATCGCTGTGTGCTCATCCTAGGATCCATCGTCGACTTGCTCTTGAGGCTTAAAGCATCGTGTACATCTCCTCACCGTTTTCGATCTCAAGATCTCAAAAACTCCCACCTGGGCATCCCAAGGACGGAATTGCTGCTGGGGTCCGTGAGGACAACCTCTGCACAAGCAGATTTTGGAGGGACTGGTTGGTGCCCAAAGTGCCCCAGGGGGTTTCGAGTCCCCGAGCTTGGGTACCCGGGCGAAGGAGTCTCGTGCGTGCTCCTCCCTCATCTGCTGCCGCTGGCGCTCCTCAAGTGCACGATGCGAGGCAGTAAGGTGGCCTTTGGTTGCAGTAGTACAAACAACACTCAAAGGGTTCTTAAAAGTTGCACTTGCGATGAACATTGCGGTTGCAAAAGCAACCTTATTTCAGGGCCCGAATCAACCTACATACGCGCAAGCATTGCGAAAGCGATGGCAATCGAAAACCCCACAGCTGTGCAAGATCCGATTCTCACACTGGACCCTCTAGACTCTACCCCGTGGATCTTCCTCCGAATTCCGAGGTACCTCGGCCACTGTCTTTGTGTTGGAATAGAGGCCTTGGGATGCAGATCGGGGTCTCGCCCGAGCTCTAAGCATACTGCAACATACAACCACAGTTCAAGCTTCAGCTCAAACTTCAGAGGAAATGAACGCTTTTGCATTGAAAGGGGTCATCCGTCTTCGGTTTGTGCTCTGAGCTTGCAGAAGAAAGTAGCTCTCGTGGATGAAGCCAGGTTGCTTGGGACGAACTCTGGGCAGCCGGAGACTGGCGCAAAGGCATTTCATGTGCTCCTCAGTTTGAGCAGATTTGAACATCAAGATTCAAGATGAACATGCAAAGATGAAAGGCTTCACTTCCACTTTCGCCAAGGGTTTGGGGCGGACGTTCACTTGTGGCTCCCTCGCCACCATCCTCGCCTCTCTGTGATTCGAAAAGAGGCGATTCGTATATGGGAGGACTTCAACAGCACTCTTCGCGCCCAGGGTCGCAGACTGCGTGGGGGCGTGGGAGCCTCTGCCCAGCTCTCAGCTCAGGATCCAACAGCCCCCGCCAGCATTTGACACGCTCGCGGTCTCACCTGCCGGATCGCGAGCTCTCTTTCTTCTAGTACTGTAAACTCTGAAGCGAAGGTCTGCGCCTTGCATCAAAAGCTTTGCTTAATGCCCAAAGCAGCCTGCACCTGGTATGGAGTGCAGCAGTGTCGCGGCAATTCCGGCAGGGCAAGGCCGTAGATCTGCAGGGCCAACGGTGTGGGACATGGAGTGGGGCTGCGACGATGCGAGTCTGTAGGGTCACACAGGTGTCGACATTTGGGCAAGGTGGCAGCTGACGACTTTATGTGGTTTTGGATGGTTTACGATTCGGGCACGAAGGTTTCAGTAAGGAAGAAGAAACTAAGAACCCACCCTGAAATCATCCATCTGGCATCCTTGGATTACATGGTCCCATGCTGAGAGATTTGCAGGCATGTCGCTGACACCATTCTTGCAGCTGCGCATGGGAAGATTCGCCTCGTCCCCTTCCACACGGCGCGGAGCCGCGCTTTGGCCTTCGTTTCTTTGTAAAGGAACCGTAGACAAAACCTCCCACGCTTTCAGAACAAGAACTAACACTCTCTCTCTCTCTCTCGCTTTCTCTCGCGCGTGTAGACCTCCTGACGACCGCGCCATTCACTTGCTGTGGTGGCTTCGCTTCGCTATCGTGTTCCGCGAACGCCCAGCAACACTGCTACGATGAGGAAATGTGGACAGCAACGACCACAAGACACTGCATACACTGCGCATCTTTGCTGTCATCCTCAACCTGGACGTGCTGGAGAAGAGGGGAAGCAGTGGGATCCGTTGGCCGCGAAGCTGCTTCAAATTCGGCGCATGGCACGCGTAAGGGCTGGGATCCTGAGCAACTTCACCCTAAAGATGATTCTACATCCCGGTCCCTACCAGCAAGGGCAGCCGCTTCCTTACTCCGCAAGCAGAGGTCTGCAACAGAGACAGGACGCTCTCTTTCCTGCGCTACAAAACACTGATTGATGTGCCTCTCCAGCCGGAGTTTTGCGATCTCGACCTCAGACAGTGGAGTTGAAGCTTCACTGATCTGTTCATCTCTATATAGGGACAACTTGCAAACACGGGGAAAGTCTGCATCCTGCGCTTTGACATCTCGACACCGCGGCGCACATGTGCCATGATGTGCCATGTGCTTGGGTTTCAGGCGCTGAGCGTTTCCAGGAGCCGAAAGCAGTTCTGTCTAGGATCACCTAGCTACCGGCATAAAATTTGCATAAACTGCCTCCTTGCTTGGTGCCCGAATTCACCAGCCGCACTGCGGAGGACATGATTGTCGACGTGCTTTCGCGAAAGGAACACATTTGTCAGTCTTGCCCCTGTTGCGAACCAGTGCACACTCCAGAAAAGATCTTCATCTGGCGCGCGCCGCCCCATGGATCCAACAGCCAACACTCGGAAGCATGAAACAACAATGACAGCAACAGCAATGACAAGACTGCCGCCTCCTCCTCCTGCTCTGCTGCTCTGAAAACCCATCACCAACTCGGCCGACGAAGCAAGAGCGGATGGTGGGGTTTAGCGCCACGGGACTTAACTCGATTCCCGCAGGCCTACACTGCAACAGACCAGCTACTAGGCATGCTGAGTCCAACGTCAAAAGACCGGAAGTTTTACGAGTTTATGTTAAAAAAGAAACTGAGTGGCTCTCCATCAAGGGCATCGAAGCCTGTAGGTCACTGAGCAGCACGCCAAGATCGTGAAAGGAGCTTCGCCGTCAAGGACAACCACCACGCTCTTTGTTTCGGTGCGTACGATTTCAAAGAGGTAGTCTAGATTTTCCAGCTGATCACAATCCAAGAAGACCCTTGTCGGGCTGTGTCGTGCAATTACGAGCTTCATCAACCGGCAGAGGCTTCCGGCACCACCCTGGGCAGGCTTGTGAGAAAGGGTGGCTACGTGGGCTCCCGACACCCGAAACCTATGTCGAACCTGAGATCATGAAGAAGTCGCCCAGAAAAGAGGAAATATAGATCGAACTTATTCGCCTGCCTTGTGGTGGCACAGAACTATGCCGCAGGGACACCGCTTCCGAAAATGATGCACGATGGCTCGCAGAAAGCCCAGCAAGGCCATTACCAAGATCATCACCACCGGTATGCATAAGAAAATGCCCAGAAAAACCGAGGAGTCAGTTTCGTCGAGCTTCAGGAGGGGTCCAGCACCCAGTAGCCTCAGAGAAACCACATCACTCAAATGTTTAAGTATTAAGTCTATTTGCACCCTTGCGCCCAGCCGCACAATAATCAACAGCCCGATCAATGCCAGGTCCACGTGGTTCACCTGCTCAGTACCTGGGTTCTTGCTAAGGGATCTCACTTAGGTTGTAAAAACAAAACCCTCTGTACTATAGACCCCTAGCATGGGTAACTTGCATTACATCCCTTAACCTTGTAGACCCCTTGTGGAAGGCTTTTAAGCGACTCAAAGTTATGGTAGCTGAAATTCAAGCCCTTAACCCTTACAGAAACCTGACAGAAACCCTTAAAGGAGCCTCAAAACATGGTAACCTTCATTAGACTCCTTAAGGCCTTAACAGTCCTTTATGCAAACTGAAGGAACCCTCAATTATGGTAACTTAGACCTCCTTTGCCTTAACGTAACATACCTGAAAGGAACCCTCAATAATGGTATCTTTGAGACCGAGCCTTTATAGAAACCTTTAAAGATCTTTAAAGCAACCTCCAACTATGGCATTTTATTCAAACTCCTGAACCAGAGCCCTTATAGAACCCTGTTGAAGTCTCTTGAGGCCAACACCTACGTAGCCATGAAAGGCTCTGTGGAGCTGAGCTCCATGAACTTGATACTGTAGGTTTGCAAAACATGCAGTTAGCTCTTAAGCTAGTCTAGAGGACAGTCACAGAACTTCGCATGTTTGCTGCTTGAAAAGTCGTTCGGCGTGCCGAAGTAAGCCCATGGATGCAGAGGCTGGTTCAGCGCCTTGAGTTGAACTGATACTGAGAAGATTAGCATGGCTTCGGACGCTGGTGAGAACCCTAACCTCCAGGATGTTCCTGGGGTTCAACAGGTTATGAGGCGCCCAAACGCTGCCGCTACGCAAGGCAGTGGTGACAATTCGAGACCGTTGGTTCCCAACGGTGTGCCTGGACCAGGACCCATGACGGGCAGCCAGGACATGGATGGAGAAGTGGTTGCGGCAACTGCGGCAACCTCTGGCGATGTTCGCCAGCCGACTGCAGCAACGACGACTACGAGAACTACTGGGACGGCCCCGGAGGCGGGTCGTGGGCAATCAGAGCCGAGTGGCTTTGTGGAGCAAGGGCCAGGGACCCTCGAAGGTCCAAGCCCTGGCTTTGGCGTGACCTTTGGAGTGGACACTGGAGGCCATCTGCCCTGCTCAGCCAGCAAGAGCAAGTATGTTGTCTGGGGTGCTGAGGGCAGTCCAGACCATACCCGCGGCGGTTGAAACGCTGGTTACGAGGTCGGGTTCAAGCCGGTCGGCTGTGGGGAATCGAGAGCAGCATGATAGCGTCGAGTATGCCTCGGTTCGCTCCTCAACAGAAAGACCTGCTCCACCCCCACCGCCTGGGGCTGACGCCCAGGGACCGCTACTTGAAGCAACTTTGACTCGCATGCAAGACTTGACCGCCAGAGCTCCGTTGTTGTATCCCTCTCCCTCGCTGGAGTACGCTGGTCAAAGGATGACCTATGAGCTTCTACATCTTCTGGTGAACTTCAAGCTGAAGTGAGGAGGCAACTTTCTGAGCTGATGGCAGTTAGGGATGAAGAGGGTAGGAGGCTCCGCGCCCAAGTTGAGGCGCTTACTATGGAGAATCACAGTCTCCGACTTAGAGGCGAGCTTGAAGCCCACCAGATGATGCAGCCCTCCAGGCCGGTTGGGAGTATAAGTTTCCCTGGACTTGGGTGGTTTGGAAGGGGGCTGGGATCTCTGATAGGCCGCAGGCCATTCACGAACGGAGCAAGCCTTGGATTTGGGCCCGCCCCAAGTACCACGTCCTCCACCTTCTCCCGCAATTCCCTCCCGTATGCCTGAAGCGATTCAGCCGTCGCCCAGGGCGATCTTGAACCACGAGATGAGGTTTGGGCATGAGTCCTGGCAGGGCACCGGAGCTGCCCCACGGGAGCTGGCAAGTTATGGTTTAGTCCCAAACTCGCCGATCCCTAATTCCTTCCCTAGTGACCCTGGGGGTCTCAGGTCCCTGTGCAAGGAAGCCCAGTACTCCCTGCCCATTTTCTTCCAGGAGTTGAACCCGTAGGAGGCCCTTCGCGTTTGACTGAAACAGCTCCTGTAGGATGCGCCGCACCAGCCGATAGGACCCTCAGGCCCCGAACCCCCGGCTCCTGAAGCACCGCAGCTCGGCCCAGGATTGACTGGACCTGACCAGTCCAACGCGGGCCGAGTGCCTCCAGGACCTGAGGGTTTTGGGGTAGATCCTATGAGTGTAGTCCTTACGGGTATGGCGCAGCTACAGTCTGTAGTGCAGGGAATGGCTAGTCCTAAGAGTGAGGTGAAACCTGAAGCGATTAAGCCCGGAGTGTTGAGTTTGCCGGAACTTCCGGCGCACGGCCCGGAGAGCTGCTTGGCCTTTGCGGACTGGCTTCATGCATCTAAGCCAGCCCTAGCCGATATCAGTGACACGTCGGAAGACCTCTGGTTAAGACTGTTCAAGAAGCGCAAGCTTGGTATAGCCAATACCTTAAGCTAGATCCACTCGCCCGCCTGACAGCCAAGCCATGCCAAGCCTAAGGCTTCCGAGGAACTCACTCAGGTGAAGTGGGGCCGAGTAGCCCGAAGGATCGAAACGATGATCGGAGGAAGGCAGCAAGGATCATCCGAGCCCGCTGCGACCGGTCGGATGCTATGCACGTTCTACTCGGGACCTAGTGGGTGTAAAAAGGGGCTGATTGCACATATGAGCATAACTGGAATGGGTTTTCGGCGGCTGAGAGATCGGTTCGATGCAAGAATTGCGGTGGGAAGTCCCACAAGTCAGCTGACTGTAGGGCTGGAGCTCGACCGGAGGATGCTAAGGCGAAGCCAAAGGGCCCGAGAGCCCCGGGACAAGCCAAGGCAACCCCTGAAGGGCCAGGGGTTCCACCCCCACCTAATCTAGGCACTGATTCAAGCCAACAGCATATTAAGGGCCTCTTAGCCGACGCTGCGAGAATTCTCCAACAGTCTACGCCCTCGTCCCAGGCGAATCCTTCAGACCTTCCATTTGTTCAGGCAGTGCCTATTCCCAGCGCCCCTTCCGGGCCACCTGCCAAGGCGCCTCCTGCGGCCCCGGTTCAGGGCACTCCCATAACATTGGCCTCGCTGAGCGCGCAGATGGATCAGCTGCGGTCTCTTTCAAGGGATCCTGAAGTTGAGGTGTGTGCTGCCACAGATCGCCTGGGAAGTTTAACAGGGACCACTGAGGGTCTTAGGCGACAGCTGACTTCGATTTGGGAAATGATTCGGAACTTTGAGGTGAAGTCTGGAACAACTCCGAGGGACCCTGAGGGGCCACCAGTTGCCTTACTGGATAGTGGGGCTATGCACGCGGTCATTCCCTTTGATCCCAAGCTCTCCGACTTGGAGAGGGTCCCAGTGACCCCTGCCGGCGACGCACGCCAGGATTGGTATAAGACTTGCGGGGGCACCTTATAATAGTTCCCCCTGATCCGTCACTTTTTTTCCAAAGACAACTGAACACTACACCAACAGCTACCGGCGCCTGCCCTCTTTAGGGCAACAGCTTCTGAAAACCCCCAGGCGGTGAACAGGTCTCTGCCTACGGCACTGCTCACAAAACAGCTGCTGACCCCGAATCTGGAAAGAATGACTGCGATGCACGCCTAAGCTGATCAGCACAGGCAGGCTGACCCGGCCGCCCGGGCAAACACAAGGCATTTCAAGCTTGGCCCGCAGGGCTGCGCAGGAGTCCAGCCTCTTCAATCGCAGCTTGCACCAGAAACACTGGCAATCCCCTTCAGCATCATGAGTCCAGAAATGGGTCGGGGAGAGCATCTGCGAATCCCTCACCAACTCTGCCCGAGTAGCCTTTCTAGGCCCACAAGGTTTTCTCACAAGCTGCTGCTTGTTTTGCAAATGGAATTTCGTCGCTTTCCAAAGCCAATCGCATACAGCCTCCGTCCTACGGTCAAGCCAACCTGTGTAAACATAATGAGGTTTCGCATTTTGTGCCAGCACGACATCCCTGGCAGTAGCATAGGCATCAGCCTTTTGGTTTCCAAACCACTGCAATAAGTTGTCAGTCCCAAACTGTTCCACAAACACTTCCCTACTGAGGTGGCTCTTGATTTTACTAAGCTGCACATGCTCATGTTGTGATCGCCGTACATGGATGCGACCCCAAACATCGGCATTCCTGCAGTTCAAAGGGACAAAGCTATCATGTGCACGAAAACGCTGGACAACATACTTGGCGTCAACAGCAATGGTCAGACCGTGCCGGGACGTTGTCGCCTCCAATGCAAGTTGAAGAGCAAAAGCTTCAGCCCGAGGTACAGTCTGCTGCGCACATCCACCCGCAACATTGGCAACCAAGCTCCCAACTTCAACGAACTCATCGTCTCGACATACAACCGCAACCACAGCACAAGCACATTGCCGTTTCCGCGGATTAGAACTGAAAGGACCTCCGCTGCCGTCAGTTGCAAGAATGACACCCGGCTCAAGCTCAACCGGCCATGCTTCAGCAAAAATGCCACTACATTCAACTTCTTCAAGCAAGGTTGGCAAGCTAGTCCATTCAAGCGGGACTACACGGAAATGCCAGAAACACCATTGCTCGGGTTTTCGGTGATGCAAATACCAATCCGGCGCTGGATGTCCCAGTGCTTTCAAGACAAGCGGACACTCCCACAACCAATGATGAAACATGTCGTCCGGATCCTGATGTATTGCTCCGCAAGCACATTCCTGCGTGGCATGGGCTAGGCCATGCAGGGTACCTTGTACCGCGGAATCAAACAAACCCACATCATCAGGCGCATGCTTGCAAATCCTGGCACGCATTTTCTTTGCAACACTAACATCAAAACCCTCTTTCAACCTAGCGGTCTTCAAACTTTCAGCAAGTTGCTCGGCCTGTTGTCTGCAGATGGTTTGCTCCATCCGCTGCCACAGACAACAAACACTGTAGGGATCACTCCAAACACATCCCCAGGGTCATCCAGCCAACAAGAAAGCCGCGGGACGGACCATCCTAGATCAAGCAAAATCGCGATCATGGCCCTGATGGGGCCTTTCACATGCATCCAAGGGTACCGAACAGTCCCTAGAAACTGCCATTCACTGCGCCAGACCTTGTCCAAGGTGGAGCGTTGTCCCGTAGTGAGATTGCGGTACAACTTTATAAACATTTCCACATGCTGTCGGCGACACAAGAACAAGGGATCTTGATCCCTGGAGAAACCAATCAACATCGCAACTTCAATGAAACCAACACTCTTCAACACGCCAGCGGCTCTAGCCATCCGAGCTCGCAGAACACGCAGCTGGCCCTGGTGCCCCCAAAGAGCAGTCGGCACTACATTGGTTTTCAGCAACTTGTTTCTTTGCCTCTTTGGACAGACCTTTCTGTCGTCTGGCACGCTGCTGCTTCACGATGCGCCTTCGACCCAAAGTGCAATCAAGCCCCAAATCTTTCAACACAACCTCGACTTTCACACGACTGTTCCTCTGAGCTAATGCCGCCTTCAACTTTTTGGCCAAACGTGCCGAGCTGCACAAGAATCCTGTTTTCTTGATTGACATTCTCAAACCCTCGGCTTCAAGCCGTTGGGCCAACAGCTCTGAAACTTCACAAGCTTCTTGCACCACCTGCTCCTCATCAAAATGAAAAACATCAACGCCAAGGTCGTCAACCCAACTGGTGACCATGCGTGGCACTCTGTAGTAGTCGAAATACAACGAGTGCAGGATATCATGCAGTTGCACTTTGGCCAAATAAACCGAAAAGGGATCTCCCGCAACCAATCCTCTGGCTGGTCGGATGGGCTGGCTCGCCATGCCGTCAGCACACAGTATGCGGGGACCTTCATGGAAAATGACACTGTGATGAAGGAGAAGAGGAGGGAACCTCAGAGCAAGTCCTTTAATGACAAGCACATCAACATTGATGCAATCATAAAAGTGCTCTAAGTCAGCCAGAAGGGAGATTTGTTCGGTTTTCAAACTGCCACTCATCTCGCCTCGCGCTTGTCGCATGCATGCAGCGTCAAACACCGTGGAATGCTCCCTCGCAAAATCTCAGGGGGCCTGCTGCCGATAATCACGAGCCCACCTGACCACCAGAAATCGCCTCATTTTCGCCCACAGCCTGTAAACCGTAGCTAACAAGCCAATTGGCCGTTCGGCCTTGGAGTTCTTGGGCAACAAAGCAATAGCAACATGTTGAACATTCTGTGGCCACTGCCCAGTGGCCTCTATTTCGTGATAAAACCACGTCAGATCGCGGAGAGCTCCATCGGGCATTTCCTTCAAATCTTGAAACGTGATGCCATCAATGCCCTCTTTCTTGTTTGGCACATGCATGAGAGTTTGTTTGATCTGTGCACTGCTGATGGGCTTAAGCTCCTTGGCCTGCTCTATCGCCCTCGCCTTCAACTCAGCGCGATGAGGGGATAATTCCTGCTTCAATTCAGCCTCTCCCCACAAGTTAACCCAGTACTCCCGACGTTTTCCAGGGCGCTCGTCAAATTTGACCTTATCAAAAGGGCGCTCTGGGAGCTCACTGGGTTTCTTGAGGTAGCGATGCGCAAGCCTAGCAGTGCCTGCAGTTGCCTTTTCCTTTTCCTTCCACTCATCTAGCCTTTGCTTTTGTGCGGCAAGGACCTGTTCAAGTTCCAACTTGCCCACAGCTTCAACCGTCTTCAACACGTTGTCTAACATCTCCCCCGACAAATCCAAGACAGTACGCAACCCAAACTGCAAACTCACCATGGACACACCGTTCTCAAGCGGCCGCCAGTACTTTGACAGTTTGTCCGCAGCTTCCCTGATCTTCTTCCAGAGAGTCAGTTTATGTGCCACTGATTTTCGGTCCTGTTTTAACATGGTGACTTCAACAATCCAGCGGTGCAAACTTTGCCAGTACCCGACCTTTCCATCTTTCCACACTTCCCCTGAGCTTTGTCTTGGCAGCTTAAGCTGGTGTTTTATGGTCAAACACCTACCTCTGCCAAGGTCATCCTCCGGGATATCAGTAGCCACACTGTACGTCCAACTTTCAAACTGATGCATGAAGTCAGCATACTTGCTGTTCAAGCGGGCATCCTGATTCAAACATGCACTTCACACGGCATCTGCTGCTGCACATCCTTTACATGGAAACTGGCCCACGGCAATCGTGGCCCGAAACACTTAGGAAAGCGCATGAACCGTGACAGCGCCGGTACTCGCCACTGCCGCAACCGCATGTTCAACACAACATTCACACCATAATGAGGTGCCCACGGCACTGCATGCTCAACCGACGTTTCAACAGCACCATACAGGTGCTTGCTGACAACTACATAGTCCAACTCATTTCCGCTAGCAATCGTAGCTGAGTTGGTTACAACCAGCTCCCCTTTGACTGCTTCCAGAAACCAGTGTTCCTTCAGTACACTGGGTGGCTGATTCCAATCCGCCAGCACCATCCATGGCACTTTTAGCATGCGCAAAGAGCTTGCAAGCTCTGTCAACAAGGGCTTGTTGGTGACCGATTCCAGGTGCTCTCCAGACTTGAGATAAAGCGACACAACCAACACCTCAACCCCTTCAAGCCACACAAAAGTGGACACAAACGAATACCCAGCTCCTCCTGCGAAACCTCCGGTGGCTTCAACAGCATCACTACGGGTGAGAACAGCCGCACCGCCCACAGCTTTCCCCTCAGTAGTGCTTGTCACAGCGGTACATTTCCAACCTCGTTGGTGTAGCCACACTCGTTCATCTTCCAGTTTGCTACCCCTGAGGCCATGCTCCACAACCGCCCATAGCACTACACCCTTCATGCTCTCCAAACACATGCGGACCTTTGCGCTCCAAGACGTGACATTCGCAAAGAACAGCTTCACTGACTTGAAAGTGTTGAGTCTCTCCTCCTGTGTCCACAACAGCAGCTGGCTCATCCACACCCCACCCCTTTCGGCATAACTGCATGGCAGACATACGCCTTTCCTGGGATTGGGCAGTGTAATGGCTACCCTTGCTGCTGGCCCTGAAGTGGTGCGACCTGCTGCGCAACCCTGCGGCGCTTGGAATCCTCACCCGACAGGAGCTTCTCTAATTCCGTCCTATGGACTTCCGGTACCTGATCCCCGGCTGTCTGCAACTACTGAGTGATTTTGGAATCCTTTTCCACCTGCTGTTGTTGCATACCGGCCATCGCTGCTTGGAGTTCAGCAACTTGCTGCTGTAGCTCATCCTGGGCTGCGCGGACTTGGTCATGTGCTTGCTGCCGCCCCCGCTCAGCTGCCTCTGCAACTTGGCGTCGCATGGATTCCGATGTGGCCCACCCTGGCACTGGTGGTTCCAACACGTTTGCCTTGATGACTTTTTCTTCGTATTGCTTACCAATTTCCTCCACCACCTTCTGGTGCTCATCAAGCTCTTCTTGGAGGTTCTGGCAATCGGTGCATAGTTGTTGCCACGTTTCCTTAGCCTTGTCAGCTTTGACATGTAAGGCGAGCTTTTTGGAGGACAAACTCCGCTGTTTGGCCGTTGCCTCTTTAAATGCTCGCCAAACCTTTTTGGCATCTTCTGATGCTGTGGGCTCTGGAGGCTCTGTGTGCAACACCGGGAGCAGGGTGTTACATAGCTCCGCTGGCATGGCCGGCCAATGCTGACGCAACATGTCCGAGACCATGTGCTTCCACTGATCAACCGAGGAATCCGCCTTTGGCCACTTGACCACATCTGGAGACTCGGTACGACCCTGTGCACTGGCCGCTGCTGCTGCTGCTGCCAAGGCTCTGGCTGCTTCAAGCACTGGTTGTGGCGGGGCAGGTGGGAGTGGTGGACCTTTAGGTTTACCAATTCCCGCTGCTTTACCATGCCATGGAATTTGTCCCGCTCGGGTCGACCACCCACTTTGTGGTGCCCAAGTTTCTGCCCGGTTTGCAGTGACATGGGACTTTGCATACGTGTACGACATGCCATTGTCCACAAGGCTTTGTTGCCACTCCATCCCGCATCTGCAGTAATGGGTCTTTCCCAGACGATTAGCCCATAGCCAGCCGTCACAGCCTGGACTTGAACAAGACACATAAGCAGTACCCGCTGCCATTGCATCAGCCAGCTATCTTTGCTAGCTTCTTTTCAGAGCCTTCTTGAGACGCACACTCTTGAGCCGTGCTATCTGCTATCACTCCCTGATCCGTCACCGACTTCAACCAAGCCCGCGCAGACCATAATTCCATTAGGAGCACTAGTGGAAAGCCTGGGTTGTAGCCTGCAGTGGAGCAGGAGAAAGGGGCTTAGAGTCGTACACCCTGTACACTTGGTGTACTCAGAACAGGCATTTCGCCTAACACGTGCCCTCACATTCAGGAGGACCAGGCGTTGACACTGATCGTGGAATTGGAGACCCAACGATTGGGGGGATTCAAGCAACAGGTGCAGAATTTGGAATGTCGCCTCGAGGCGGCAGGATCCTCCCTGGACCCCACGGATTCTCTTCGCCGATACGCTGGCACAGGGGACCGAGGCGATGCCCTCCGTGCCTTCCTAGCGCAGCCTTATCTGGCAGGACTTCCTGAGGAGATCGCTGTAAGCCTGTCGGAGTCTGTTCCAGGGGACTCGGCCGATTTAGCCAAGACTCTTCCTTTGAAGCGAGCCACCAGGAGAGCCCTTCTCAATAGTAATCAGTGGGTAGTGCACCTGTGTGCGGGGCCTCCTCGGCCCGATGATCCACGGTAACTTGGTGTAACGAAAGAAGTTTAATGATGTTTCCTGTGGACTTGCAACAGCCCGGGGGAAGGGGTTGGAGTTGGGACCTAATTGTTCGAGATGGAGTGTGGAAGGTCCTGTTATGGGCAGGTTCGCGGGGCAAGGTAGCAGCCGTATTTGCGTCCCCGCCTTCGTCTCCTGCTGTCACCCGACTGGTTGCCCAGGCAATGCTCCTATGGTCCTTGTCCTCGGTCGTAAGGGGTACGGGGATTCCTTATGTTGCTGAGCATGAGCAGTTTCCAGCAGCATGTGCGGACGCTTTCTTGACGTGGTCGGGAACGAGACTTGTGAACGTGAGCCAGGGAGCCTTGGGTGATGAGTACCTCCGCCCCACAGTGCTTACAACAAACCTAGACCTGACTTATGTGAGCAGGTTGAAGCCGTGTGGTAAGCAAAGCGTCCCTCCGAAGGGGCGTGAGTGGACCTGGTCCTTGAGGTATGAGCTAGCTAAGGCGTTGTCAGGGAATCCGTCCAGCCCAACCTGTGAGGAACTGGACAGGGAGATTGCTCGAGGGCTGGCTTCCACTGGTCTGCAAGTACATCCTCCAATTGATCGGTTACAGGGTGAGTCCTTGTCCACTGCAGTGAATGTTGGATCATTGCTAGCTGATGAGGATTCCGATTCTGAGGAAGCCCTGTTGCGGGCCTTTGAAGCTGAAAGTGATTTGGATTCAGTAAGTGATATGGAACTTCCTGGACCAGGTGACCTAGGTGTAGGGGCTGAGCCTGAGCCGGGGGTCCCTGACTTGGAAGCAGTGGAGCAGGATCAAATTGAGGGTGAGCCTGGACTCCAAGACTCTGGCATCAATCCTCGGCCGCTGAGTGCTGAACAGCAGGCAATTCCGAAGGCGGAGGTTGCTAAGTGGCGTGCTCACCTGGCTAATGGACATGTGCCTTACAGGAGAGATTGCAGACAGTGTGTTGAAGGGGCGGCCCTGGGTGTATTTCACAAGCGTGTAAAGTACCCGAGATCATTTGCCCTTTCAGTGGATTTGTTCCCGATAGCGGAGGCTGGACGTGATGAGAGCTGTGTAACGGGAAAGAATGTTTTGAGATATGGACTTGTGGGGGCGTTCAGGGTTCCTAGGTCTCTTGTGCAACAGGGTGAAACTGGAGATTGCGTAAGTGACTTGTTTGCAAAGGGGAGGCCCAGTCAACCGATTGACTATGATGAATTGGCTGAGTACGAACCGTCTGAACATGGGAGTTGCCCTCCAGAAGTGCCTGCTCAGGAGGAGGTGCCTGTCACCCATGACCCCTCGAACCACTCGGGTTTAGGTGCAACCGAGGGAGCTGTATCGAGTTCCCCTCTGGAAGGCCCTTCCTTAATGACTGAGGTAGAGCTTCCACAGGATGATAGGGAAATGCGGCTCCTCATGTCGGACTAAGGTACTGCATTCCCCTAAGAGCCAAGTCGGGGCCCGAAGTGGCGGAAGCCCTCCAGCGCATGATCTTAGGAATACACCAGAAATTTCCAGTGAAAATCCTACATCATGACCCTGGCACTGAATTCTCGTCCACCGCCTTAGGACGCTGGCTAGCCCAACACGGAGTAAGAATCCAGCACTCATTGCCAACCGATAAGAAAGGCAATGGCCTGTCGGAACGTACCGTAGGCTGGGTAAAGTCTCGCATCAGGACTCTTCTGAATTCTGCTCGACTCCATGTAGGTTGGTGGCCACTTGCTGCGCGCTGGGCAGTTTGTAAACACAACGCCACAATCCTCGGTGACCCTTGGGTAATACCAGGTCCAATAGATTGACCCTAATCCCTGGTAAGCCTGATGGACCACGCATATACACAGACGCATCATTTGCACCGCATGGTAGCCACTCCGTGAGTGGCATGGTGCTGCAGTACGACGAGTGTTGCGTAGCTTGGAAATCTAAAAGGCAGCGCCTAGTCACATTGAGCACGGCCGAATCAGAGCTAGTGTCAGGTTGTGAAGGGGTTGTTTTAGCCCAGTCGCTTGAGGCCCTGATTTGTGAGCTTGAGGAGTCAAGCTGTGCAAAGCATCTGATGATTGACAATACAGCAGCGGTTACACTTGCGGGTGGTGAAGGCAGCCAAAGAACCCGGCACTTGCGTGTAAGGTCAGCGTTCATAAGAGACATGATCGACAGGTCTGAGATTGATGTGTCCCATTGCCCCGGCGACGTGCAGCTCGCTGATTGCCTTACGAAGGCTCTGATGAGATCGCGACTTGATGACCTGTGTAAGCTTTTGGGTTTAGGTCCTCCTAGGCCCCTAGATGAAGCTCGGGTTTTGAAGATAGATCAGACCGGCCTGAGTACTCAGGCGGAGCAACCCAGCGATTGCCTGAACTCGAGCGATCCCGCGACCAGAGGTTTGGGAATCTCTACAGGTTCTGAAGGGAACGTATAAGGCTTGTGGTTGCTAGTGGTTGTTCTTCTGCTTCAAGTAAGCCCGAGTAAGGCCATGCAGGAGGATGATGTCGAGGGAGAGCCCCTCAGCCTGGAGCTATCTCTGCTCGTGATCTTGATGATCCTTTCGGTTCTTTTCCTTTGGGAGTCAGCTAGGTATGGTCTGAAACTTTGCTGTAGTCGCCAGGATGAACCTCCCGAAGTGAGAATGTTAAGTGCCGAAGATAATTCCGAACCTGAAACCCGTAGAGGCCGACGAGAGGAAGTAGTCCGTAGGGCGATAGCTCGTGAGCTGCAAGGGGAAGGGTTGAGACAACGGTCTGTTCAGGCCCAGGTAACTGAGACCCGGCAAGCCCTACAACCCGAGATGCCCTATGTTCGTGTCCAGGTTGAAGCGCAACCGGGAGCTGCAGTGGACTTTCCACCTGGCCGAATGACGAACCGGTATCCATCCCGGCACCCCCTATCGATGGACTTTCTGGACTTGCCTCTCCTCACCCAACAGGTTCTCAGGATCCTTTGCCTTCCTCGGCCCTCAGGCCTCGGTCTGCCTTCCAAGGTAGTGGAACTGTAGCTACTGAAGGGGCTAAGAGGGATGCATCGACTCAAACGACCGCCGAAAGAGGTCTTGAATTTGATCAACTATGCGAGCTCCACATGCTAACCACTTCTAGTAGAACACCTGGAGCCCTGCATATTTTCCGGAACTGTCAGGCGTTAAGGAACACTACCTCGGTTCAAGATCGTATGTTGTGTAGGTATTGTCTCCAAGCCTTCAGGGACGGATGAGAAACCGACTTTCCGTCCCAAAGGGACGATGTAGTCGAGGAGGAGTGTTGAAGTCTCTTGAGGCCAACACCTACGTAGCCATGAAAGGCTCTGTGGAGCTGAGCTCCATGAACTTGATAGGTTTGCAAAACATGCACTTAGCTCTGAAGCTAGTCTAGAGGACAGTCACAGAACTTCGCATGTTTGTTGCGTGAAAAGTCGTTCGGCGTGCCGAAGTAAGCCCATGGATGCAGAGGCTGGTTCAGCGCCTTGAGTTGAACTGATACTGAGAAGATTAGCATGGCTTCGGACGCTGGTGAGAACCCTAACCTCCAGGATGTTCCTGGGGTTCAACAAACCCCTATAGAACCCTTAAAGAAACCCTTAATGAGGAACCCTAAGAAAACATGGTCACTCAAATTAAGCTCCTGAACTTAAGAGCCCGGGTGCGCCATGGGAAGGTCCGGGACTGAAATGCTAAGCTGGCAAGGAGGATTGTGCCAATGACCGTCACCTGACCAGGGTGCTAACGGTTTAGGGTTGAAGGTCAAGTTTAGTGTCTAGGGCTTGGGATTTAGGGTCTTAGCTTGAGGTGCAATGTCGTTGAAGAATCCTGGACAGAGGCTGCAGTGGCGACAAGGCGTGTCCCGCCACTGTCTCATGGTCGGACGATTTTCAGTCCTCGGCATAATCAACGAAGTCAGCCTCTCCTCTTTTAGGGCACTAACCGGAGCCCATATTCTTGATGTCAAAGGCTGCTTCTAGCACTCCCTCCGACACCTAGTCTAGTTTAAAGCCAGATACGCCACAAAGCCAAGCACCTTCAAGCATTACTGCCTATCCAGCCTAAACGAAATTACCACAGTCCCGATAATCCGAAGCACTAAACCCTCCCCTAAACCCCTAAACAGTCAGCCACCTGAATCGCTGGCACGTCCACAGCGATGGGCAAGAAGGCCACGATACCTTTAGACAAAGCTTGGAGGGTTTAGTGACTTTAGTGTGTTGTGGCCTCGAGTCGCTGCCTGGTCTGCTGAGGTCTTGAAGATGCGTCGGGAGGGTACAGTAGGTAGAATGCTTTAGAGCTGTAGAGGTATGGATCCAGTTGACTGGGTTCTTGTTCAAGGATGAAGGGATTTACTTTAAGTTTCCATAACAAGAAACCCCATCATTTAGCATAGATCCCTAGTATGGTAACTCAAACTAAAATATGTAACAAGATCCCAATTTAGATGTTCTGAAATGCAAGGCTTCAATCTTGGCGAATTCCTTTATGGTGTGAGGCTTGGGTGTCTTGCTGCCTGGAAGCTGTTTCGGTACAGGAGGAAAAGGCCATGTTTATGCCTCTCCTTGCGTTGCAAGGAGGTTTATGGTCGGTGAGTTGTAGTCTCAAGGAATGCTCAGTCATATGGCAGCCTGCACACTCTACAACTCTACAGCCCTTCTCTTGAATGGTAGGCCTTACACTCAGATGCTCAAAGCTCGCGGAATAAGAAGCGATACCGGTTCATCAAGCGAAGCCCTCGGCCACTTCCGACCCGTCACCTGGGATTCTCACGGTTTGCGGTTGAAAGGGGTTTAGGGCTTAGGGAGCCAAGAAGAAACCACCAGCTCGCCACCCCACGGGAGGAACAGGGCGGTGTTGGGGGGGCTGTGGGCTTTGAAGGTTTCGGGATCGAGGGCGACGTTTAGGGTTCAGAGAAGATGCAAACACAATCTGTGGGAAGTTCATCTATTCAGGCAATCATTTGTATACAGCAACACACACACACACACACACTGAAAGCACTTTTTAGGCTTCTGCAATTGGCCTTGAGCCAAAAGGTCGGTAACATGCAAACTGTACAGGAACTAACTACCCTATAGCCCTCACTTCCAGTCATTCCTCCCGAATGAGACGCTGGCACAGCTCTCACGAGTGGTGAGGCATGGGGTCGTTAGCTTTACGTCTTCAGGGCCAAGGGATGTCGTCCCTCTCTGCTGTTGTAGCCCATTCCTTGCAGGAACTTCTGGATGAGTTTTGCATCCAGTGGCTTCGTCATCAGATCAGCCAGCATTTCTCCCGTAGGGACTTTCTTCAGTTTGACTCGGCCAGAATCAATCACCTCTTGGACCCATAGGAAGCAGGTGTGGATGTGCTTCACACGTCCAAGACCTGTTCGGCTTCCAATGGAAATGCCCGTGGTGGCGTCCATGTTGGTGATCACAGGGCAATTGATGCCCCAATCAGCTAACATTGCTTGTTTTTCTCAGGCATGCGCTGGTGGTAGATATCAGGCCGTAGTACTCTGCTTCCCCACTGGAGAGTGCGATGACTGCCTGCCCCTTTGCAGTGGCTTTGATGACTGCCTTCCCCAGTTGCTCTACAGCCCCCGTGGTGGACTTCCTTGTGTGAACGCATCCTGCAGGATCAGTGTCACTCCATCCCTGGATAACGCTGAATCCTTCTTGGTGAGGGATAAGCTGCACCAGGCGTGGTGCCCCTCGTAAGTATCTCCCCGCTCTCTTGAGCAAGTTCCAGTGATACCGAGTGGGTTCTTTGAGCCCTTTTGCCAGTTCCCTCACAGTCCGAAGCATATCGGGTCTGTCGCTCGACAGATACCCAATCCTCATTGCTATGGACCGATAGATTCCAGCATCTTGCCTGGAGAGTGGACTCTCATCTTCATCCCCCGTACTTTTAACAAGCGGTGTGGTAACAGGGCTGGAGTTATTCAAACCCAGATGTTCCAACACCAGGTCCGCATGGCGAGGATCGGCTTCCATTTCGATTCGATCCCTTCTCTGGTCCACGTGGCCAATCTGTTTAATACAGAGATGCTATGAGTTACAACTGGCAGGCTCGAGCCGGGCCGTGCCAAGACTCCTCTCACCTCGATAGTCCACGCTTTCTGAAGTGACTCTATCAACCATTGAAGCTTGTAGCCCCCGACGACGGTGAAGTCGTCCCCATGCACATTGCAACGTAGTCCATGCTCTGGGTGAAAGTACAGACACGGGTTGGACACCCCTTGCTTAAAACCCAGGTCGGTCATAACCTTCTTGATAGCATGTCCCCAGTTGCTGGGTGATCTAGAGTTCCGTAAAGGCTCCTTTTGAGAAGGCCTACCTTGTCAGCTCCTTCCCCAGCTTCTGGTGGTAACTCCACTAGGAGTCGCCTCCTAACTGGACTCCAGAAGTGAGCTTTCTTCACGCCAATGAACAGCACACAAACTTCTCCATGCTCGTTCATCTGGAAGGCTTTCTTGTCTGGGCCGGGTACACGCCCAGTTGTAGCTAGCGTGAAGAGCGCCCGCAACGAAGATAGTGGCGGCATTGCCGCAAAAAACTCGGTCCAGGTCGGATCTTCGTTGACTCCTTTCTTTCTTTTCAGTTCTTGTGCTACCAGTCTGGAGCGCAGTTTCTTTCGGAGATCATCCCCCGTATTGATGTCAATCCATCGGGTGCCGATGACCCATTCGGCAGGGGGTCTTGGTATCGGCTCCAACACTTGCATGTCCTTGATAACTTGTATCTCTTCCATGCGAGCTTGCTTGACACCATCGGCGGGAAGCTCTTTACCAGTATTTTCGTCGTAGAACTTTTCTTCCCACAGGTCGTCTTCCAAGTCGCAGGTGGGTTGTTCTTCATTCTCGACACTGGCAATGAAACCTTCGCGCTCTTGAAGAATGAGCTCTTTGATCATGCCCTCGGCATCTTCAGGTGATTTTCGCTTTCGGCCCTCGGACCTTTCCTCAGGAGGTGCCAGCTCGGCACGACCCTCGTCCGCCCCGCCTTCACTCTTTCTCTTCTGCCCCCCAACTGGGCGCAGCTGAAGCAGCCGCACCAACAGGTGGCAGAGAACTTGGTTCGCTCGGAACCTCAGGCCTGAAAGGCGGTTGGTGAGCTATGGTCAAAGGCCGGGAAGGCTGTGACACTGGAGGGTCCGTGGAAGAAGATGCCTCCTGCCCTGTGCTCACCTTCCTCTTCTCCTCCTCTGCGATGTTCACCTTGTCGAAGACTTCACTCTCGCATTGCTCTTCGCGTTCCAGTCGGGCTTTTCCACCCTCTGTGTTCTTTAGGGCTTCCATGATCCTTGATCGGCAGTGCTCTGTGTGGTTGATGCCCGTTCGCTTCCGACCCTCACGGATGGCAGAACATGCCTCGCATCCGGCCGTATACCCAAACTTGTCTAGGTCGGATTGGCGGATGTAGGTACGCCTGAAGGGTGCTACCTCTGGCCTAACCAGCTCACGAGCAGGTGGAGGCAAACCTTCCTCAACCTGAGCTCGGACGGTCAGTTGCTCGGGTAATCGAGCACCATCCCCAGTCTCATCCGGAGAGGTCTTCCAGGGCAATCCACGAACTGCCTTGACCAAGTCGGAATCCCATTGTTGACCCTCGGGTGTCGGGAGAACTAGCTACCGGAGGGGGCCTAGGCAGGTGAAAAACGCTACCTTTTCCTACCGCGCCAAAATGGCTGTCTGGTGAAACTTTCGAATTCTTCTGTACATCTACAGTACCTACTTCCTGAGCTACCGCAAGGTGGGTGACAACTCTTTCAAGCTTTTGGGCTCCCTTTGGCCTTAATTACCTGCTCTCCTCCGGGAAGTGCCGCAGGAAACCCTTGAAAGCAAACGTCGCCTTAGGCGACCCAAGGATCTTGAACGCCAAAGCTTTCTCCTTGTTTCCTTTCACATGGGTAACAGCCTTCGCCCCTTTCAGGACGATCGTGTGCCCAAGTTTCAGGACTTGGGTGGCGCTGAGAAGCGCACACTGCACCGAGGCCACGCAAAACCGGACCTTAAAGGAAAACCCTTCGGTCGACCTCAGCGACACCACGGCCGTACCGAGGTTTGGCAGCCAGCTTCCATCCGCTGTGCGGAAGCCTGCCGGTCCTTCGGCGGGTCCCCACTCAAGGTGCTTCACCCATGCCTTTAAGATCACATTGTGGCTCGCCCCACTGTCCAGGATCCGGTGATCTGAATGGTGGTGGCCGAAGCGGCCCCACCAAACCCTGGTTCGAAGCATTACACCGGCCTCCTTGCTCCTTCCCCACCGCCTCACCGGTGAGTCGGTGTCAGATCTGCAGGCTCAGTCGTCTTCACACGCCTGCTGTGGCACGAGTGGCAGTCGCTGTCCTCCTCCACGTCCCGGCTGGCGATCGTTTTGCCCGCAGCTTTTCTCGAAGCTAAGGCCCGGAGCTTCCTCCGGACCCAACCCTTGCCCGGAACCTGGTTGCAGCTTGGTACTGCTTGGCGAGGCCCCTGCGGCGGATCTGCTTCTGCGGCAGGGCCAGTCGGTAGCCCTTAAGGTAGTTCACAGCCCTCGAAAACATCTGGCTGAACTTGTTCAGCTGAGGCCGGCCCCTAGTCTTGGGCTCGACCTTCCAAGTCGCAGAGGCGATTGCCTCCTGAACCTGTCGCTTCTGGCTGTGGGTGAGCTCGGAGATGCTCTTCCTTCGCACCACCTTCTTTTTCTTCATCCCACGGCCAGGTGGAGGATAGCTTGGCTCCTTGGGTACCGGCCTTGGTTTCGGTTTCCTCGAACCTTTGCCGGTGGGGGCCGATGCGGCCCGTCACCAGCCTCATCTCGCATCTCTTGGGCCCTTTTCTTCTTTCTTCTTTGCTCTCGGAGCTTCTTGCCCTCACGGCCTTCTGATGTTAGCCGCCGGGACTTGGCACCCCAGTCCCTTTCCTTAGGCGTGACGAGCTCATCCCCAGAGTGCTCTCGGCCCTCGCCTTCGCCCCTCATCATAGCCTTCTCTCGGCGAGATGGTGGCGCAGCCACCTTGGACCCAGCACCGGCAGCAAGGGATACTCATCCTGCTTGCGTGCCCTCTCGGGGATATTGCACCTCCTTTCGAGAGGCTCCTCCCTTCTAACTCGCGCCTTGGCTTGCCCTAGCCTGAAGCTTTGCCGGTCCTTTCCTTGCGTTTTGCCGACCGCGGGGTGTTCGGCCCGCATCCAGGTCGGCCTGAAGCCTAGCCGAGATTCTCTCAGCCCGGCTCCTTTTGAGCTCTTGGGCCCTCTTTATCTGGCCCTTGACCAGATCCAGCATCAGCCTGTGCATGGTGAGATCCCCTTGGTCACCTTCACTGCCCTGGGCTTCCACCTCGGCGATCTGAGCCTCAAGTTCCCTTCTCCTTTCTCTTGGAGCTTATTCAGCACACTCATACCGGCCATTCTTAGGCCCACTGGGGTGGAACTTGCAGTTCCCGCTGCCGGCCCCAGAGCGGTCGGCACCAGGTGAGGAGCGAAGCGCCGTCGTCCCTACCGTCTGCAGGGTCTCCCTCGGAGTCGGCATCGCCCTCGCCGTCCAAAGCCCCAATGAAGCTTCCTCATCGGGCTCCTCGGCCTCATACTCTGCATCGCCGGCTCCACCATGGCGCCGCCCTCTGTACTGTCAAGCTCGTTGGCTCGGCTCTTGGGCCGATTCTTATTACCCTTGCCCGCTTGAGCCTTAGGGTTCTTCGGGTCTCCTTTACCTTTACCCTTATCCTTAAACCAACAGTCCCTAGCAAGGTGACCTACACGTTCTCTTTTGACCTTTTCCTTTCCTTTGTCTCCTTTCTTTCCCTTTCCTTTTGGTCCTTTGGCACCCTTCAGAGCATCCACTTCCATTGGCACAGCTCCGTCCGTGGCCATGAAGGTCAATGAAGGCCCTCTTGGTGTCAGCAAAGGACACCATCTCTCGCTTGAAGCTCAGACGGCGCAAGGCCGATCAGGGAAACCATCTTCTGCTGCTCCGTCAAAGAAGTGCAGTCCTTTCGCTGGCTGTACCGCCGGTGGGTACCTTCCCACTTCTCAATGGCGGGCACCAGATCGGTGACAGAATCCACCGCCGAAGTGCTCATAAGTGACCGGAGTCACCTCATGCTGATGACCATGTCTGATGGATCAAGGCGGGCGTGCAACCGCCTGAACATATCCAAGCCCGACCCAGTCGAGCTATTCATGGTAATGTCCCCAGGCGCGTCGCTGGTCAGCGTCCCAAGCACCACCTCAAGCTGGCGATTAAATTCCTGCACCGATTCCTTGGCGACGCCTGTTATCGAAGCCGACTCCAGGCTCGCCAAAGAAATCTCGGCATCTCCTCTATCCTTGGCCCAAGCAAGGATCTTCCTAGCATCCGGAAATTGCGAGGCCAACCAAAGCTCGAGGCGATACGACCATTTTGACGCTTCCTCCAAAGTACCGCCCAGCTGGCTCGGTCGCCCCACAGCTTTCACATCAATTAGGCCACGTCCTTTAGTAGCCGATGAGCTTGCCGATGCAAAGCTCTGCGTCGCAGCCGCAAGCTGCTGTTGCCCTTGAACCTGGGCTCCCATCATCTCCTGCAGCCTCTGGAGCTTCTCTTGCTGCCCTTGGAGCAGCCTCAACAACATTTCTTCTCCTTGGGTGGTCCCCCCTCCTGTGGGACTTCCCGGCTGAGACATCAGTCTTTCTTAAAATGCCTCGAAAGGCGATCTAGCAACCTTCTTGGAAAATCCTGGATTCGAACTCCAGCGTTGTGGAAAAGACGTTGAGGCTTCCGCAGCTTCCTTACCTTCCGAATCAATCGGACCCAATTGGTCCTGGCTCTCTCGCGCTGTGCCCTCCTTCTTCTGCAAGCACAGCAGCAACCCATCCAGGATTGCTCCGCTACCATGAAAGCACTTTTTGAGCTTCTGCAATTGGCCTTGAACCAAAGCGTCGGTAACATGCAAACTGTACAGGAACTAACTACCTACAGCCATCACTTCCAGTCACACACACACATATATATATATATATGTAAGAGAAACCTTTATGTATAATGTGGCGTTCCTGTTTGGGGTATATAAGCCAGAAGGGGATTGGATAGTTTAGATAGTTTGTGGGACGCCGGGGAGGGCACAAACTATCCAAACTATCTAAACTATCTAAACCCATCCCGGTTTAGATAGTTTAGATAGTTTGGGCCTTCCCCCGTGTCACCCAAACTATCTAAACTATCTAAACCCCTCCCGGTTTAGATAGTTTGGATGGTTTAGATAGTTTGGGGGTCTCATACACACACAGACACATCTATATATGGTGCGCCCCTGACACCCGACGCCCCAAGTAATTTGGCTGCACTTCGTGCAGCTGTCCGCCTAAGTCTGCATGAACATTGTTGCTGCTTTGCGCTTGTTTCTTTCTAGTTCTTACAACTGCTATTGCGTATGATGCGTCGGGCAGTCTTTGTGAGAGGAGTGCTTTGGCGGGGGCAATCATGCAAAGTGAAGTGCAGTGGTTGGGGCCTCGGGGCAGTAATACTGGGAGGAGTGCAGTGGCAATCTCAGAGCGCCTGCAACACCGAACCAAAGCCAAACAAATCATAGTACCACTACCATGCAGATTCGCAGCTTCCCAGATTCGCAGATCGGACAAGTGCCAGATCATAGGGTCTGTAGAATCTGCGAAACGCTGTGAAATCCAGAATCCGTCTATGCTCCAAACACCACGACTGAAAGACTATGCATTGAAACATTGTGTAATCCAGATTTCGCTTCTTTCTCAAAAACAAAGATGAAAATTCTGCGAATATAGGCACCTGCTTGTGCCAAGGATGAAATATTGCCATTATGGTTCGAACAAAGACCGTTGCTTCCCGCTTCTATGTTTATATCGGGATAATGGCATCCTTTAAACGGGTGGCTTATGTAAATGGATTTTTGGCTACTTCATTCATGCGGTTACTCAGCTTGCATGACTGACCAAGTAAACATAGCATTTTGCAATGTTCTTCTTAACTTCGTGTTCATTAGTCACGCTGCACACTAGTTGTCTCTTGGCCATTCATCATTCCAACTTATGTCTCCCACTACCAATGCCAAAGTAAGAGCAACTATTTGCATACGGTGGCATACGATTCTATCTACATGCATGCCTCTTCAATTCCTGTTTCTGCCAGGGTAAGGTCATCGTCATGTACACATCACCCGATCCGAGTTGATTGCAGAGATTTTCTAGATTTCTAGTTGGAGCATGACAAGATGATGGCCATGCAAGCAGCTAGGTTCTGGGTCAACATGTTTGAGCAAGTACTTATTCTACTTACAGTATAGCCTAGCTGTTGTTTCTTCCACCTTTCGAATTCCGACATACCCATCACAACGTTAGGAATTAATGGATTGGCGCATGAGTCCACCGAGTCTGAATTGAATTAGCCCATACATGATCAAACAGATGTAATGCAAATAATTTGTTAAATCCAACTGCTTATACAGTGTATGTTACAATGTTACAGCGTTATGTAGATCACAAAATGTTGATTTCTTGAGTCACCTAATCATTTCTTACAGGGGCGCCTTGGGTAACCGTGTATTCATGTTTCTATAGTCTAGCCAAACGAAAAACATCATTAACCGGCCAGCTTCTTTGGCCGTTCTTGGAGTTGACCCATGTAGGACCCCATTGCCATTCGCTTCCACCTGAAATTCACCTCCCGCCCGCCTTTCCAAAAAAGGCTCAGCGAGGACTTTGCGGCATCGAGCCCCATAGCTGAAACTGAAGGAGAATTCTGACGAGGACGACGAGGATTCTGTTAGTTTGTAGTCTATCAATATTACCACTGCTAGATTTTAAACATTACGAGCCGGGAGGTGGGACTGATGGTATCAGTGGCCAGCATGGTTAACGGTGTTGCTACCGGTGCTACTACTCTCACACGACCGCTAAAACTACTGGTACTGTTGCTCGGGGAGCACTGGCCATGATTTGCTGATGCCAATCAACACTCGCAATAATGTTGGAGAGCAGGAACCTACTAGCAATGCCAGGAGCATTAGAGGGTTTTCACGGGGGGCTAAGGTTTCAGGAATGTGGGGGCTGCAGGGAAATTGTGCCGAATCCGAATTCATTCTTCCGGGGATACTTAATGTTAGGGAAAGGATGGGTGCTGCTGCAGGGAAATCAGCTCATGGCCCTAGAAGACGCCACACATGCTATGTCGTTGCCGTCTTATTGTTTAAGGAGTCAACTAGTAAAACAGTTTTGTTTGTTCAAATTGGTGCTGTATCTTATCTTACATAGTGCGAGATTTCAAAGCACATTTTCACGACACACTTTTCGGCGGAAGATGCCTGAGCTTGGTAAGATGTTTGTCTCTGTTCGGTTGGCTTAATAAGCAGCTGAGTACTTGCTGATGAAGAAGATCTGACGGCCGAAGACATGTTCACTTTTGAGCTTAATTTAAGGCCTCCAGGAGGCAACCTCCTGAATCCTCGTCGAAGAGGAACACACCAAGTGTCTATTCTTGCAAACATTGTGTGGAAGCGAGGGCATGTCAAGGGGCCATGCGTCTGCGATCACTTGCATGATACTGTGTCTCTGATCTGAAAATGGTGTTTTTGAGGGGGTGGGAAGCATATATAAACTATGTTTGTACATATTGATTTGTCTATTTATTTGTTTATCCTTTTATTTATACACATATTTATATTTATATTTATATTTATTTATTTATTTATATATATATATATATATTGACAGAGGGAGAGGGAGAGAGAGAGAGAGAGAGAGAGAGACCCTGATCCCTGAACCACGCTCAAAGGCCACGCAGTTAGGAAAAAGATTGGTAACACATGAGCGGCCATCAGGTTAAAACAGCTGGAGCGAGGTTTCGGAACTTTCGCTGCTGGTGAGGAACCGTGCGGATTTGTGGAAGGGGCTATGTTTTGTGATCTAATTTTGGGGGTTTCCTGGTTTTCAGCTGTAGATTTAAGGGGCGCAGAGACTCGAAATACTATGCCAAAGCGGATTGCCGGAATTCCAGAGCCACGGGATCCTCAAGGAAGGGATATTCAAGACAGACAGGCATGCAGGAACGCGTACAGGCATACAGAAGAGATATAGATATAGACATAGATAAAGATATGTAGATACAGACACACGCACGCTTAGAGGTCAAGATATCTATATGACACCAAGCCTAAGCGAATGAGTCAGGATTCCCCGGAATTGGCCCAGGCGCGGGTACATGATGGTTGCATAGGTCGCCACGGCCAGAAATGCCTCTCTTGTTGGATCTTCTGAAGGCTCAACAGGTCTAACCCCCAGGGTCCAGGGCGGTTCTGTAGACCCTGGCAAAAAGGGACCTGAATTTTACACCCCAAACCCTCCTGCATAAACCCCAAACCCTACACACTAGAAACCCAAGAAACCTTGGGGTTTATAGGGTTCTTTCAAGGAGTCTGTCCGAGGCGCAAGAGGTTGGCTGAGGAGACCACACACCGCCAAAGCAACAAGAGCTGCATGTTCGTCAGAGCTGTAACCTTTTAGGGATTAGGGATGTATGGGTTTAGGGTTTACGGTTTAGCTTTGGAGTTTAGGGTTTAGTGCGGGGTTTGGGAGTTTGGGGCTTATAAGGCTTAAAGTCTGGAGGGTTCGATTTGGAGTCTGGGCTTACCTCCACACATTACGCATAGAAAAGGCAGTTAGAAATTTAACTCGCAACAAGAAAGGTTGCTTTGAAGTATTCACGAACCCTCAACCCTCTAGACGCCATCTAAACCCCCGAAAAGAAGCATCTAGACTTTCAGAAAGGCAACAGGCGATGCCTGGATCGGAGACCATCGAAGCCGATTTGTCCATTCCTGCTGCTCGCTTTGGGGTGTTTGGGCCACGCATGGGGCTGCCACGGCCGGGCCGACATGACTCGCGAAGGGCCCCTGTACAGACCCGAAAGGAGATGGAAAGATGCGGCACTGGGTTGGAACTGCCTCTGCGGACATAAAGTGAAGTGTTCTCAACAAGAATCAACCTCTGAGCAGAAGTACTTGCGGCACGCCCAGCTCTGTCGCATTCGATTCAGCTCCAACATGTAAGATGCATCTTCTGTTGTTCAAGATTTTTCGCATGCTACGTTGCAAACCTAAAACACAGGCACATGGATGCATTTTGCAAGCTGTTGCAATGGCTGGGCTGGCAGTGCAAACTACGCACAGGATGGCTCACGCGTCTCCATGAGCTGCATTGAGAGAGTCGCCACTGCCGCTCTTGAAGTGTCGCTCCTTGCTTGAACCTCAGCCGACACATGCACTGTTGACTGTGAGATGCTGAGGTGTCAAGGCTGACACAGCCAAGCATGTCGCTGCCACGAATCGCTTCCGAATATTTGTGAATGCCATCTACGGGGACCTATGACGAGCGCACGGGAATAGAGAGCCAACTCCTACTTCTGAGGGCGGCGCCAAAATCATGCACAACGTGCGGGCTTGCTACGAGGAAAAGCCTCGCAATTTTGGTATCCAAGACTTGCCTGTAGAGGGTCAAATCTGTCAGTGAAACGCCCGCGCGCGCGCGTGCGGGGTGTAAAACACAAACACACACGACACCAGCGTATTTAGCCAAGCGGTGCCTGGAGATTGTTCACTCGCCAAGAGGGTCGATGGCGGTGTCAAATCTTGCACGTGTGTTTGTCAATGTCAAAGCGGTGGCCCACTCTCCGGCTGCTGGGACGCAGACTTCGCCAGTCCTGAAGAAGGACATAGTTCTGGCAACGAAGCTGGCGACTCTCAGGGGCAGTTCAAGTGGCTACCTGAAGAGTCGTGTGATGTGTTGGTATCTTGCACACTGTGCTCAGTGCTCCTTCCATTTTCGGCCTTTCGCAGAAACGTCGTCGGCATGACCTCAGCTGTGAGAGAACAAAAGGAAGCATGTGGCTTCATGCGCCTTCCTCGCTTCCAATGCGCGATGAATGTGCAATTTCTGGGGCTCTTTGTGTATCTTAGGCGCTTCTTAGGAATCGGATCATCTCCGGGGCGCGGATCAACTCAAAGAGGCAAACCGGCTCTCAATCAAGCTCACATAAACAACATTGACAATCCTGAGTTCTTTGACGAAGCGTGATATCTCTGCCCACACCAGTTCAGAAGATTGCGACCCCGTTCCCACCCGTCCCCTTGGCACCATTGACACGCAAAGAAAACAAGAGGGCTAAACACCATGGCTGTTGTTACTTTTGCGATGAAGGTGTCAGGGTCCAAAAACGTCAACAATGACGACGAGCGCCGCAACGCATTTTTTCCTGATTCCTGTGTTTGCGTTGTATGCTGCCTTCTTTCCTACTCCTGTCCTTCCTGCCTTCCTCCTTGCCTTTCGCCCTTCCTTGCTGTCCTTCTCTGATTCTTGTTGCTTGCTTCCTTGCTGATGTTTGATGGAGTGGTCGACAGGTGGGTTGGGAAGTAGCAGAGTGTTGCAAGAATGGGTGAGACGCTTTGAACGTTCTCAGACTGAAGGGAACTTACACATGGAACTTTGACGTCTGCTCCTTCCGGGAAGTCTCACCGAATGGCAGGTTTCCTACAGTACCACACCCCAGGCAAACAGGCAAGACAAAAAGCCGAATCACGCTTCAAAATGCCAGCAAAAGATCCAACCCTCTGAGACAAGCACTAGCAGTGTGGACGGGCCAGACGCGGCATTGCAGTCTAAAAGCTCTGCAACTGTTGGAACCGCGCGACTCACCAAAATACCATTGGGCGAATCATTGGCCGCTCCGCTCTGTGAGCTCTCTAAGATCTCTTCCACAAGATGCTTCTCTGTGAGTGCCCTGCGACTCTTGCGCATATGAGCCGCAAAGTGCCGGGCTAGAACCTGCACGTAGCAGTCATGCCCAAAAACATGCAAGCTCCGAAAGGTGCTTCGAAGAAGCCTGCCAGTACCTGCTGAATCTGGTGGTGCTGCAAAGGCTTGCAAGGTGCGGTTGATGTTGCCCACGGCATTCATATCTGCTGGTTCAGAACCACCTTCTGGGAAGTCTCGGAAGCCGTCCTCAAACACCAGCACATGGATTTCAGCCCCCGCCAGGCTCTCTGCGAACAACCCTTCGCAATCTCCCAGGAGCATGCCGCTGTCAATGTTCCACAGAGTCCCGAAAACAGCTGCTGATGCATGCGTCCTTTGCTCAATCTGTTCAGCAGCGAGTGGCAATGAGATGCACTGGCAGCCGGCCCGCTGAAACCAAGACCTCAAATCCTCACGGAAGCTTTCTAAAGACTCTCCCGCTGCGATCCAAATCTCCCTGGCAATGTCGCCTTGGCTGCAAGTCATGGCAAAGCAGCAGCAGGAGCAGCAGCGGCTGCTGCACAAACACCGACGATTAACGCTTGGCTCTTCAAAGATCAAGTTTCCTGCCTCGCTCTACCTGGGCTCGAGCATTGTGCTGCCCAGCGTGCCCCGCGTACTCATGCCAGGGATGCGCCGTCCAAGTCCAGCCCATGGGATGTGTCGCCGGGCAGTGTGGCCAAAGCATGGCATGCGCTGCCCCTGCTGCTTGGCTTTCGGTGGTCTGTTGGTGAATCTTCCTCCACAGATTGCCTCGGTCATCAGGCACCAGACAAATGACCACTGGCGAAGTTCAGAAATGCAAGCTTGTGCGCTGGAGCCGGCCCTGAGAATCGGACAGAGGCCTCCTTCACGGTTGATGCAAATGCTGAGAGCTGGGTGTTCCTTTAATCGCTCGGCCATGCCGAGTCGGCTGCGCAGATGGGCAGCCAGCTTTGCATCTGGAATCTTGGAGCTACCGCTTATAGAGAAGCATACCAGATCTGCTACGAGCTGCGCCCATGCCTAAGTCGCAACGGAATTCATGGAGCCCTGATGAAAAAACAAAACATACGCTTACCCAATTTTGCCTGCATGGACATCGGAAAATCACAACCACTCAACACGCACAACTCACGTACCTGAAGGAATACGCACTGCCAGCCCAGTAACAGCATCGCAGCTAGATAAGGAGTGGCAGTGCTCCCACAGCTTGCGAAGTCCGCCGCAGGATGCCATGCGCTTCCTCAACCCTGGACATCTTGCGTAACGCTCAGACAGCTGCAGGTCCTTCAATCAGGAAGGACTGAGATATCTTTTGAAAGAACACCCATTCAAGATGTCAGTCAAGCGCGAAATTTCCCAAAACAACATGACTTTCTTGTCGCTTCTTCTCCTTGGCCAGTGAATCAAACCTTTGCTCGGACTCCAGGTTTGCTTTTGAATCCGGATGAAGCCCGCAGATCTGCATCAACAGCTCTTGCCACAAGTGCTCGAAGTCCTGAACATTCACGCATGTTTGACATGACCAAAACGTGACTCTGAAGTTGCTCCGCCTTTTCGTACCCCGAACCTCAGCATGTCAAGTTGGCCTGCACTGACTGAACACGACCCACAAACAGCGGTCCTCGTTCGTCATCGCAAAAACATGACCGCCAGATACCGCCAGAATGTTTAGAAGTCCATGACTACCTGCCTCCAAGATCGCTGACAAGTCTGCGGCGGGATGAGCGACATCTGGGGTTGTATTAGAGCCACGACGCCCTCAACCTGACCTTGCCTGGGCTTCCGCTTCGATTCAAGGCGTTTTGCGCGCGGTTCAGCGTTGAAGCGCCCCCAAACATCCCCAAACCCTCAAGCTGCACACTCGGTTCTTGACCTCTGGAAGCTGCCGTGGATGAAGGCCTGTCGCGAGGGTTCGTGCCCATGCGGCCTTACAGCTGCAGGACCTTTCCAATCAAGAACAGTAGAAGATCTCAGCCACTAGGAAAGCACAGGAGCAAGAATTCGCCTCGGCCGACGTACCTCGCATCCCTCGAGAAACGCCAGCACCGCTCCATGCCCCTCCCCCCTATGCCCGAATCCTACAATGACCACTTGTTTTTTGATGTTTGGTCTGTCATGAGTCCTTAGGCAGTCCGTGCCTCTGCTTCAGAAAACCAGCAAGTGGCTGGCACGCTGGACCCCACGACTAGCATCATTCAACGCTCCGGCCAATGGCCAGGGGTCAAGTGTCAAGATGCTCTATCAGACGTTATCTTCAACTATCTTCCATCTTCCAGCAAAAAGCTGGCACGACGCAAAGATCTGAGAACGTGGGGCATCGTGGGGCCTCTGGGAGGCACATGCACCTTCGCGCAATAGATCTACTTCAGAGGATGGCATCGGATGGTCGATCCCAAGGCCCCACGGTGGCTATACAGTTGGAGCTGAAAGTCTTAAAATGTCTTCAAGACTTGGCAAGATTTGGCAAAAGATCGTGCCGCGGTCCAGCAAGTGGCTGGCAAAACGGCTTCGCGCGGCATCCCTTCAGGCAAGTATGGTCTACTAGGCTCATGTGTCAGGAGCAAAGCAATAAGGCAATAAGGTTAAAGTTCTTTATGCAAAGCCGCGGCAGGATTTGACTGCACTACACAGAGAATTCTGCAGCCTAATTTCCTCACGAACTCCGCAGTTAAAACAAAAGCAATGGCCGCTGTTTATTCCAGAACGCCCCGCGTCCAAACCGCCTTCTGACGGCACCTATTTAGAGTTTAAGGGTTTAGGGGCTTAAAAGTTTAGGGTTTGGGAGTTCAAAGTTCAGAATATATAAACCTTTGGTTTAAATATGGGTTACGGTGTTTAGGGCTTAGGGCTTTGGGTTAAGATTAAATGTTGAGTTTAGAGTTTTAGGGGTTTAGGTTGGGGCTTAAAAAATGAGTTCTTGATGGTTGCAAGCTGTTCCGAATCAGGGACCCGGCCACCGTAATGGCTCCAATAGGTCTATAACATCATATTTTCCTTGCTATCAGGAGTTCCCTAAAGAGCAGCCTTTGGGCCAGACCACACTTGAGCACTGTTGGGGCGCGCTTGTATCTTGCAAGCCTTTATGGCCTACTCCTGCCTAATCAAGACGCTTTCGTAAGGACCCCGCACGCAATGGGGCAAGGGGGATGGCCCCTTCCTACTGTGCTACCCCCAAAAGGGCTCTTATGAGAAGGCCCTGGTCTTAAGGACTGCCTTGCGCCCGACTCCGCAAGCGCCGCACCGTAGGTTCGTCGAAGGACTGCTCGAGGTATGGGATCCATGTCGTGTCCAGGATGCCGCAGAAGTTCTCCTTCAGGTTTCACTTCCTTTCACAAATAAATCGTCAACAACGCAGGAAACGGAACCATGAGAACCATCACGTACACATGTGTTATATCAGCCCAAACAGCAACTTTAGAAGTGTAAACGTGTGTATGCATATGCAAATCGTAAATGGTGATGTATATGACTATATGAACGCTCTGGCTTAACATGGATGCGATGGCTATTCCTATACTTGATAACCTTGCTAACCTGTTATTCTTCTGCTGGCAACAAGTCGCCCTCTTTCATTCGGTGTCCTTCATGGTCACGAAGATGTAGCCGAGGTTCGGATAAAGGGACTGAGCTTTGTACTTGTGACGGTCTGGATAACCCATGCCCCAGCTGTTCCTCGCTGTGTCTCACTTTCAGATTTCCCGTTTGGGCTCGGGAGCTAAACGGAAACAGGGAATGCTCAAGAGAACCTGTTTAAGAAATGCAGTGGTTGTGTTGTTGCGCCATGTTTTTTACGATGACGTGCTCTGTTCCGCCAAAACACCTATCTTCTGGCAGCAAATGACCTGAAACGAAGCATTGGAACAACCAATGCGTGCACCGAGTAACCTTGCAAAAGCACTGGTCACTTTGGGGGCAATGTTTCGAAAACATCGGCAACGCAAGCCTACATGTTAACTGCAAACAAACTTGCTCTGGCAAAACAAAGCAGGAAAAACACTGGCAAAACAGAGGCTACACACAGGGGTATGCAGGTGCGGTAGATGTTGTTATCTTGGGCTCGCAGCTCCCCTCGTCACCCAGCTCCAGGTTAGTCAAGCGCTGAAATGTGGCACCGGTGCAGCTACTACGTCATCAACCCGAAGGCAAAATCCTGACGGAAATCTCGCACAGGGACCGAGTGACTCTTCTTGCAGGCAATCCAGCAGGTAGATCGCAGTATACCGTAGCCAGCTGCATCATACATTTGGGCCGGTCTCTCGCGTCGGGACATTACATCACAGCAGCGCGTGATGCGCGTGGTGGCGGAGGATGGCTTCTTTTGGATGACCACAAAGAGCCAGAGGTTGTTCACTTGGACTCTGCATTGGTGCTGCAGAACTCGGTTCTTAGCTGGCTCACTCTTGACAGGGCTCCCTAACTCAGGCCACTTTCAGGCTCGGACGCACCTAGCTGCCGTAGAGATGCAGGTCTACTGGGGAGTACCCAAGAGGCCAGCGGGAGATGTCAAGGAAAAGTCGGCAACTGGCCAGGAGGAGGCCCCGGCCAAGCGACCACGCTCTCAGCCTCGCGGAAGGCGAGGGCGAGGGCGGGGACGAGCCAAAGAGATGGACACCGAGGCTCAAGCATGAGGACACACTTAGCTCGGTCACCTCGGAGCATTCACGGACATTTGCCCATCTCCCCAGACGAGCCCGTCCGCGTTGAGGATCCAGTGCATCTTCAGCATACTGCGGGTTATGTTGGAGTACGTGATAGTATGTGCGATGCGGAGAGATCCCATGCCAAGCGGCACTTCGAAGCCCGGGGACACAATCCGGCAGGAGTGGGACAGCAAGACGACGAGGACCAGCGAGCTGGCAGCTGAGCAGCAACAAGGACCACTGGCAACGGCTGGCGCAACAAATCTACTTTCTTCCGTTTCGAAAAAACAAACGCCTCTCTGCGTATCCGGAGGCGCCTGAGAGCACACATATGCGAGAGGTGCCACCCTCTTAGCTCCTGCATGCACCCGGCTACACAGCCTAGACGTGCTGTATTCTTCGTCTGCTGAGGTGGGGCCTGCCATATCCATCAGCGGGAGGTGTCGACATCCTAGCGGACTCAGCTGGGCAGGAGAATAAGCATGCGTGCTGCACACTGCCAACATGCGGATAAACATGCAGCGGCGTCACCTTACACCGTTCCTGAACCGCAGCCACTTCCTCAGCCTTCGGTACTTGCTTCCAGGCTCCCTGCCCTGCGATTTTTGCCCCAAGAGCATGACGACGATCAATGTCAAATTTTGAGTGGCGCAAGCTGGTCAAACCATTTCTGGCGTTGCGTGACATTTTGATTCGGTCACTTCTTAGTCGATGTCGGTGCATTTCAGAACGCCGCAGCTACGTGACACCTTCTTTGATGGAGTGCACTACTTTGCCGTTGCGTAACGCAGTCTGGGCCTATTTGTCTACTGTGGCAGACATGGATGGACCCAGGCTTGCTGACGTTCCAGCGGAAATAGCGCAAACAGTATCTGCCGTTGTGCTTTTGGCTGGCTTGATGGACAGGGATACAAGTGGCCAAGGTCCGTTTGATGACAGTTGAGGGTCGATTTTGCCTCCATGTACCATAAATAAAAAAATCCTATGCCGGTACTGTCTTGAACCGTAAATCATTTCTGAAAATGCAGGGCCGAAGCAAAATCCAGATCACGAAGAGGGAGCTCCGAAACTACCAAGCCACGCTTCGGAGAATGTGCCGGCCATCCGCCAAGCGAGGAACCTTGCAGGTTTCGAATGAAGCGGCCGACAAGTGGAAGTGTACGAAAGCTAGGAAGCAGCTGCTAGTGGCTCTTATCACATGCAGTGGCGACAAAGATTCCTGGTGCAATCTAAAGTGAACCATGTTTGTCGTCGTCTCGTCGGAACCCCACTCATGTTTCTATGGCATCGCATGCATGTTATTCGAGGAAGCTTTCAATCACCGGATGGAGATCCTCATCTCTAGCACGAAGAAAGGGAAGGTTGTGATCAACAGCGGTTTCTACAGCGAGGCTGCCATGAAGAGCGAACTCAACTTCTCTAAGCCACTCGCACATCTTTGGTAGCGGTAACACTCACTGCTTAGGTAAGTCGCAGGCCTTGCGCCAGCAATTTCAGGATCATTCCTTGAGAAGAATGCTTTGGATCCCTGAGCGGCACCATGCGTGGCCTGCGGCACCTCTTCCAGGGCTCCCTCCTCGACAACGACTCGTCATGGGTTGCACAATCAGGAGGACAGTTTTGCCCGAGACTGCCACCGCTGAAGGGGAAATTACTGGAGCTCCTCGAGCAGGAAACAGTGGAGCTTATTCCAGCGTGCTGTAGCATCCAGTGCGCACTCTCCATCATGGACGGCGTGCACACCCTGGCGGCAAGGGATGTCCTTTACTTGCTCTCCTCTACTCTCTCTGACGCGTATTAGGTTATTCGGAATTTTCAGACATGGTACCGTACGTTCCGGGGAGCGACGGGTCACGGGTCCTGCGAAGGCTCGCCCAACTCTCTTTTTAGACGCGCGGCGGCACCGCTCGACCTGAGGCTGACACCGTCCGCCACTGATGAGCCAATGACGCGATCTGCACTTAAAATAGCTCCTGCCTTCATGCACAGTGCTGTCATGCACCGGTTGCTCAGTATACTAATTCGTTTTGGTTAAGCCCTGTTCACCAGCATGGCTCGAGCGATTGAGAGCCAACAATAGTTGCCCATCATGTTCGGCAATGCTCCCCCGACGGCCACGGGAGAGCTGCCCCCTACCCCTCCCTTGGTTCTTGTCAGATAGCACCTGCTCAAGACGGAGAGGGGAAGTTACAGCAAGCGTCCTTGGTATCAGCGTACCGCCAGGGTGGTAAGGTCACCGCGCCCTCGATCCACCGCTTTTCTGGCCGTGGGGGCTGGGTCAGAACGTACAGCTCAATACTAGGTGATCCACGCCCAGACAGAAAGGCCACATCGACACGCCGATCAAAATAGGGTTGGTGCCTTGTGGTCGAAGCATACCTCCTCCGGGGGAACAGGGGAAGTACGACTTCAATCACCAGGCCCACCAGGACTACCAGCTGAGTTCACGAATTTTCGTGGAGCCTGATGGACCTGGACACGGACTCGAACAACCCTATCTACACCAAGTCGACGAACGCCAAGCACACCCAGACTCAAACTATCAGCTACAGGGTGGGCAAGGCCTTGGCTGCGCTTGCAGTGAAATCCTCGGACGCCGCTCCCACACAGTCCATCAGTTTTCTTTACTGGACATGGCTGGCTAGCTGCTGTGTGGCGAGACGCCGATTCTCGTCCAAGTCGAACTAGGGAACCTTGAATTGCACGTCGAATCTCGGCTTCTGCTGGCCAAAGCTCAATTGCTTTCGTCGGGCCTCGCTCTGACACAGTCGGAGGATTTTGCCCTCGCTCCCTTTCCTGCAACGACTCGCCACATGTACCTCAGAGCCCCGGTCTTCTTAAAAGCCAGGGGACGGAGCGGGGGCCCACCATTGGCCCGGTGGGGGCACAAATCAAGGGGAGACCGCACATTCTTTTCCGACTGCCTGTGGAGCTGTGAGATTGCGACGGGCGCTAGTGTCCTTTGCAAGCTGTCACATTGTGCTCAGCATGTGAGTGTGCCTGTTTGTTCATGTTTCGACGTATACATACATACATACATGCATGCATACATACATCATATGGTGTATATATGTGTACATATATATGAGCACATGTATGTATGTATGTATGTATGTATGTATGTCTGTATGTATATATATATATATATACGTGTGACAGGGTTGAGGTCACCTCCCCTTGGATTATGCATGTCAGCATTGTGTGCTTTGTGAGTGCCGGAGCAACCGTGCGAAGTGTGCATGTCCAGATGTGCTTAGAAGTGTTGAAATCTCTTGATGCATAATCTTGGAGCTTTTCGCATTGTCTCTGTTGTGAGTGTGCCTGCAGCTCTGTCAGACCCAGTAAAAGCTTTTTGCTGGTCAGGTCGCATATTTTGCGGAGCCCTTGGTGTCCCTGTCATAGGAAGCCTCAGCGCAAGCTCAAGAACAGCAGTGCCGCATGAAGTCCTGAAGTCCTCTAGATACAGACGATTGCCAAGGCACGGTAAGTAAAGGCTTTTTGCTGACCCGACCTTTCCAGCGTTCAAGGTGTCGACGTCGTAGTCTGGGTCGGCGTGGCTATGCGAGGCGTTGGGTACCGGGACAGTCGAAGTCTTAACATGTCTTAACTGGCCCTCGGTTCGCTGACCCAGACCTCGTCTCAACACAGAGCCGGCAAACGCTGCTGGGCTTGACAACCTCGCCTCGCAGAGACGATAACGCAGGGAGTCACACGGAGCGGGAGCCCACCATTGGCCCGGTGGGGGCACAGACCAAGGGGAGGCCTTTGTTGTTTTGTTTGCCGAGCCGTGAGAGATTGCGATGGCTGGAGCTAACTTAGCTAACGCGATAGTTAAGGGATGCGTCTCCCTCTGAAGCTTGTCGGTTGCAGCGAACAGCCTGCCTTGGTCATCGATGTCCGTTCTAGTGTCGTCTGCAAGCTTTGGACACATGGTGTTCATTGTGGATAAGTCTGCTTGATTATACATGTACTGCTGACCCGACCGCTGAGCTCCCATCGTAGCTGGCTGAAGCGGATGTGAGCATCCAGCTCGTTCATCTCTGCAAAAACGGCATCGACCACAGGGCCGGAAACAGCAGCTCGCTGGTCTTGTGCAGATAGAATTGATCAGCTTGGTCTGCCGGTTCCGCTCTTCGTCCATCGTGGCCCCTTTCTCGGTTGAGGGATCCAGGTGACGAAGTGGCTCTGGCCCCACAGCGGGAACCCACCATAGGCCCGGTGGGGGCACAAACCAAGGGGAGGCCTTTGTTCTTGTGTTTGCCGAGCCGTGTGAGAGATTGCGATGGGTTCTATGTCGTCCGCAAGCTTTGGTCACATGCTGTTCAGTGTGGATAAGTCTGCTTGTGACTATACATGTACTGCTGACCCGACCGCTGAGCTCCCATCGTAGCTGGCTGAAGCGGATGTGAGCAGCCAGCTCGTTCATCTCTGCAAAAACGGCATGGACCACAGGGCCGGAAACAGCAGCTCGTTGGTCTTGTGCAGATAACTGATCAGCTTGGTCTGCCGGTTCAGCTCTTCGTCCATCGTGGCCCCCACAGCGGGAACCCACCATAGGCCCGGTGGGGGCACAAGCCAAGGGGAGGCCTTTGTTCTTGTGTTTGTCGAGCCGTGTGAGAGATTGCGATGGGTTCTATGTCGTCCGCAAGCTTTGGTCACATGGTGTTCAGTGTGTGTAAGTCTGCTTGTGATTATACATGTATTGCTGACCCGACCGCTCTGAGGTCCAGATGTGCCTAGAGTCTAGAGAAGCGTGGAAATCTCGGGATGCATTGTCTGCATCTTGCCTTGTTGCATAAGGGCCATCCTTTTCGAGTTGCATCCTCCTTCGTAACACCGGCACAACGTCTGTGCTCGCTTGTGCTGACCCGACCGCTCCAAAGCTGCAGAACTGCAGTTGTTCAGAACGGGGTCTTTGTTGTAGTGGTGTTCGCGGAACTTCTTCCACTCGATGGGCAAAGCTCGACTTGCAAATCGCTGTCGTCGCGGCAGGAGAGCGTGTCAGGATGCTCTCGCTTTCTTCAGGCTCTTCGGAGCCTCATCTGATTGACGCCCGCCAAAGCTCAATTGCTTTCGTCGGGCCTCGCTCTGACACCGTCGGAGGATTTTGCCCTCCCTGCAACGACTCGCCACATGTACCTCAGAGCCCCTGGTCTTGCCAGGGGACGGAGCGGGAGCCCACCATTGGCCCGGTGGGGGCACAGGGAGGGCGCACATTCTTCTTTTTCGAGTGCGACAGCAGTCTTGAGATTGCAATGGGTGCGAGTGTTGTCTGCAAGCCTTTGTCACGCTGTGTTCGGCATGCGTATACATGGCCACTATACCCAGTGCTGCTTTTTCTTTACGTAGCCACATACATCTAGACATGCACCTTCCTCTATATCTACATCTATATCTATATCTACATCTATATATATATATATATATATATATTCCAAAGGGAGGTGTCTCTCGCTCGCAGCCGAGTGGAGGACGAAGTCTGCGTAGCTGAGCACTCGGTAGCTGAGCACTCTGCTCAGGGAACCTGAAGGGAGGTGTCACTCACCGGCACTGCTGAGACGTCAACAGGGGGCACCGCCTCGGACGCTGCTACAGACAGCGCTGAGCTCAGCTCGGCGAAATTCACGAGTGCCTCACTGTGATTGTCTGCTGCTCCGGCAATGTATACTGCACCCAAATCCACAAAGAAATGCTGGCCACGCGGGATGCCCCCGGCACACAAGGCCTACGCCATAGCTGGCAAGCTCTGCGATGCGCCCTTTCCCAAGCGCTTGGTCCAGACTTACATTCACGATGAAGCGCAGGCCCCGAAGCAGATGCATCAGGCCTGCTTGGCGAACTTCGCCAGGGTGTTTGTGGACGATGCGGGCCAACTCGCGGTCGTCAAGTCCCTAATGGGAGCCGTCGGGCAACGCCTGTACGCTGCCTTCACGGCCAACGCTATGTGGAGCACTACCTCCGAGAGCATCTTGGCAGAATTTATGGAGGATGCAGCTCTCATAGCACATGCCCACAATCTGTACGGCTGGAGCAAGGAAGAGCTGGAGACGTCTGGCCCCCCCGACTACTTTCACCGCGATCGCGATCGGGGCACGCGGTGACCACATCTTCCAGGGCATCCTGCGGGGACACGCTCGCCACCGTGTGCCTCTGCTGAGAGAAGAAGAAGTGGTTTTGCCACGGGCCACCAGCGGGGTGGGGGGTCTACATGCTTGGATTCCACATGGAATCCGACTATCCTTCCGCAAGTGCAATGTCTTTCCTGAGAACTTTCAAATCTTCGCCCTGGCCTGCCAGACCATTTATGATGCGGCAGCAAAGCTCGGCCACACCACCACGTGCTGTTTGATACATCAAGCCACAGGCCGCACAGAGGCGGAGGGGGCAACATTGAAGCTTACAACTCCCTTCCAAAAAATTCGCGCAGTTACTGGCGTGAAGCCTGGAAGAGCCCTCCGCCGCTATCATGTTGGCGACGGGCGCCGGCAAGAAGAGCATTGGGACAACTGGGAAGATGACGGTCGGCAGTGGTATGACGACCGACGCCAATCCTACAAGCGCCCTTGGCAACAGGAGCATTGGCAATTCTGAACGCCTCCTCTTCGAGCCGGATACCGTCTCGGCTCTGACAGGGCACCGCCCGGCTAATTCAGTCAGTCTCTGTGCGCTGGGGGGCGTGCCTCCCCTCCTTTTTCACCAACAGTGATGCTCTCTTCTCCTTCAATCAGCCATTCTCAGTCTTCTCGGATTGCAGACTACACAGCATCACTACGCAATATTCTCCCAGACGGGACACCTCGCATACTCTCTCGCCAACACCGACACAAAACCAGCCACATTGGCCGGTTGCCCGCGCCGCAGTGCTAGCCAAGCATCTCTTACAGTTGCCTCATGCACCCGAATGATGAGGTCGCGCAGCACTCCGACCTTACGGCCCATCGCCTTCCACTGTGAGTGACCAAGGGTGGGATGCCACTAGACTGGCATCAGGGAGACGGCTACGGTACGACCCACCAGTGGTTGGTTCATGAGTATCGGACGCGATGACTCATACTCAGGGTGACGGAGGCAGTCATACTGAGGAGTGAAAGCGGTAGAGGAAGCATACTAACACACTAGGGTGCCAAAAGCGGCACTTGAAATGGACAATGTAGCTGGTAGAACTGGAAGTGCACGCACAGACAGTCGCACCTATATCTTTATTTGGTTTGTATTTTCTATGTACTTGCAGCTCTGCGACTGGCTGGCTATTTCTCCACTGCTCGTCTCTTGTACAGTCTGGTGCCAGGCGCCAGCTATGAGCAGAGCCCGCTCGCTCAGCGTCCAATCAACCAAATGCTGCTGCTGCTGCTGGTGGTGTTGTTGTTGTTGTGGTTGTTGTTGTTGTTGTTGTTGTCGTTGTCGTTGTCGCTGTCGCTGTTGTTGTTGTGGTTGTGGTTGTGGTTGTGGTTGTTGTTGTTGTTGCTGTTGTTGTTGTGTTGTTGCTGTTGCTGCTGTTGTTGGTGTTGTTGCTGTTGCTGTTGTTGCTGTTGTTGCTGTTGCTGTTGTTGCTGTTGTTAATGTTGTTGCTGTTGCTGTTGTTGGTGTTGCTGCTGTTGCTGTTGCTGTTGCTGTTGCTGTTGCTGTTGCTGTTGCTGTTGCTGTTGCTGTTGCTCTTGCTCTTGCTCTTGCTCTTGCTGCTGCTGCTGCTGCTGCTGCTGCTGCTGCTGGTGCTGGTGCTGCTGCTGGTGCTGTTGCTGTTGCTGTTGCTGTTGCTGTTGCTGTTGCTGTTGCTGTTGTTGTTGTTGCTGCTGTGTTGGTGTATTGCTGTATTTTCCTTGTCGTTGTTGTTGTTGTTGTGGTGGTGGTTGTTGTTGTTGTTACTTAAATATTTGCAAAGCGTCCTCACGATCCAATAGGGCTCCGGCGCTGTCTCGTTGTACCCAACAATTACCATCCAGTGACCCGTGCCTTGCTGGCACATGTCCTGAGGGAAGTCCTTGCTGGCGTGAGACATGACACCACGGACTCCGACTGCGGGGAATGTCGTCATGTTTTCGACATAGGTATGGTAGGCTTGGTCGAAACTCACGCTGAAGCTCACCGGCCCCAGCAGCAGGGCCCGTTTTATTGCAATGACCTTTTCAAGAACCGCCTGCGACTTGGTTGGATGTGTTACTTTGATGGCATTGTAGCCGCTCGAGGTGTTGGGCAGAAGAGGCAGATGAATCGTCATGACATCATCGTGTTCCAACTCCAGCTGGACTAGCTTGTGGTAGTTGCAATGAACCACACGATGTTTGTTGCGAATGTCTGCCTCCATGTATGGCAGTCCAAGGTCCGAGTTAAGAAACTGACCACCATATCTGCCCGCCGCGTAGTCAAAGACATCGGAGACGTCGCCACCATCTTCACAGGTGCGGTGCCACGTGGAACGATTAACTGTGTCCGGGTCGCCACTGGTCGGAGCACAAGAGAAAGCTTGTTGAGTGGAAAGCGTGAGGACAGCACCTTCAGGGACAAATGCTGAGACCTTTTAGACTTGAGGCTGTCTGATACATTCGTATATACATATTTATACTACGCATCTGGCGTTAAATTGCAGGCTACCGTAAACATGTTGCTCTGCGATGTCCGATGATAGGGAGGTCGAAAAAATCATGGGCTCCCACAGGGTGTACTGCACTGTCTAGCATCCTGTGCAGCAGAGTAGAGTATACGAGGTACCCAACAGCCACAACACAGGCGCATGAACAGTGATCTGCCTTCAAATTTGTGGATCGCCCAGTGAGACTCGAGCACTTCCACAGAAGAGAATGCCCAACCTCAGCTGCTCAGCTGGTTAGCTTGCAGGCTCCTCAAACAGCTTTAGGACTGTAAGATGCTTCAGGTGTGTAAACCATCAAAAATTCAGAGCATGCAAGACTAAAGCACGCAACAAGATCCACAACGGCCCTGGTTTTTTATGGGCGACACCACACCGGCCAAGCGCCAGTCAAGGCCTGTTGGGAAGCTTGTGATGTTCAAGGATTCAGGCCAGACCTGTTCCATGAAGAGGTGCTTCTCGGCACCCGCAACGGGCGGTGCCATTCCGTTGGAGGGCGGCCGGGGCCCCCCTCGGGCATGCTTCTTCGAGTGCATGATCATGGCCGAGTCATCGCCAGTACACTCGGTGCACTCAGTGCTTTGCGATATGACACCGAAAAACAGAAGCGCAAGTGCCATACGCACGAGCATGGCATCCATGGCTTTGCCTGCTCCAAAGGCCGCGGAAGCCTACTGGCACTGGGACTGGTGCTGTTTCGGCAGTGGCTTCAACTCACTCAAGCTTTCACAAGCGGATTTTCCAGGCTGCAGATCTACGCCCGCCTAGATGGCAGGCACAACACGCAGAGTGACCAGGACATAAGAAAGCGGATAAATCATGACGCATCCGAAGCCCCTGGCCCTTGAATGAAAGCACTTGAAATCCTGAAAGGAGTGCTGTAATGAAACTGTACCAGATCCCCCAACCCAACACCAGCCTGCAAGGGGGCCCTGCATTCCGGGCAGTGGGGCGACATGCGCAGGCACTCGCCAATGCAGTCCGCCTCAGGCAAGTCGCTGAGCATGTTACTCACACATATCACTGTTTTGTGTGCTACAGTGCTATAGTATACTACAATATTCTATAGTAGTACACGATAGTATCCGTGCAATAGTTTGTCGAATGCCCACCCTGCCAGGCACATGCCCACGCGATACAGCCTCCAGCACACACCATCCAAGACGCCACTGCCCACGTTCCACGCACACACATACACAAAGAAAAAAACGACTCACGACATCACCGCACTCAAGAGCAGATTATACTGTACTGTGCTATTGTATGACATAACATAGCAGAAGCAATCGCAACAGTACTAGTGCCAGTGCAGTAAAAACAGAAGAACTATTACCAGAAGCAGCAGCTGTGACCCAAGTAGTGGTACTCAGTTGAAGGTTCTAGTGTCCAAAACATGGTTTTCAAGCATGCGGTTTGCATGCTTGGTTACGTTGCCTTAGAGTTTGATGCTGTTGCATAGTCTGACACTCTATTATTATCATACAGTTTACTATGGCACTCTATAAGACAGTGAAGTATAAGATGGCATGCCAATACTATAGTATATACACTTGTCGACTCAGTAATCAGTAGTGGCTTTGCTGATTGCCTGCTTGCAAGGATATCGGAGTACGGAAAGGCTACATACCATATAGCAGACATGCTACTGTTTAGTGCAGTATCTTCTAGCATGACATAGAACAGCCGCTGTATGGAAAGGTATGGTAGAGCAAGTACTATAAAGAAATGTGGAATCGCACACCCAGAGGATGCAGAAATGCCACAAGAAGTCCCTCCCGCTTCAAAAAACAAGCCTGTATTTCCTATGACATGGACCACAATGAACTTTGATTTTGAGGGCTTCTGCCCATAACATCTTTCAGGTCTTGCCGCCGAGCAGAATCCTGAAGGTCAACTTTTTGTAGTAGGCTGTAATTGTCTAGGGTAGCCCAGAAGAGCTCTGGACCCTGAATAAGGCTCACCCTTCGAAGGTCCGCTTTAATCTTGTTTGGGGGGCGTGGGGGACAGAAAAAACTTAAGGCCCAAGCCTCTTGTTTTAAAGGCTGGCCTTACTAAATCCTTTCATGCCTGGCTCTCTCAGAAGATCTGAGGCCTGAGGAGCCAGAGAGCCCTGAACCAGAATGCTAAGGCCTGCAGCTTTATCAAATCTGCTAATCTAAAACCCTAGGATTAGGAGCACAATCAATGGTTCAATCGGGGTTCTCTTCTGCTTGACCTGCTCATGACAATACGTACTACCAGTACTAGTACGTACTTACTATTAAATTAGTACTGGTATGGTAGCTATTCGTACTATCACTTGCTACTAGTGAAGTACCAGTACTTTCTAGTAGTACTGGTACTTACTACCAGCACTATCCAGTACTAATACTTGCTCTCAGATACACTGAGGCATAAGGAGTCAGAACCCTGAGCCTAAAACCTAAAGCCTGCAGCTTTATCAAAGCTGCTACTCTAAAACCTTAAGATTGAGAGCCCAAATCAACGGTTCAAACTTGTTGTCCTACTGGCGCTAGTACTTACTAGTACTAGTTCTTGCTACTAGTACTAGTACTCACTCCCTAGTATCGATACTTACTACTAGTACTAGTACTCGCTACTCGTACGTACTACTGGTACTAATACTTATGACCTAGTACCTACCAGTAGCACTAGAAGCCAGACCCCCGCCCCCTCCGATCAAAGAGGATACCCCCCCTGCGATTTTTTTCTCGACTGCTAGTGTTCAGTTAGGAGGGGTGGAGGGGGGGGCGTTTGGGGCTCAAAAGCCTTAACATCTGAGTCCAAAGAGCCATCACGCCTCCCAAACCCTAGGCCCTGGAACCTAAACCTGGGAGTAAGCAAACTCCGGACCTCCAATCTCCGGTATGGGAATCCGGGATCAGGGATTCAGGGGGTCGGGTCAGGCAATGAAATCGTAATACCCGTACCCAAAAACGACAATAAAGTTCCCTGACTTCAAGAATCCCACCCCATTCCACAGTACGGCTTCGTTAACTACCTCCCTGAGCCGTGCTCGCCCTGAAACCCTGACGCGGCCCATTTCTATCCGCGGTAAGCAAGCCTTGCTTGCGTTTAGTTCAGGCTGGGGTACTGGGGCAGCTTCTTGCTTGGACATCCGTGGCATCTGAAAAACCCTACACCCTAACAAACCCAGAACCCTGAACCCCTAAGCCCCAAACCCTGAAAACCCCTAAACCCTAAAACCCCACCGAAAACTATAGGAGCCGGCCTCCGGAGAGTGCCTTTCCCGACCTGCGTGCTTCTTTGGCATGGCGCCAGGGCGGCGGGCAAGTCCTGACTGCTAAGTTTCCGTCTCTGATGGCTTGGAACACAGGAAGCTCCCCAGGTCAGCATCAACTATGTTGTTTGAGATGAAAGCTTCAACATGTTCAACCTGTACAAATGAACGTGATTGTAGTCTCAAAACTCTGACCCTGTGTGGGCAACAGATGCCCAGGTCTCAAAAGTTTGAGCCTGTACAGTACAGAACGGCGCGGTCCAAGTCTCATTTTGAGCCTGTACAAATAAAAGAGGTGCACTGCCTGCATGCTATGTTACACCGTTCTTTGAAGATGTCGGAGAGTGACTTCTAGAGATCCAAAGCTTACTTGTAGCAAAAGAATGCAATGCACTCGGACCGCAGAAAAAGATTAGTCCAAAACCTCAGTCCATGCTGGTGTGCTCAGAGTTATAGATCACTCCTTGCTTCGTCGGATCTGCGTCCCATGGAATTGGAGAAGCATAGAGATCCTCGGTGCCTGTGGCGGCACCCGTTGTGCTGAGGATGCCCGTATTCACATAATGCCATTCCTGGGTCAAGTTCCCGCTATCCAGTTGGACTGTGATGGTCTCATTGGCCGAGACCTCTCCATGTGTGAAATTGTAACCGGCATTGCAACCACCTGCCGACGGATCCTTGCATTTGGCTGAAACATAGGTGACCAAAAGCTGGTCACCCTTCACCAAAACCTTGAAGTAGCCATTGAATCCCAATTTCTGATCATGGGGAATCTCTTGATATGTGCGCATATCCCACGCTTTGATCTTCAAATTCTTCTTGTGGCGCTTGGGTGCTTCTGGATGAATCCGATAGCCACCATTCCCCACCATGCGACCATACAAGGCATACTTGGAGGTGAAATGTTTAGCATGCCCAAGCAAGCGCGAGTTCTTGTGGTTGGCCTCGATCTTCAGCTTCTCATACAATGCAAAACGATGCTCATGGCCAAAAAACCAGACAATTGTTCGGTCCTCGGGCAAAATGTCGTTTAGCTGTTGAGCAGCTCCAAGGTAAGCCTTCTCAAAATCACTGTAGGGAAAATGATGGCTCATGAGCACAATCCCACGTTTATCGGTAGGATCACCCAAATTCAACGTGGTCTTGAGCCACTCCACCACTTCAGTTGGCAGGGGTGCAGGCGTTTCTTTGCCCAAAATCCGCTCACCGTCAGAACGTGTAGGCATGCAAAGGTAGCCGGTGTCAAGGGCGATGAAGCGCCAATGGTCACTAAACCAGGCACCAAAGTTTGCTTTCTGACCTGAGTATTTGTAGCCGGCATAAACCAAGCCATTCATGCCACTGATTTGCTCGTGATTGCCAGCCATGAGGAAAGTGGTGTGAGATCCTTTCGGAAAGAGCACGCCTTTCTGTTGACGGTAGGATGGAGGATCAATACCCATGACATTGTAGTGAAAGTCCTCTTGATCACCCACAAAATAGACATCTCCCAAGTGAAACGTGAGGTCTGGGGTGTCTTGAGACATCAAGTTGGCAACCGTGTTGGCTTCGCAGGTCCCACTACCCCAATCCCCAGCAGCACCGATCTTCACTCCGGTAGCTGGTCCACCCTGTCTTGAAGAACTCAATGGAGAACCAGTGGCGAGATCAAAAATGCCGGTCTCGCCGCCACCGTACACAGGATAGGGCGTCACGAGGGGTATCTTCACTGCTTCATCCTTATGATTGTGCTTGATTCTGTGCGCGATACTGCCCACATAATTGCTCATGGCACAAGGACAAACCGCACTCCAGCATTGGCTCTCCGAAGTGATCACAAGGCAACTTTTCTTATGTTTCCTCAGATGGTGAGATGCCTCGCACTTATCCTTCTTGTGCTTCTCCTCTGGGCAAAACTTGCAGTAGTCCTGAGTTGGGTTCAACCCAGAACAACAGCTGTTGCATTGTTGCGTCACACTTTCGGTATGGGCCAATGCCAAGAGTGGCCAGACACACCAAAGGATCCCAACCTCTTTCCAAGCCATCGCGAGGCCGTACACTCCACACTGTCTCAGGATTGAACTCTTGAGCCAAAATTCCACCCTTACAGGCCGCAATATCCACCGGCTTCATGCGTGCTCCGCTCAGCTGAGCAGACTTCTCATGCCTACTTCCCTCGGTGTGCGAGCACATGCCTACAGTAGCCGAGCTCCGGGGCAAACAAGGGTCGGACGGAACTGGCTCATGAAACGGTTGTGCATCAGAAAACCTGCCTCAGCACAAGCACTCACAGAGTAGCGCCGCTTTGTGCCAAGACATGCCATAAGACACTGCATCCCAAGTGTATTGAGAGCGGCACCACTACAGTCAAGTTTGGTTGGATTTCTTCACCTGCGCTTGAGAGCTTACGTACTTTGGAGCTTTCACATCGCGCTTGACTATTGAAATGAGCAACTGCCGATAGACGGAGCCTCGCACTATCAGGAAAAATGACAACTGACAGGAGATGGGGATTTCCAAAAAACTGGGGGGTACCAGTTTTGGGGGATCCCGATTGAAAGGATTTTCGTATGTGGGTGTCTACATGGGGGTCCCCCTGTTTATGGAAACTACACACTTGAAGTTCTGGCGCACAAGACTCTCAGACTCAGTGAAACCTCGCCACTCCTATGTTATGGGGGCTCCCTCAGTTTGGTGTTTTTTCCCGAAGCCCTAAAACCTCTAAACCCTTTATGTGGGGAGTCCCTGAACTGAGGATGATACTCTATGTAGGTGCCTATATTGGGCAGTAACTACGTGTCATGCAGCAGCTTGAGGGACTAGGAGCCACGAGAAAGACTGGGACAGGAAGCCTGACCGGCTTTCTGCATAGCAAATCTCTCAACTATTGGCGTGACAGGTTTCATAGGTGGGGGCAATTTACGTGCTCAGCTTGTTCGGCACAGAAGGTAAGCAAGATCGTTACCGCACCATGGTCCATGATTGATTGGTTTCTTAGTTGAATGACAGTCGGACTTCATGTGCCTGCATGTCCAGCCTATCTTCCACACACTATGCCAAATTCTAATCGCAAGTGACTTTGGTAGGTTGCTACAGGCAATCGCAACCCTGACACCATAGACATCTTCCGCAGCAGAGAGATGCTAAGCACCACACCAAATCCAACTTGGACTGCATCTGATAGCGTTGCTGACAGGCCACGCAGCAAGAAGCAAGTGCTTGAAAATCTTCAGTGCGCCTGGTGTCTGGTGCGTTGGGATTGCTTCTCCATGTAGATAGCGCAGATACCTGTATGGTATTCCAAGCAGAATTGCACCTACACGCAGCCTGCGGTGACTTGTGCACAAACCTTGACTCCGAAGCCCAACGGATATTGCCAGCCCTTCAGTTTTTGTCCGAGAGTCGGCCAACAGTCAGGCGCACGCCGGAAGAGTGCTCGTGGGATCAGGGCGGTTGGGAGAGTTTGAGATTCTTGCTGTCTGTACGGTACTTTCTGCTGGCTGGGGATAGCATCGCCGCCAGAAGGCGTAGATTCTGGATAGTGCTGTGTTGGAACATGCTTGCAAGCGAGGTAGAGTGTCGGCGCTGACTTGCCCTTTCTCTTCGCAGCTACACTTTGCAGCACGCGCGTGGAATCTACGAAAGCAGCGGCAAAGGGGCAAGAATTGCCTTCGCGACGAGAATCCTGCCTTGAATTGAAAATTGACGGCTCTGTCCTGACAGCCCACCTAACGAGCCACATCATATCAGACCTGTACAATAAGAGTTCAGGCAATTCCACAGGAACTCAGAACACTCAGTTGTTGTGTGTGGTTCGATCTCAAGATGTGCGGTCGGGGATGCACAAGTCGGACTGAAGGCACAAACGGTAGACAGCGTCGGGTCTTGGGCCTGCTACCGCCGAAAAGTTTCAAAGCTGTATATCTGAACTGTCCACAAGCCGAAACACGAACACGTCATAGTCGTGTCCAGTTTTTTCCATACTCATGTTCCCCTCGCAGAAAGCCTGTGTGATGAAGCTATGAACAAGGCTCGCCTGGTTTTGTGATTAAGGCCCCCACTGTGGGAACCAAGAATGCGGGCTCCTGTCGCTCCATGGATGCCAACAGGTTGAGACTAAGCGACTTTTCTTGCCCTGATAGGGTTTTTCCTTATTGAATTTAGGAGAGCTGTCTTTCCGACTGTAACGGGATCGGTCTAGGGTTTCAGGCTGTCAGGACTCTTCGCGTCAGCATCGATGGGTTTTTGCACCTTCGTGGTTGAGGTTGCGGGGTTAAGGTGCCGCGGTTTAGGGTTCGGGTCAAAGGCATCCGGGGTTTAGAACTTCGGCACCATGACCTCCTCTGATCACCATCAGGAAAGCCTGCACCAACACTTAAACTAGTCAACGCCCCTCACACACACAAGCTGAACACCATGAGGTTTACGCCATAATCCAGCACCCCAAGTCAGATCAGACAGAGAAAGGGGTGACAGCGAAGAACTTGGATGTGTTGGTCCCCGGGTAGGCTTGGCTTACGGCTTTAAGGTGGCAAAACCCCAAATTCTCTGGCTTAATGCCCTGACCCTATGTTAATCATCATAGTTTACCCTACACCCTAGACCCTGTATATAAAGCCCTTGAATGCCAAGCTCGAACCCCCAGACCTACGCAGCGTTGACCCACCAAGAAAGGTCAGCAAACATGTCCGAAAGACCGACACTTCGTGAATATGCTTAGGGCTTCAGGAATTACGTCCCAGCGTCTACCTGTAGCCACCCAAGCATGTACCTGTCTAAGTTCATACATAAGCAGAATAAGCAGCCGCAAAAAGGGCGTCGGGTCTAGGACTACAAACCTGCCTAACAGAGGAGTAATTTAATCCATGCTGTTGATTAGTAAACACCACTGAAATTAAAAGTTTTAAGTCCGGAAATCCAAGTTTTTCTTTAAAAAACCAACCGGAATTAAAAGTTCTAATGTCACAAAAATGCGTCCCGTAAGCAATCAGAAGACCAGAACCTTACAACTGATCTGCAAATAGAGGCTGTAAGGGTCAACAAAAATGCGTCCCTCAAGCAATCAGAAGACCAGAAACTTACTACTGTACTGCAAATGGAGGCCTTAAGGGGCAAAACAATACGTCCCTTAAGCAATGAAAAGACCAGAAACTTACTACTTTAATTATTGCAAACAGAGGCTGTAAGTAGTAGCAGTAGTAGCAGCAGTAGTAGTAGTAGTAGCAGTAGTAGCAATAGTAGTAGTCGTAGTAGTAGTAGTAAGGCATCCCCCCCGGTGCGACGCCCAAACCTCTTATTTTTGGGACTTGCTGTGGTCGGAAATGCTATGTTTTACAGCACTTTTTTTCCGCAGTTATCGAAAGTGGCAACTGTTCCTGGTTTCGTGTGTGTTTTTATCATATTTTCTAACATTGTTCATCAATCTCGCACCCGAAAATGCTGGTATTTACAGCACTTGTCTTTGCGAATTTCATGATTTTTTACTGTTTTTGGGTGTCTCGATTTTCGTGCCAAAAAACCTAGCGATCAGAATCAATGTTTTTTGGGCCTCATTTTGATCATGATTTTCATTCAAATCGTTGGTTTGGAGAGCATCCATGTCCAAAACCTAATGACGTCCATGGTCTAGCGCATTTTGGTTTGGAGAGCATCCCTGTCCAAAACCTAATGACGTCCATGGTCTAGCGCATTTTGGTTTGGAGAGCATCCATGTCCAAAACCTAATGACGTCCATGGTCTAGCGCATTTTGGTTTGGGGAGCATCCATGTCCAAAACCTAATGACGTCCATGGTCTAGCGCATTTTGGTTTGGAGAGCATCCATGTCCAAAACCTAATGACGTCCATGGTCTAGCGCGTTTTGGTTTGGAGAGGATCCATGTCCAAAACCTAATGACGTCCATGGTCTAGCGCATTTTGGTTTGGAGAGCATCCATGTCCAAAACCTAATGACGTCCATGGTCTAGCGCGTTTTGGTCTGGAGAGCATGCATGTCCAAAACCTAATGACGTCCATGGTCTAGCGTATTTTGGTTTGGAGAGCATCCATGTCCAAAACCTTTCGACATGTTGCTTCTTTGCATCGCACCGAGCGGGGATGGTACTTTCCACTGCTCTCTAACAGCTTACTCTGTGGTTCACCAGTTCAATAGGGAGTAGAGGCGCAAGAACCGCACATCAGCAGCATCCAGCATTATCATGTTCATCATCACTTTCGTCAGCACCATCTCGAATAGCATCATCATGAACATCATCATCATCATCATCATGATCATCTTCATCTTTATGTTAGGCCGGATTTCTTTGAGCCTGTGTTCGGGTTGTCTTCCATGTTGTACATCCACGAACTCAGCGACCGGCGTCGCACCAGGGGGGGATGGCCTAGTAGTAGTAGTAGTAGTAGTAGTAGTAGTAGTAGTAGTAGTAGTAGTAGTAGTAGTAGTAGTAGTAGTAGTAATAGTAGCCGCCATTGCCCCGAAACGAATTTCCTATAACTGTGGAGGGATTTATAAATCCAGAGGAAGCTGCTCCGGAGACCAGCCGTAAGGGCTCAGGGTGAAATGATCTTGGGCCTTTGAGTTTCAGGGCGCTACTAAGCTTCTAATTTACAGTAAGGTAGTGAGTTTTAAGCCTCTACTAAGCCTAAAGTAGTGAATTTTAAGCCTCTGCTAAGAATATATTGGCAATAATTAAAGTAGTGAGTTTCTGGTCTTCTCATTGCTTAAGGGACGCATTTTTCTGCCCGTTAAGCACCTCTATTTGCAGTAAAGTAGTAAGTTTCTGGTCTTCTGATTGCTTGAAGGACGCATTTTTGTTGACCCTTACAGCCTCTATTTGCAGTAATTAAAGTAGCAAGTTTCTGGTCTTTTCAATGCTTAAGGGACGTATTGTTTTGCCCCTTAAGGCCTCTATTCGCAGGAAAGTAGTAAGTTTCTGGTCCTCTGATTGCTTAAGGGACGTATCTGTTGCCCATTAAAGCCTCTATTTGCAGCAAAATACTAAGTTTCTGGTCTTACGGCCTACGGTTTAGCTGCGTTCTGGCTCAGAGTCACTGCTGCAAAAGGCTTGAAGGATGCTTGAAGGGCGGGCTCTGGATTAAGACGATGCACGTCTGAAGCACTGGGGAAAACATATTCGTATCTGATACCCGGAATCCTTATGATATCGTTGGACCTCTAGTCAAAGAACAGTCCTTGACAGCAACCCGGCAAAATTCCAGCTTCAGTCTACGAGTCTACGAGGCAGTCAAGCCCCCCCCTGAACCCAACGTGTCCTGCAGGCAGGTCGTCTTCGGCCTTCGAGAACTCCTTACAGGCAGCTTGCACAGACGACGAAGCGGTTCATGCTTATGGCCTGTTGCAAGACAGTCCTGGTCCCAGGGGCCCGAGCATTCCTGCAGCGATGATCTTGTGAGTTTCAGGGGTTCACCGGGTTCAGCAGCAAGCCCTAGGCCGGCAGAAAGCACTTGCTGCCTCAGGAGCTCTCCGCATTTTTCCGACGGCGCCACAAACAAGATTCGAACTGTCTGCCCGATGTCTGGCAGGACTGCTGCAGAGCAAAAGATCGAAACCAAAAAAAGTCGGTCAAAGCTGCCGCCTTGGGCAGCATGACGCAAATTTCTTGATAGGCTATGCTTGGTCGCAGCTGGCCCCGGCAAACCCAATCGAAAACCCAAACATACAACTGCTAATCTGGGAACAGGTGAACCACGCACTCTCTCACTCAAGCTTACTGGCTTCAAGATCCTGTAGATAAGTTTAAGGCCAGGCCACAAAAATTCGGTCCACCGCACTTCAGGTCAGCACCGAGCACGCATTGGAGGCACGTCGTGTTGGCCAGTGCAGGCGAGCAGTCGGGGCACTGTCCGATCATGCACTTGTGTGCCTTCACGAAGCACTTGATGCAATCTTTAGACAAGCCCTCTTGCTTGTGCAAGCACTGTACAGCACACTTCTCGATCTTCTTCTCGGAGGACTCGTCGCTACAAGTCTGGTTGCACTTCATCGCGACTCCAAGGAAGCCAGTCATTCCACCGTGTTTTGAGAATGCTGCTTGGTCCGACACGCTGCACGTGTCGTCATGCCTTGAACTCTCCCAAGCATTTGCCACATCCCCGCTTTCCACCTCTTGCAGTCAGAACAGAAGCGACGCGTTGCAAGTTGCATGGCCTGGCAACCCCCACAGCCGGAATCTGTTGTGCCAGTTATGTAAACCCCACAGACCGTCCACACCTTGTCTCCACGCAGCTGGAGCATCTTCATGCTGCAATCCTCCCCAGCAGCGCAGGAATCGTCCGCCTCGACGACAGCTGCCATCTCCTTGCGGGGGATCGGACGACGATTGAAGGGTCGGGGCTCGTTTGGCTGGGCATTGCTGGGCAAGCTTGCTTCTCACAGAGGCGAGGCTCTTCTCCAAGGAGGGCGGGGACAGCACCTGCGAAGCTGAAGAATGCCAGCAAAAATCGGAAAGCCATGGCCACTCAGCGCAAAAAACAAAGGAGCAAGGGCCACCTGAAGCACGAAAGCTGCTGCGGTGCGCGAAAGGGCACGGAAGAGAACTAGAGAACTCGCACCAGGCAAGAAACTGTCCGCCCAAGCACTGCGAGGGCCAGGGTCCGAGGCGCAGCTCCACAACTCTGCCAGGGCTGCCAGGGCCGCCAGGCCTGTAGGGCTGCCAGGCGATGGTTCAGAGCCTGAAGCCTCTGCCAGGCCTGGAGGATTTCGCGCGCGCGCGCGCGCAACTTCAAGATTTGGGGCGGGTTTGCCTGGACCGTCAAAGCGAAGGCAACATTAGCCGCAGCATCCTTTTTTTCTAGGTTTATGACCTGGTTTAGGGTGTGTCAGATGTATAAATTATAAAGCTTGTAGGTCCCAAGGTGGGTGATTTTGGCCCATGACCTGCAAGGCTCTTGCAGTCTTCCTGAGAGCTGTGAGGCTGCAAGATGCTGCAAGGCTCGGCTCATGGCAAACGCAGCCTCCCCTGACCTGAGCTCCTCAGCGGACTTCATGAAGTCCGTCACCGCTGCTTGAAGCATTCGTGGAAACGACAATAGCAGCAAGAGGTGAGGCTCTTCAGCTAAGAAAGGTGTGGCAAGGTCGGCAGCCAGTGACAGCACCATTTTCCCATCGAGTTCGCTGCCACGCTGTGCTTCTACTCAGACATGGGCCCAACTTACCAGAAAAAAAAACGCGAACACTTGCTGCAGCCTGTACACGCCGCCACGGAAAAAAAAAAGCACAGTGACATCCTCCGTGAGGATGTGCGGGTGGGACTAGCTGCGCTGGGCTTCCGCGCCAAAAGAGTGAGTTGCAAGGCCACCACACAATCCAGCTGTATGGTAGGCAGAATAGCTCTGTACAGCATTTTGGGTCCTGAGGCCTTAAGCGAAGGCCCGAGAGTTGCAAACTTGCAGTCGTTACAGTCTTGTAGCCGGTGCTGAGTCTTGCGCTTACCTTCTGTCCTTCCATCTGTCATTCCATCCGCGGACCATGCTGCAGATTATCTGGCAAATCAGGAACACGCCAGTGGTAGCTACGTCCATGTTCATATACCACTGAGCTAGCAGAGAAGACGATTGCATCTCCGCAGCTCCCTCCACATTCACGTCAAACGGGAACTGGCAGCTACAACTACCAAAGAAAGTCTCCGGCTCGGCTTTGCCTTGCTGAGCCTCGGGGGACCCAGTGGGAAGCGGAAAACTTGCTGGCACCATGTTGACTACAGTGGTTGAATACACAAGACTGGGCCCAATCATGGAATGGAGTGGATCAATGGATGTACTGCTACAAGTGGGTTCTCGGCATTTGGCCAGGAACGCGAATTCGTGAGCAACTGTACAATACTCGGCTCATATCTCTTCTTGTCTCGGTCCTTGCCTCTAGCTGCTCTAGCTCCCTTCCGCCTTCAATTGGAGCCCTCGGCACTCAGGCTCGTTCCGGTGGGTCGCTCCCCACAGCATCCAACAGCACCAGGCCGGAGCACAACTCTGCTTTGAGCACGAGGCTGACATTGATAGCATCGAGCTCGGGCTTTTGCGAGCTGGCGTCCGCAGAACAGGGCATAGCGAAGCGGCCTCAAACCCCGAAAAGTGTACTGGAAATCATTATGAGACGTGGTTCTATCCGGTTCAAGCCTCCGAGGTCACCAAGGAGGGCTTGGCCGGGCTCCTCCGCCGCCCAGCCGCTGGCCACGAGCATTGCACTGCCGCAGCGGGCCGGGGCAGGGCAGGCACGCCGGCCTAGCAGGCTCAGCGCGCGGTGCGCCAGAGATCGGCCTCAGATTCTGATCCAGCTCCAGCAAACTAGTCGCAGCAAGTCAGCTGTCGCATGGATTCCGCATTCCCGTGCCTGCAGGCTGTTGAGGGTCGGCCACAGCTGCCAGCTCGCGCTGCAGGGCGGCCAGTCCAAAGGCAGGCGAGGAGGGAATGTAGCGCAGGCCCGCCGACAGCAGCTGCGCTTCTTGGTAGCCATGGAGCGCCTCATGGCGAAACAACAGCAAAAGCGAAAGCGACGCCCAAAGTAGGTGCTTGGCTTTGCCAATCGTCCGATCCTGGAAGGTGATGAGCTGCATGAGCAGAGGCTGCAGAGCGCGATTCACCACCTTGCCGGTAGCGAGTGCCGCCAAAAGCCGGGCTACATAATAGGATGATCTTCGATCTACGACATATTGCACACAGGTGTCGCAAAGGGCTCTGAAGCGTTTGCTACAGTGCACTAGAAACAATAGAAACTCTGGTCTTGGGAACCTATATTCGGGACTTCGGGAACCTAAGTTCCAATTTTTGGCTTTGTTGCACTATGTTTGATCCATTTAAGCCTAAAAAACAAAAAACCTATTTGGGTTGTTGGGTCATGGTCATCGTTTTAAGGCTGGTGATAAGGCCTTTAGGTTGTTGGGTCATGGTAATCGTGAAGGCTGGTCATAAGGGCTTTAGGGTTCAGGTTTCGGGTGCTGGTAGGGGTTTAGGGTTCAGGTTTGGTGGGGTGCTGGATTCAGGGTTGTTTGGGGGTGTAAAGTCAGCCCTAGCCCCTGGTGCTGCCAAGCACAAGACTGTCGTGCTGGTGAGCACTTAGTCTTTGATTGTTGTGCCTGTTGATTATAATTGGGGCAGGGCGGTCAATAATGGTGCCATGCTGCCAAGCACAACCCGAACCCTGGGTGTTGTGAAGCACAACCCTAGCCCTTGCTGCTGTAAAGCACAAGCCTAGCCGTGCTGCAAAGCACAACCCCAGCTGCGTTGTTGTGAAGCACAACCCAGCTTGTGCTGTCAAGCATATATCGACCTGTTCTTCCGGGACCCCATATACACGCAGAGCCGTAGCCTTGCTCGAAAAGTTCGTCGGCGAGAAGTGGGCACCCGTCAGAAACCCTGGGGATTGTAACAGGGAAGCAGCGAGAAAAAAGGGGCACCAACCCAAAGACCGGTGGGCGCCGAACCCAAGGACCGGTGGTTGGTGGTGAGCCTGAAAACCCACCCTGCCTTCTAGCTTTCAACCCTGTGTCAGGTGGCATCTCGGCATGATTTCAGACATGCAGACCTGCAGCAATATCCGCCGAGGCCACAGGCCCAGGCGTCTTGGGGCTGCAGCGCAAACGTCTGGAGACACCCGCTTTTTGCGTTCGTTTGCTTCCCCCTTGTCCGGCTTCCCTTCATTGTACCTGATTTGTCGGCCTCCCCCCCCCTCCCAAGCCACCCCGCCCCTTCCCCCTGTGCCGATACACCCCCAAGGGATACTCCTTGTGAGGAGGTGTATGACCAGTTATTCCCTAAGGATCAAAGGGCAGCGCCCTGCACACGGACAGTAGTTGTTTTGTCTTGCTACGCAAGGAGAGCTTGTCTTGTCTCAATATGGTAAAACCACTGTGAGCCAATGGGCAGCGGAATGTATATGTATGAGCATGCAGCCATTGCTGTAGGTACCTGTTAGAGCTACCCCTTTAGAGGTTTATGGTTTCAAACAGACACTAATTTTCTTTTACCGGAAGCATGGCCGCACATTCACACATATACTATTATGCCCACTGTCACAGTTGCGGAGTTTGGACTCATGATAAAAACAGCATATTGTTTATGCTAGGTATAGCACTGAAGTACACTGTTGAGGTCACTCCTTTTGCACACACTCATGCATGTTGGTCAGAGAGATCATCTGTACAGGATCAGGTCTGGTAATGTTCTTCTACCGAATTATGCAGCCCTTCATTGTGCTCTTGTTAGAGCCTTGTGATTCACTGTTGTGAAACTCTGAGAATTTTCTTATCTCAGATTCGGATCCAGGGTTGGATCATAGGCTCGAGCATAGACGTTCGGATGTGGCTCATCCGGGTCTGAGTGGTCTTCTTCGGAACTTGAAAAGATTCCGAGTAATCTGTTCTCAGCCCTGGTGAAGGCGGCGTCTGCAGTATCATATCCATGGTTGGATGTTGTCGCCTTTGGCTCGGCCTTTGGAGCAGCTTGTGAGCTGACTGGAGTTGCCTTGGCTTTTGCCGGTTGCGGCTGCTTAGCCTTTGCCCGTTCAGCCCTTCTTCTTTCAAGCTGTCCGTCTGAGGACGCCCATGATCTTTCACTTTCATCTCCTGAAGGAGATAAGGCGTGGGCATAAAGGCTATTCCAGTACTGTGCTGCAGAAGGAGTTAGGACTTCTTCATTGTCAGATTCTGACTGGTCTTCCTCAGAGCTTTGGTCGTCAAAAAGTGTCTCGAGGACATTTTTGAGATTGTTATTTCTTCGCTCTATCTCTAGTGAGGAATGGACCAATTGGTTAAAGACTGTCCTTGAGTCCTTCAGTGCTGTTAGAAGGATTTCCACTCTGGATAGAGTATCTTGGATGGTGTCAAGATGTTCCTTCCTTTCCTCCTTGTCTCTCTGGATAGAGCTTCGCAATGATTGTGCGATTCTGAGGAGGTCTGTGTATTTCGCAAGAGGCATAGTTACCGTTTGATTGTCATGTATGACAGTTGTTTCGTCGCCGCTTAAGTTCCTGAATAGGACTTCCACGACTGGTAGGAACTCCGTGCTCCACGGTTCCTCTTCATCATATGTTTCTACGTGCTGTAGCACGCGTTGTGTAAACTGGCCGGCTGCTTCTACCGTTGCATCGATAGAGCTGACGTGTCTTGCTGCCATGTTTCGGCACGTAACGTTAATTGCCTGGCCTTGATTGGCTTCGTTAAGTGCAGCGTCTGCATAGGTGCAGAGTCCACTGTTGTGGGCTTCTCTAGCTGCCTTTCGTTGAATGCGCCGATTTTGACCTCCTCTTCTGGTAGGACCTTTTGGTCTTGGAGGATCAGAAGGTACTGTTCCTTTCGCCTTTGGCGGAGGACTCTTAGGTGGAGGTGATATGTTTGCCTTGTTAGGCCCTGGTGGCATTGCCTTGGGCGCTGATGACGATGCGGCACTTGAGAGTGCAGATGTACCTCTGGCCTTTGCCGAGGATCCCTTGGGGATCGATGTATAGGTAATCTGCATGGCTTCTTCGGCCATTTGTGCATGCAAGGCATCTTTGAATAATTGTGTCATATGAGGAGTGTTACTTGCATCATCGTAGGTCTGGAAGCGCTCAATGTCTCTTTCGGTGCCACGTGGTCGTGTATCACCTCTTTGGAAAGGATCGTTCCTGCGAATCTCCGCAACTTGTACTGCATGGAGGCAGTTTTTGCACAGCACCTTCTTGCAAACATCTCTTGCTTGCTTGAGCTGGTAACAGCTGTCTGAGAGATGGTAGACTTCGCTTCGGGAAGTATGCCAGATAGGTCGCAGATCAGTTGTTTCTCCGGAATTGACCCTGTTGGGTCCTAAAGGTTCACGCGTCTGCGGTTCATCCTCGGGTTCGAGGAATGGAACTCTTTGGTTCGCTGCTGCTTTTGATTTTGGTTGTTGGCGCTCCATACATCTGATAGGAGGCCTGGTAATCTGCTTCCACATCCAGTGTAAGCCCATTAGCAGCAAGAACACATTCCACGCGATGCTGAAGACGGAGAAGTCCTGCTCACTGGTTAGTGAGTTTGGAAGTGAAGTTTCATCAGTCTTGATAGACTCTGCGTTTGCTCCACCTCGGTTGCGGTGTCCGAACCAGCCCGACAACCCCGCTGCTGTAGCAGCTGTTCTGAGTGCCTTGCCGCTCGGAGCAGACGGTGGACGCGATGCCTTCCTTCTTCTTCTCCGGCTGGAGGATTCGTCCTCTTGTTCCTCTTCATCTCTCTGAGCAGACATCAAGTTTGATGTTTCTCTTTCGTGTTCTTCGATGTCACTTTTTGTTGGTGACGGTTCTTCTTCTAGTCCATCCAGCTCTTCCAAAGACATGTTGAGCTTGTCAACAATATTGGTTCTTTGAGGCCTGGACCTTGATCTTGGTAGATCTTGTTGTGAAGAGGACGATGATTCCTGGTTCCTTCTTGGAGGAGGACCTTCAGGCTCGCTGGGACGTTCAGGCTGTGGCCACTCCCAGAATCTTCCATATCTGTGATGGCTACCTGATGGTTGCGATTTGTCGTACCAGCTGTTGCCGGATGAGTAAACGAATGAATCGTTGTAACCCCAGTATTCAGCATTACGCTGCTTGTAAGCCTTTCGCTTGTCAGCGATCTTTTGGACCTGGGCATCTGACCGGTTGTGTTTCCCTTTTGTAAGGATTGGTTGTATCGTGAAGCCCAAAGGGCTGTGCCAATCTTTGTCAGAGGGACTCAACCATAGGTCAAGGTTAGAAAAAGTTGAATAGTACTGCTTGACTGAGACAAACAGACGGATATCAATATCCCTGTTGTTGTTCGTGTCCTGCCACATATCTGAGATTCGCTCCCAGTATGTTCTTTCGGCGGCAGGTGTGACCTCTCTTGGACTAGGTGACGCCGTGTGCGGCGTTTTACTCCAGTCAAGGATATAACTGTTGATACAGTCAAGGTCAGCAACTTTCTTCGCCGGGTCCGCCGGTAGACGATCTGCACGTGCCAGTCTGTGCTGGTCGGAGTTGTTCAAGCAAAGATGTCGCACTTGTGAGTGCCTTCCTGCTATTTTGTTGAATGCTGCAAGTTTCTTCTCCAGGTATAGAGAAAACAAACTGTTTCGCGGGTGAACGTCTCCACCTTTTAAGGTGAGCCTCGACGCAATATTATTGAGATCTCCCGCTATTACATCCGGTTTAAAAGGGAGAATCTCGTTGAGGAACGCGTTCACCAGTTCGCGTCTCTGTTCTTCCTTATGAGTCATGAATGAGTTGAAATGGACGATCGCGATGGTGATGACCTTGTAAGGCCCTTTTGTACACCACATCTCGTCAAGATCGTTCGATGCTTCTTGTGAGAAGATCTCTGCGTATGACTCAAAGTCTTCCTCTGGTGGCTCATCACCCTCGACATGGCCGTTCCATTCACAGAGAATCGGCGAGGGGTCGAGGTTCGACAGTGTCAGGCACGCCTCTGGTGAGAGGTAAGAGCCATCAGTGGGTCCATCCTTGTCAGGATTTTTGCCCTTGAGTGGGTCATATCCGATAATCTGCATGAACTCGTCTCTCGTCATCCTTTGGCCAGAATATGGGTGGACCCATTCTTTTGCCTCTGGTATGGTACTGTGG